GATTTAGAAAATTTAATTGATGATTTAGTACTTAATCAAAATTTTCTTAATTATTATGAATTAAAATCATATCTCCAAAAACATAATAAAAATATAACGGGTGATGATATGGATTATTATTATTCGTATTATAAAAATGAAATTTTGAAATATCATGATAAAATAATTTCTAAAATTAAAGACAAAATTAAAAATAATGAATATACAAAGGGAAAAACTAAATCACAACTTAAACAGTTGAAAGATTTCAAAAATAAAGTATTAACAGAAGAAGATATTGATGAATTATATAAATTATATAATCCTGAGCCGCAAAAGCCAAAGGAACAAAAACAAAAGAAGAAAAAGCCGAAAACAACACCAAAAGAGAAAGTAGCAAATGTTCAACAGCTAAAGGTGCAAAACACCCAAGTCCTTCAGATCATAAATGATGCACAAGCTTTAATTTATGATTCATTAGTTAAACCATATTCATCCCGACTTTTAAATGAAGATCAACTTTTGGAATTCATCCTTCAACATAAACTCGAAGCGGGAAAGTATATCAAACCTTTATATACAGCATATTTAAAACAAATGAATAGAATACATCCAGAATTAATGAAGGGAGGAATGAAATCCAAAACTTCATCATCCAAAATCAAAGCAGATAAAATTAAACCACTTGCAACACCAAAACCTCCAACGACAGTACCTCCTCCTTCAGTTAATCCTTCATCATTCACTTTATTATATCCATTTCAAACATTAAAGAAGCAAAAAGATTTTAAAAAGGATTTCAAGATATTAAATAAACCAATTGACCCGAAAATTCAACCGTTAAAGGAAAAATTTAGTCGCCCTTCATTTGCACCATATCCATATTCATACGAAATCGATCATCTGGAATATTCAAAAGGAAACCTTACTTATTTATTTGCCATTAACATTAACACTAGATATTTATATTGCATTCCAGTGAAAGGGAAAACAGAACAGGAAACAAGAAGAGCTATTCAATACTTACTAGATCATGAAAGTGTAGATAATATAAGGGGTGATGGTGATAAAGGATTTCAGGCAACTATGGCTCATTATTTCCCACAAATTAATTTTTACTTTTCATCCTCTCCATATACGTTTCATAATAAAATAGTTGATGCGGTAATGAGAACTCTTAGAGATGCGTTAGGAGTTAACGGTCAGATATACTGGGATGGAAATCATGACTCCATCATACAGCAGTTAGTATATTATTACAATAATACATGGCATAGAACTATAAACATGAAACCAGTGGAAATGAAAAATGATATTTCAAAAGAATGGGAATATATTAGAAAGCAAATGGAAAGGTTAAATGATGTTAAACGTGAACAAATTAATTCGGGCTCATGAATTTTAAACAAGGGGATAAAGTTTTGATTCATCTCGATTATGGAAAAACTAATAAATCAATGACAAAAGAAGACGAAGATTTGATACAATAGCTGAATTTGTTAGATATATTAACGCAATGCATTAGTTGAGGTTAACAATAAATTAATAGAAATTCCGATTTATTTTATTACTCCATTATATTTAAATAATATTTAATTTTTTTATTTCGTAAGAAAATGAGTGACAACAAAGCAGCCAAGAGTCCTGATTCAATTAAGATTCAGAGTCCAGACGATGAATATAAAAAGAAACTAAACAGAATTAAATCAAAAATATGCTATTACAAAAAGAAGCCGCAATGCGGTGGGGCTGATGCCCATAAAACTAAAGTAATTGAAAACGATAAAGAGAGGAAAGAAATAATCGAAAAATTAGAAACTTACCGTTCAATCCTTAAACTGAGTGAAGCAAAAATAAAAGAATTTAATAGAATAAATAAATTGATTGGAAGAGATGAATTTAATAAAGATGAATTTTTAAACTCTATCCAAATTTAATTTTTATTCCTCTTCGACAACGTCTCTTCGAGACGCCGAACCCTTCTGGGTTCTTCTTTCCATCATTACTGCATAACCGCATCTTCTCGGTTTTCGTGGTTTGTTGTTTTTAATTTGTTCTTGCATCATTTTTATCATTTCCTCCCTTGTTATGATTCGTGGTAAATTTTGAGCTTGTGGGGTATCCATTTATATAAAAATAAAATTTTGTTATCAGTTATTTTATCATCATTTTATTAAGTTCATCTTTAGTTAATTTGAATGATAAGAAAATTTATTTTTGAATAACTGAAGGTGTCACTACGTCACCATGTGTCACCGGGTTAATTAACTTCTCTTAAAATTACTGACAATATGACATTTAGACAACAGGTACGAAAGGAGGAAGGCATTTATGAATTATTTTTGAATAACTGAAGGTGTCACTACGTCACCATGTGTCACCGGGTTAATTAACTTCTCTTGAAATTACTGACAACATGACATTTAGACATCACAGCAGGATTAATGCAAAAATAAATTCAAATCATACTTTATAAAGCTTCATTTACAGGTATTTCATCGTCAGTAAATGAATCCTCATTATCGTTTGGTTCAACCTGTTTATATAATCCTTTCATTTCTTCTTTCAAAACATAACACCATGTTTGTTTACATCTATTCTTCTCTGTTTCCTATCACATTTATCCTTAATGCTCATTTGAAATTTTTGTCTTTCATGTCTGATGGTTTGCAGAATAGAGCATTTTTACACGTCATACCTGCACACAATTCATCATAATGTGTATTTATCCATTCATCTAAAGGATTTGTTGATAATTCTATTAAATCTTGTTTGGCTTCAGTCATCGGTATGATTCGTACATTAAATGATGAAAGGTCATAATTGAGGAAATATGTTAAAAGGTTATCATAAAATTCCTTTGTGCATGAATCCATTAAATACTTGAAGTAATCAAATTGACCCTTAAATTTACCATTAACTCTTAAAACTACGTATCTTCTGTCTCCAACTTCAATTTTGACAGGGTAGACGTTTAGTTACCAAAATGAAATTGGCAACATTCTGAGCAGTTCTTCTGGGTTGATTCTTTTCATTAATTCTTATTTGATTATCCGTAATAATTGATTTCAAAGCGTTGAAGTTTGCGAGTCTGTCTTCACCACATTCTTGAGTTCATTAAGTACAAGAAACATTTTATTCTCAACTACTGAATTGAAATTACCCGTTAGCTCACTTATTTCAGTAATGTTTTTACATGAATAACCGGCGAGAAGTTCAGAAATAATGTCTGTAAATCTGTTTTTAACCTGTTCCCTGAAGTCCTTTCAAAATAATTGCTGTTTCATTCTTGATTCCAGGATGTTGAATCATTGATGCAATCCAGCCGAGAAGGTATTTATACACTTCATCGTTATTATCACATATGGCTTCTTTAATGAAATTCATAAACATTCAATTTTTGAGTAATCTGGTTTTTCGAGAACGTTGTATTTATAACCCTGAAACGTTGAGAAAACATCTGGAGAATCAGATTTAAAGCAAACACCCTTAACGGTTAATGAGGATAATTGATTTAGTAGTACATCCCATGCTGTTATTGTTTTACCTTCTTCTTTAAATAATTTAATCATTTTAAGTGACTCTTTCATGGCTGATTGAAGAACGAATGATATTTGATTCATTTTGTCGTGGATATTATAGTCCTTTTGAATGAAATATTTATTTCCACAATCTACAAAACGGATTACACGTGATAAATCCTCAATTACTTCAGAACTGTTTTTATACTGATGATTTTCAGCCTTGCGTCTAATATCTGTTATCAAGAATGAATCATCAAGTTTTTATATCAAATGTTATTTTTGGCTTACGTAATAAAGGTAAAACGTATTCATCATAATATTCTTTTTGATATAGTTTTAGAATCTTCACTAAAACAAATGGAGAAGTCATTAAATGTGCATATCTACTACGTGCTTTTTCAAAATTACTTTTTGCATTTTCAGTTAAGCTGCAGAAGTTATAAACGTTATCGTAGGCTTCATTAATTAAATGATTAGGTAACGAATTTAGCTTGAAACAGTGTGAATAATGTAACTTCTTTTTCTAAATTCATGTTTCCACCGTCATTATGTACTTCAAAATCACTGATGCCATCAACTATGCTCTGGGCAAGTTTATCGTCAATGTTTACATCTTTGTTTTCATTCATGATAGTCTTTATTTCTTCGTTCTTCTGTTCAACTCTTACCTTAATATTCAAATCATTTAATATATCATTCACTGTTCTGGTTATGGTCGAGTCGTAACTTCCACGAATGAATGAGTATGTATTGATTGGTTCTGTTGCATTCTTGCGAACTCTTGAATCAGCCATAACTACTAAAGAACGCTTTGAATCATCCATAGAAGTCATTATGTCAATATCATAATCATTGCAGGAATAGCATTTAATCATTCTGTTCGAAACTGAATAGAAGAAATTAGTGTTACAATAAATGTGAAGACCTCCTGAAGCGGTTTTAACGATAACATCTTTATCCGAAAGTTTTGATAAAATATCTTTTCTAACTGTTTCTTTAAGTTCATCATTGTATGATTTATTGATATCAACATCTATAATCGTTAAATTTGAAATTTTATTTACTAATAAAGCCATACCAGTTTTCCTTCCTCTTCCTCCATCGTGTTTGAGGTAGTTATGTAAATCAATCTTGTTTTCACCAATTCTTTCGTTGAGGGTTTTAGTTTCTGCCACAACTAATTCCTCAGCTAATGAATCAATAACTTTTTCATCAGAAACGATATAGTTACTGTTGTTGTTTGTTGCTGTCATTTATATAGGAATAAAAAAAATAAAAATAATTTTAAAACTAACTTTATTTTTGGACTGCATCAAATTTCCTGGACTGTTGTCTAAATGTCATGTTGTCAGTAATTTTAAGAGAAGTTAATTAACCCGGTGACACATGGTGACGTAGTGACACCTTCAGTTATTCAAAAATAATTCATAAATGCCTTCCTCCTTTCGTACCTGTTGTCTAAATGTCATGTTGTTCGCTCTTTTGGAGCTCAGGACTTTAAGCAGCTCTGAACCATGCGAATACAGTTATAAATGGTGGCATATAATCTTCACCCGAGCCCGTTGGATTTGTTGTGAAAGTATGGACATGATTTCCTCCTGGTTCAGTTGGTCGAAAAGTCTTTTTTGCTGAATTGTTATAAGATGGAGATAAAACATCATAGCCAGCTTTATAGTCTGAGTTGTATAATGGGTGGTCTCTTAATGAGTGGCTATGGTCGCCAGAAAAGTTTGTCGTTCCTGTATGAGTGTGCGCAGGTAAGTTTGCTTCAGTAATTTTCTTCGAACCTCCTGTTTGCTTTGAAGAGTTAGCACAGTATAAGAATTTGTCTACAATCTGCTGCCACGTACCAAAACCCAGAACTGTTGCGGGATTTGTTGAATTCATTGATGTATATATTGAACCAATGGGGTAAATCATCTCAAGAATTGTATTTAATCCATTATGAATATTGAATTTATTATATAATATTGAATTTGGGTGAGTATTTAAAACTGGTCTTGTTATCAATATTAACATATTATTTTTGAAAATTGCTTTTCTAACATCTTGAAATTTTGTGATTTCAGACCAGTTTCTTACATCACTACTGATATTTACTAAATCACCACATCCTAAAGCAATGAAATACCCATCAATATAAAACAAATTGCAAAATCTATAATTTCGAGTAAGTTTTGGAGTGAATGAATAAACCAATTCCCAATTTGATAAATCCTGTGATAAATAAATATGTCTGTTATAACTTACAGGATATGAATAGACCATTCCACCTGAAACGAGAACATAAACATTTGATCCATAACATAAAGCTTCAATGTCTCCATCAGCTTGAAAAATTTGTTCAAATTGACCTTGTGGTATTGAAGATGATCTATAAATTTTATCATTTTATAGGATAAAATACATGTTGTTAATGTAATACCACTTACTTGTATAATCAATTTTCAAATCTGATGACATCATACTAAACATATAATAATTTATCCCATCCTCACTAATGAAAATTTGATTGACTTCATAAATTAGTACCCATTTATTATTAACGCATCTAATAGGATTATTTGGATATTTAAATTTAGCATCTTGATTTAAATTACATTTGAACCATTGGATACAATCGAATGAATAACAAGGGCAAAAATCATCTCCAACCGTTATCATTCCCATAAATTTACCGTTATTATATTCAACATATAAAATTCTTGGATTAATGATTGGCTTTCGTGTATCAGGATTCAAAACAGATGGAGTAAATGATTCATAGTTTTTAAAATCATTTGTTTTAAAATAATAAAGCACCCCAACTATATAAAATAAATACGTGGTCACTCCATCGAAACATATCAATTCAAAAGAATCTATATCAAAGGTTTTATCTGATGATTTCATAAAATTTAAAAATGGTGGAGTAAAATAGACCTCTGATTGTTTTATTTCTTCATTAACAAATGATATATCAGCTTTCTTTGCTAACTCAGTATTAATGAATGAAATAACTTTTTCCTTATCTGCTTTCTTCTCTAATTCATTATTAACATATTCCTTATCTGCTTTCTTCTCTAACTCATCGTTAACGTATGTTTTATCTGCTTTAAGGTCTAAACATCCTGAAACCCATTCTGTATCAGCTTTAACTTTAAAAGTCTCCAATGTCCATTCATGATACCATTCAACTTTTTCTTTAATTTCATTATCTTTTTCATCAACATAAACCAAATTCGCCTTCTTATTTAATTCATTATTAACATATTCCTTATCTGCTTTCTTCATTAACTCACTATCCACATATTCCTTATCCACCTTCTTCATTATGTCATTTAGGAAACCTTCTATGAATTCCTCATTTAAATTAAATCTTCCAATCTTCAAAACTTTAGGAAATGCATTTAATGCGTAATATCTCTGTTCTTCTGGTGGAATTGATGTTATATCATCCGTTATTCCTTTAATTTTTGAATTCATAAATAAAATTTCTTTTATATTTGATATCACTGCACCACCTTTGCAAACGAATTCGAAATGGTCATTTTTCAATACTATCTCCAAATCTCCATATTTCAACCTTTGCGTTTGTTCTGCCGTCTTTGAATTATATGCATATGTGGCGTATGTAATGGTCTGAAGGACCTGGGCGCTTTGCGCCTTAAGTTGCTGTTGTTTAATCATTTATTACGATTTAAAAATAAATATTTAATCCGTTATCTCATCAGCTATTTTCTCTATTTGAAATTGCCATAATATTTCATTCATAAATTCTAAATCACAATCAAATAGGTCAGTTATTCTAAATTTAATATTTGATAAATCTTTTGAATGAAGAATAAATGAATTCCCGGATAATTGAAACGGATATGATAAAGAAAATGTGTTTAAGTTGATGGATAAAATGTTTTGTATTGATGGGTAAGAGTTAGGGTCTAATGTTTGATGTGAAAATCTCATTGGGGTATTAACTTTATCACATTTGATTAAAATGAAATTGGAACCAGTGTCAGAATACAAAACATCCCCAACATCTTTTTCAAAATTTAATATCCCCAACAATGAACGAAGATGAGGAGTACAAAATTTAATTTTCAGCGGAAATTTAATAAGGTTATTTATTTCATCAAGTTCAAAAAGTTTATCAGGTTTTGATTTAAAATTTTCTTCATACCATACGATAAATGATTCATTTAAATAACTTAAAATCATGTTAATATCCCATTTCGCTATCACATTATTTATATACATATCATACGTTTTTTCAAGGTCATCTTTAATAAATGATATATAATCTGAAGGGTCTAAAAGAATGGGATTAAATTTACCACTCACAGAAACGAGAGTAACATTATAAATTCCGCTAACTGTTAAATTTAATTCACAGTTATTATTCGAAATAATATTGATAATTGACATTTTTTATTACGATTAAAAATATGGTAAAGCGTTATTTTCCAGTGATAAATAAAACTAGAATAAGATTACCTCAAGAATTCATAAATTCAACGAATAAGAAATTCATTCATGTTATAAATTTTAGTGTTTTCAGAAAATATGAGTCAGTGTCATATTCATCAACAGGTTATATTTCACTTCATTCAAATTTAGTTCAATCAAACCCATATAATGACCATTTCATAAGATTTTCAGATGGTATTAAAAATGTAATTGATAGATTAAAATATGAACAGATTGACAATATCGAATTTTTGGAATTTTGGTTTAAATATCCCGATGGAAAAAAGATTGAAGTTAAAGATAAAGCTGATACTATAACAAAAACAATTACAATGACCGATCCGGATAGTGGGGAACAAAAAGAAATAAAACAAACGATAGAAACTGGTGAAAGGTCAATTATTATTGATTATGATTCAAAGGATTATTATTCGATAATGTTAATGCTTGAATATTAAATAGCCTTAACAAAGAATTTTTCAAGTGATATTTTATATTCATCAACTATTTTATTATAAATATCATTATATGTTAAATGAAGTTCAGTTGTTGTTCCGTTCTTTGATATCTTAATTGTGCTAATATCCTTTATAGGATTTATTTTTGCAACTGTTCCGCAGCATGAAACCTCATCATCTATGAAAAATTGAATCTTAACGTCTGAATCTTGAACATCACAAAGAATGGCGATAATGTGAATTAATGATTCATAAGGTAAAATAATTAAACCGGATTGATCAATTAAATTTATTATTGAATCATAATTATTAATTATTATATCACGGTAAATTTTCATTAATTCAGAATTAATGTCTATTTTATATGGGTTCTCGATGTTTGATGAAAGAGGCGGGGGTATGTTGGATAAGTGGGAATTTCAACAGGTTCTTTACCGGGTTCAGATAAAATGATTGGGTCTCCATCTCTGGTTTTCTTCATTCTCCTCATTCTTCGGTAAGTCACGAGTTAATAAATTTGGTTGAGTTGCTGACCTTGTTAATTCAGGGCTAACATTAACTTTAACATTTTGAATAATTCGTGATTTATCATCATTTACGTTATAACCAACCGTAATCTCTGCTTTTGCGTTAGTGTTCTTTTGACTAGTGAAACGTCTTCTCATTTATAATCGAATAAAAAAATATATTTAAACTTTTATTTTGCTGGAAGTTTTGAATCTATTATTCCCTGTATTTGTTCTTGAAGTTGATTTTTAGCTGGTTCATTGTAATTAATAGACCTAATATATTCATTAATTGCATTCTTATAATCATCTGATTTCTCAAATTTTCTTTTATCTGATTCCTTAACTAAATCATAAGTTAAACCTCGTTGCTGATATAATGGTTTCTTAATTAAATCTTTGAATGCTTGAGATAAAGCACCTGATGCAATTCTTGCTACTATAATTGGTTGGAATTGATGTTTAAGTTCATCTTTAACATTTGCGAAAACTGGATCGAATAAAGCAACTTTAAAGAATTTCTTAGCTGAAATTTCAGGTCTAATATTTGCATATTGACCATCAAACTGGTTAGAATATCGTGGTAATCCATCCGGTCCCTCTTCAATAGCATTTAATTCTTCATTGAAATAAGAATATGGATTATAACGGTATGAATTAATTGGACCATTTTCACCTTCTCCAATGTATTGTTTAACAGCTTTTCCATTTTCATCAAATTGCATAGGATAACGTTCATTATATGCTTTACGTTTAGGATAATCAGTTATAGTTAATTTATAACCATTTATGACTTTAATATTACCTTGACCATCAGTAACGAAAACTTCATTTATACCATCAGGTTTTCCATTTGGACCCGTAATGTCTGCTTCGTGTGCTTCCCAATTTGGACCTTGACGTTTGGCATATGCTTGAGCTTCTGGTAATGTTAAAACGTTTCTCATTTGTTTAACATCTTTTTGAAGACCAGCAACAATATGAACTAATTCTTTCATTCCATCAGGAACTTTCATAGTTCTATTATATGCACCCTTTTTGTTTGTTCCTTGTTTTAATGGAACCTGTAGAAGATTTGCTATTTCTGTCATGTTTAATTATAAATAAAAAATAAAAATTAATTATAAAAAGTTAATCAAATTTAACACTCCTTTATTTAAATCAACTATTATTTTTCCATGTTCACCTAATTGCTGATATTGTGTGTAAAGTTCATTAATGCTCATTGGTAAATTCACTTGATAAAGCATAACGTTCAACTGTTGACGACTAAACCCACTGAAAATGAAAAGGGTTGATAGATTTGATTTAATGTTTGTGCTTAATGCTTTGAAGTATTGAACAGCCATAAAGAATGAACACTGAATGTGTCGACATTGAGTTAATAACTGATTAAAATATGATTTCTCATTTGTTATTAGTTTTGATTTCACTGCATCATCTAGAAAAATGAGTGAATGCAAAAATTCTCTATCAAAATTTGAAATAGAAAGTGTTTCAAATAATTCATCCCGTTGTTTATCAATAATTTTATCCTCTAATCCTTGCTTCTTGATTGTATTATATAATTCTTTATACATTAAAAAGTTTTTTAAATAATCTTCTGCTTCTTCTTGTGATAAATAAATAATTGGAATTTTGATTAAATGCTTTAAAGATTCAAATGTATCATCTGAAGGTGAACCTGAACGGTTGATATAAATTAACACATGTGAATAGGGGGAAGTGTTAGCAATAATGATAATTTGTTTTAATATCGTTAATGTTTTACCTTTATTTTGTTTACCAATTGCTGCAGTGATTGAATTTAAGTAACATTCAGAATATGGAATTTTCATTAATTTTTCCTTAGATAGAGCATTTCTATTATCACTCAATGCTTCATTAATCATATCATCTATGTATGTATTATATACTCCTGCTAATTCTTCATAAGGAGTGTATGAATTTAAATCCATTTAATCAAAAATAAATTTATAATTTTAAACATTTCTATTCATCAATATTTCATCATATGAACTTCTATACTGTGGTGGTGTACCTGTTGGATGATATTTCAAACCTTCATCCGGTGTCCATGTCCAATATGTAGTCCTAGTAAACCAAACCTGAGGAGGATTTGTCACCTTTGAACAGTAAGTGTCATTTTCACCCTGAATGATTGGATAAGCTTTCACTTGTACTGTAACTTGTGAGTTGAAAGTTTCTAATCCATCAAAGAATATACCCGCTCCATCACGTTGAACTGGAATAGTGCATAAGAATGAAGTTTGGTCTTTCCATGTTCTAGCTAATGGCGTGCCATCATCTGCATTCAGTGGTCTAGTTAATGAGTCCTCGTATTCTTCTGTGCATTCATTCACTCCATCTAAATCAGAAGCTTGAAGCATACGTGTAAAGAATATGTCGCCCACTGTGGTCATCGCTTGATCGGGGAAGTTTCTGGAATCTATAGTGACCTGAAGACCTCGAAGCATTGGATTTTCTAAAACTGTTCTTTGCATTGCATTCTTCGGAAATGCTAACACAACATCTGTAACATTATGAAGAGCGTATGAGAAATCTGAGCTGATACCTTCAGGAGTGATGCAACCTCCATTTAGTGAACGAACGTCAATATGTTGAGCTGGAATCATGAATGGATCTTCCTTACTGAATAAACGTGGTATTGCTTTAACTGATTCTTCAATTAAACCGTATCCTGGTGTAATGCATTTATCCTCTAAAACTTCCATCTTTGTGCATGAAATAATAACGTCATCAACTGTTGCGTCAGCAGATGTAGCGGCTAAGCTTGTAATTAATTTGGCAGGAAGTCCGATTTGTTGGAATTTGCGATCATATTTATAAACATGATTCATAATCTTTTCATAATTTTCATCAGTTATCTTTTCATAAACGTAATTTTGTAAATCAGCAACTCTTAACGGGTCAACCTGACAAAATACTAAAGTATCCCTGAAAACATAATATTTAAGAATGATATCACCAAATGATTTAGGATAATCATCGAACGCCTGAAATGCTAACAAATCATTTACCGGAATAATCATATCAAAAGTGACATCAACTTCTTCATTTGCTTTCTTGAAAACTTCTGAAGGGTCAATATATTTACCACATACTGAGTTATCATATTTTTGAACATTATTATATAACGAATGAACAAACTTTTTAACTTTCCTTTCTGATTTTGGTTTATATGTTGCAAATGCGAAAGATTCACGGGCGCAATCCATCTGAAGATAACCGGCATCACCTCTTTCGGTTTCTACTTCTAATTGTTTAAAGCTTTGATTTGATGATTTGTAACCAACGAATAAACGCATGCATTTAAAAGCGGCATCACATGTGAAAACTTTATTTGAAACTAGAGTTGCTTTAACTTTGCGTTTAATATATGTGTCACCTAATTGGTTCACATCATGAGCCGGATTTGTAATTCTTAAATGAGTTTGTTTATCATCAAAATATGGAGCATCAGAGTCATAGCATGAACTTTCAAGTTCTCTATAATATCTTCTACCGTCATTCTTTGCGAATATTTCATTTATCTTTTCGAATGAATGAAACACATTTCCATTAATCGGTTTAGTGTTTGGCACCAAATAGTTAGTCGTCATTTATTAATAAATAAAAAATCAAAATTAAAAGATGAAAATGAAATTTTAATTTTAATGAAATAATCAACTATGGCTGCAGGTATATTTAAGAAACTGTGGGATAAAGTAAAAAGAGGAGCGAGTAAAGTTTGGGAAACATTGAAGAAGGGGGCAAATTGGATATTTAAGAATAAAGAAGCAATTAGTGACGTTGCTGAATCAATAACGCCAAAAGCTGCCCCAATAAGAGAAGTTTTAAATAAAGGAGAAAAAGTTTATCAAAGACTACAACCAATACTAAGATAAAAATAATTTTAAGCCGCTAAGCAGCGAGATGATCCATAGGATCTCATATTTATTTTTCCACTATCTACCTCCTATTTTATTAAGTATTCCTTCAGCAATTCCACCAACTGCGTTACCTGCTTGTGCTCCCATCGCCGGATTACCTGCTTTAGTACCTAATACTCCACCTATGATAGTTCCTGCCGTTTTCGCTACTGGTGCCAAAAAGTTTGCAACGGGTTTAATAATCTTTTTATAAACCCAACCCGCAGCTTTCTTAATTCCATCCCATAATTTTTTAAAGAATCCCGCCGCCATTTCTGATTTAATATTAATTAAAAAATATATTTCATCACTTATATTCTAATTTTTATTTAATGATAAATGAAACCGATTTTAAAAATAAATGAAACAGAGGAGGAAGAAATAAATGAAAGTGAAAATGTTCAACAAAAAATAAACGTTGTTAAACCAATTACTGAAATAAAAATTTTTTCATCTGTTGAAGAATTTAATGACTATTATGCTAATAATAAAAAATTATTTGAAGAATTGACAACATGTAAATTGAATAAAATGTTTAAAGTTGATGGATTCAAAATTTCAAAAATAAAAGGGGTGATTAGTTTGAAATCTATTCCTCAATCAAGAATCACCTCATTAATGAAAATTGATGATTTAACAAAAAGAATAGAAGAGATTGAAGAAAGAATGAATCAAATAATTGATTTCATAAATTCAAATAATCATTAGTTTCTTAAAGTTCTATGTTGAACTCATCAAATTCATCTTCATCATTACCATTACCTTTAGCGAGTTTATTTACTCTTTCAACTTTATCTTTTGATAGTCTTTCGTTTAATTTTTTCTGAAGTTTTTCGTTACCAAGTTCTAAAATTTTACATGGATGATATTTAAACCCGTTAAATTCTTTTTCCTCAGTTTTAATCATTAATCTACAAAGAACTTTAGTGAGGTGGTTTTGTTGTTTAAACCATTTATCCTTAATATTTGTTATAAATTCAATATCCGGAATTAATTCCCAAATTTTTGAATTTTCGATTAATTTACCATCAAATGCAAAAGCAATAGGTTTAATATTAAACTTACCTTTAGAAAATAAACTTTGTATGTAATCATCAAAATAAACGTCTACTTGTTTAACCTGGGTGAGAATTGGTGAAAGTTTATCCATTAATTGATTCACAGTCACGAATTTTGATTCACTCATTTCTTACGAATTAAAAAAATAAATTATTCAAAAATGTAAGACATGAATTTTTAAAGTTTATTTTTTAAAAATTTTTTTTATTTTTTATTTCATTATGGTAGTGAATCTTTTATTCATGAAAATAATTATTTCTAATTTCTTTTACTCTCTCGTATATACTAGATTTAAAGAATTCAGAACATTTCCCATAATCTCCTAAATGTTTTCTTATCTTATTGGTTTTCCATTCATTATATGAAACTGTATAAACTTTATCTTTATCTTTGCATCTTTCATCACTTCCAATATATTTATATTTCAATTTTGATTTATTGGTTTCATATTCATTAACGTTTAATAATTCACAGTCTTCCTTTTTAAATAAATGTTTTATGTATTCAGGATTAACAATTCTATAATATTGCTTCCCTTTAAATCTTTGAATATAAACAGGAACACCATCCTCTAAAATTCGATAATCTATTTTATCTGGTTTTACTTGTTGGGTCATTTATGTAAGAATAAAAAAATAAATTATTTTAAAAATAACTTTAATTTTTTAATGGTTTATAAATAAATATATTTTTATTTTTTATTTCATTATGTATGGGCTGAGTGTAAATGTCTTACAATTTTGAAAATTTTTTAAATCTTGATTTATTCAAAAACGTAAGAATAAAAACCGTAAGAATCATACATTTTTTACTTCATATGTTAAAAAAATGATACAAAATCGCTCGATATTGTATGAATTCTTACGTTTACAAAAAAAGTCACAAAACCCATCATATCCTACTACTAAAAATATATTTCTAATAGATATACATTTCTTATGTATCAATGAACTTACTGTAGCTGATAAGAATGTTTCTTGATGTATTAGTTCATTCTCTTGTATTATTCATTTTGAAGATGAATGAGAGTATGTATAAGGATGAACGGATAAACGAATATACTATGTATTACATCTGAAACTAATATAACAATTTAATCAAACAAAACGTTCCCTTGTTGTAAAGGAAATTAAATTAAATAGAATTCAAGTCATCAATTGCATTGATATCTTCTTCTTCCGAATATGAAAAGTAAAAAGCAATTACAGCAAGTGCTCTAATTATTCCATCCGAAATAGAATTCACTCCACAGCCACTCAATGGAGATTTAAGTATATTTTTAAGTTTATGCATACATGGAGTCTGTGCAGTAGTTGGGCAGTTAACATTTGGGAAATCTGTTAATGAAAAATATCCACAACAATTATATCTTCTTTGAAGGGTTGTTAATTCATTGCTTTGGTATCCTTCAGCCCAAGCTTGAGTATTTAAGATGAAAAATTTATCTATATCGTATATTAAAACGTAACCAAAATAAAGTTCGATAAATATTGTTGGAATTGAGATAAGAGCTGATGCAAATGGAAACAATCTGTATTTTGTTCGAGAAAATCCCCACATGAAAAGGAAAAGCATGAATGAAGAGAATATTGAAATTTCTAAAATTCTAAAAGGAGTATTTGTTATTAAAACAAGGCCAGAACTTTTCATCCATTGAACTATAGAAAATGCATTCATAATCGCTGTCATCATAATACACCCATTTAGAAACAAGGCTAAATAATATTCTTTCTTCATATAATAATGATGGAAATAAAGTTAAGATTGACATTGTTTTCGTCAAACAAAAATGTGTATATTGTAATTTTGTTGAAAATGCATGATATACTAAAATACAATATTTATCGAATTCAAAATAACAAAAACATAATAATTTATAATAAAAACACTAACAAAAGAATAATATAATGAAAAATAATAGAAATGAAAATTGTAATCAAATTCACTTTGTTTTTCTTAAAATTCATTGAGAAACAAGTATAATTTCAATGAATTCAAAAATTAAATTGAAAATTTTGATAATTAAATTAAATTTTGAATTATTTGGATTCTCCGTAGAGTTGATCACCTACTTGATTTGCAAGTTCTTGTAATTCATCAGGGAAATCTTCATCCAAGATTCTCATCAATTCTTCGCTGATATCAACCGAAAAATTTTGATTATGAGATGATAATTCTTTGACAATATTAATAAGAGCTGTTAACACATTAGGATTATCATCATCCATACATCCATCAATAAATCTGGGGATGTATTTAAGTTCATTTTCTGTAGTTAAGTAATAACCTCTCGAAACAAGGCTACTTATTATATCTATAATCTTAACTTTCTCTTTATAATTACTTGTACTGTAAAGTTGTGGTCTACTTAAAAATTTGCTATTTATAACAATTTCGGCAGCTTTTTGAGACGCTCTAGCTGATTTTGCAATCACATCATAGCATACTAGTGATGTTATAGTAGGAACTTGTAATATTTCAAAGACTTTTTCTAATAATCCTAATCCAATGTATTTATCAACGATTTCTTCGCTTGAAAATAATGGAAGCATGCATTTCATGGAATATTTAACACATCTTATATCATTTGAGAAAATCAAATTGAAGATTTTGTCAGAAGTTCCATCTGTACAGAAATTTGTGTAGTATCCGGTTTCTTTTGATAGAAACATTGAAAATGCTTTGATTTTTGATGCGAGATTAAAGTCATTTTCTTTCATTGTTCGAATTGTCAACGCAAAGAACGAATAAGCTTCATTTGCTTCATTCTGTGAGAACTGGTAGTGTTTAAGGAACTTATAAAGTAAATCAAACAATGAAGAAGAAAAATTTTTCATGTTTGGATCGTCTCCAAACGAAATTTGAAGAAAAGATTGGAATGTAGCGCACAATTGTTCTATTTCTATATCAGATGGTGGATTTTCATCATCTATATATTGCTCAATTATGTTTAAAATTGGTTGAAAAATGTATGGAAAATCTGGATTCAGCAAATTTACGATTTGAGAGATAATATTGTATTGAGCGAGTACTTTTCTTGGATGTCTCAGAGAATTGACCATATCTTTAAGTGACAAAATAGATATTTCTAAAAATCGAGTATATTCTGTTTGAAGTATAGGAGAAACTACTTCACAAAGTAGTTCAGATGCATCATCCGTAAAATCTAAACGATCTTGTGTATTTAAAAATTCATACATTTCTTCCCAATCTTCAATATTCATATTATTTCGACATTTTTCCATTAAACTTATTAAATAAACGCAAGATATGTTATTATCATCCTCATTACCACCTACATTTTTGTTATCTTCTTGTATCCCATTAAAATGATCTTTATATTCTTCATCCATAATTTTTTTTTAAAAATCTTTGTAAAAAAAGGTGACTTTTGAATTTTTTTTTAATTATGTGGACAACTAATGAAAGACAAGAATTTGCAGCATGTTTAGCTGCAATGACATCTTATAGGAAAGAATGCCAAAAGGCTATTCTGAAAATGCACAAACAAGGACTAAGAACCGATGATCAATTAGCAAAATTAAATGAAGCAATAAATAACAATGCTAATCTTTTCGAATACATGGCAGAAAGAGGTCCAGAATCGTTTGGACCTGAAAATGCTAACATGTTCCCTAAAATTAATATTCATTTCGATGATCAAGACTTAAATCAATTAGATGCATGCTTACACTCAGCGGCACGTGATTGGACATCTCTTGGAGATGCCGAGCGTGGTGAAGTTTATTCTCCAGTCATTGCCGCTTTGCATAAATACGTCCAGCCAAACGAAGAAGTACTTGTTCCAGGATCTGGACTGTGCAGATTAGCAGTAGAGATAGCACAGTCTGGTTTTATAGCAGAAGCTAACGAAAGTTCTTTTGTTATGTTAGTTATGGCTTTTATTTCAATGTTTTCTGACGGAGCTCAATTTTTAATATTCCCGTTCGTACATCAGATATCAGGACTCGACAAGTTCGAAGATTCTCTGATTTCTGCAGTTTTTCCTGATTTAAGTTCTTCTTTGGCCGATCCTGGTCTTTCTTTAGATCCACCATCATTGATAGAGTCCAGTCGTCTTGTTCTCAAAGCTGGTAAGTTCGAAGGCGTTTACGCAAACGTTTCTGAAAAATTTGGAGCAATTGTTACTTGTTTCTTCATAGATGTCATCAGCGATGTACAAAATACAATCATAAACCTCCATAAATTACTAAAAGATGGTGGAATTTGGATAAATATCGGTCCAATTGTGAATCACAACCAATCTGTTGGATTCTTTTCACCACTCACCCTGGAAGACATAGATAGAATGGCTAGAAATGCTGGTTTCGACATTATCGAACAATCTCGCATTGATACTTCTTATAGCCAAAATCCAAAGACTCATGTTAAAACTAGATATAGTACTCAATTCTCTGTTTATAGAAAATAAAGAATAATATATAAACAACATTTATTTTGATTATTTTCCTGGTTTCTTGGCGCGTGAAGCTGGTTTTGGCGGTGGCTTTTTAGCAACATCCTTTTTGTCTGGTTTAGTTGGTTTGACGTCAATTGTTCCTTCTTCAGGAGTTAATGTAGCTAATAATTTATATGTATATTGTTTTGGGTCTTCTGTTGCACTAACTAAATAATATGTTTCACCAGCACTTAAAAACTGTGTTGCATATGTTGTAAGATTAGGGCGAAGAAGTTTGACGTTTCCATCTTTATCACTAAGATCTAATAATAGAGAAGAATCAAGATTTGCGCACTTTCTGATATGCTCTAATATAACTCCGCATTTGCAATTTATGTTAATTGGTTTATTTTGATCATTAAATCTAATATTTATCTGCATTTTTTTCCACTTTCAAAAGAACCGTTTTTTAACATTATGAGATTTTTAATTGAGAATGCAATTTATCATCCTACAAATAATTGATTTTTTAAAAAAGAAAATGGTCAAATCATATAAATATTTTCTTTGTTAATTTTTTGCTTGAATTCTCCGATCAATTCATGATTCATTAGAATATGTATTAGGTGTACTATTATATAAATAGTTAAAATTGTTTCTTTTGATGCTCTAAAAAAATATCAATCTCAAATTCAATGAATTTGTGCATTAATTTATTAATTCTATCTTGATATTATATTTTTAAAAATATCTACCATTCAATACCCTTGTCGATCAAATATTTCCGAGTGGTTGAAATTCAAATAAATTTGAAATTAGAAGAAGGGAGATTGTTAGTTATTTTGCCCAAAAGATAAGCTATTGATCCCATGGTTTTTAATGGAAAAATAAAAAAATTAAATCTATATTTTCTTAATTTTGCTCTAATATAAAGACATATTTTAATACACTTAAATAACAAAACAAGTTTAGACAGTAGTTGAAGAATACATCGACGAAGCGCTTGCAGATGATCCGCATAAAGCTAAAAATGAGTAAGCAACAATTGCAACTGCAAACCATCCGCTAAAACCGAGTGTAAATATCGAAAGTAGCTGTAATATTAAATATATAAAGTATACTAAAAGTACGTGAACGAATTGTGAAGGTGTTAAAACAATCTGTATCGAAAACTTAAGAGAATTTAATGCTGATATATTTTTGCCTTCAAAAATGAAGCAGCCTTGGTATAGTGAGAAAAACACTATAAAATTAAAAATTACAAGTTTGACAAGCGTTGATGGCTTTCGTATATCTGCGGATGATAAATTGTCTAATAATAAGTAACTTGATACTAATTTCGAAATGATGGTAAGTGCTCCTTGTAAAGATAAAATGTATTTAAATGAATTTACGATTTTTTCGCCATTAATTATCGAAAACATAGTTGAAATAGTAATCATATATATAATAACAAAATAAATCGATAATAAAATTGAGCTGTGAATGAAATATAAAAATGCTAAAGGAATGTTAAGTACGGGAATAAGCATTATTGTCCTTAATGGTCGTCTTTTAAGAAGTGCATATGAGTTAGAGAATAATTCGAAGAAATGAATAGAACTCGAACGATTAAATCGATTTAATCTCCAATATTCAAAATCTCCAATGTCTTCGAAATGAATTTCGTCACTCTGCCTTCGAATACGTCGTTGGTATTCTGGGAGATTGACTTTCAGTTGGTCAAAATCATCAGAGGAGTCACTATCCATATTTCTTCTAAAATTCCAGATTTCAAGGGGGTCGAACAATGGAAAAACAGAAATTGCCCAGATTTTGGCAATACAATATTCACGTTAAAATAGTAGTATTTGTCGATTTCATACAAAAAGCTAAAAAAGATCTCAATAAAATTGAGTTAAATATTTCAAATTTACGATCAATCATCTATAAATATGAGATAATATTGTTTTTGCCTGTTTCAGCTTCTTTAAACGCGCTCTCATTCGAAATATTATAATTTCTACTTTTTATTCAAAATTGTGGATTCAGTTTTAGCATTTCATGTTTACATTATACTTTGAGTAAACAATGGTATAGCTTATATTGCTCTTTATGCAATAAGTAACCAAAATTGAATTAAATTAACTATTCTTAGGGTTTAAATGAATGACCTATAAATTGAGAGCATAGGATTGCATATACTTCCTGTAAAAATTCTTGTTTACTAAGAAATTATCATTTCTTGATTCAAATTTACGCAATTTTTAAATATCAACCTGGTATTCTTAATAAATAAGTAATATCTATAATCCATTCAATCAAAAAACAATTGCGAATCTATGTCCTTTAGAGGGTCCATGGCATCATAGCCGTCCAAACCGTTTTCGATCCTTTTCGAATGGAAGGTGTAAAGCTTTTTGGCAAGTACGACTACTCCGACGTCGATTTCAGCCAACTTGACCCAGCTCTTGTTGACTACATCTCAGTCCATGAAAAACAACATGTCATGGTTCCACACACAGCTGGCCGCTATGTTCATAAGCGTTTCCAGAAGGTCTCCTGCCCACTTGTTGAGCGCCTCTGCAACCACCTTATGTCCCGTGGCCGTAACACAGGCAAGAAACTCCTCGCAATCCGCATTGTTGAGCACGCTTTCGATATCATCGCTCTCTCTACAGGCCAGAACCCAATTGTTACATTCGTCAAGGGTGTTCAGTACTGCGGCGCTCGCGAAGATTCAACACGTATCGGTGTTGGTGGCACAGTCCGTCGCCAGGCTTGCGATGTCTCTCCACTCCGCAGAATCGACCAGGCTCTCTCCTTGATCACAGAAGGTGTCCGCAAGGCTGCTTTCCGCTCATCCCGCAATATCGCTGAGTGCCTCGCCGATGAACTCATCGCTGCCTCAAACAACGATCAGACATCCTACGCTTGCCGCAAGAAAGACGAACTCGAGCGTATTGCCAAGTCTAACCGTTAAAGAGTTTTGAATGCATTCCATTTTCCACATATTGCACGCCTGAATAAAATATCATTCAAACAAAATACTAATTTTTCCCAAAAAACAATCAGCAAATTAGTAACTACCTTTAATGTTAATATTTTGAGGTAAATTTATTGGATATTTTAATTTTAAATTGCCTAAAATAAGGCACGTTCATCATTGTGAATGTTATTCATGTTAAATATAATAGTATGCAATCAAACTTAATATTAAGAAGTTTTTTAATTCAAATGCCTAACCTACTCATTTAATGGCATTGGGTCTGTTTAATTCTGACATAATCATTTAAGCAAAGCAGGAATATAAGTAATTTATGCTCATTTTCTATATGAAATTAATATGGAAATGTGGTTGAATAGATAACAGCAATTTTTGGAAGATAGTTGATTCTTATTCCCCAATAAGTTCAATGATAGGATGATTGCTGCTTAAAATTCGTTATTAAAGAAAAATTTATAACAGGAATTAAAAATTTGGAAGCATTTCGATAAAGAAAGAATAAAAACATCTATTTAGAAATTCTCAACAAGATAACGTAAAAGTGGTGAAAAATTTTGTTTTGTTTTGGCCGATAAGGCAAAAATCTGTATTTTTCGATCGCCTTCGTCTTTTAATTGAAGGGATGTATATAAATCTTCCGCAGATATACAACCAGGTATATCTTGTTTATTTGCTATAACTATAAGAGGTTTATTTTTGTAATGTGCATCTTCAAAAAGTGATTCTAAATTATTTTGGCATTGTAATATTGATTCATAATCTGCTGCATCTACTACGTAAATAATTAAATCTGCTTGCTTGGCATATATACTCCATAAAAATGTAAAACTTTGGCTACCACTCATATCCGAGACATTTACTTTTAAGTTACCGATAGATAAAGATGAAAATTGAGCTCCAATTGTTGGTGTTGTTGGAACAGTTGTATTTTGATTAGCCAACGCCTTTACGAAAGTTGTTTTTCCGGCATTTGGAAGCCCTATAACTGTAATATTCAGCTCTTTTTTAATAAAAATGCTAAGGAGCCACTGCCAAAATCTTTGAAAAATGTCCATTTTAATAATGGAAAATCTCACCGATTATTTTTTGCATTTTCTAGCGGTTTTGATCTAAATTATAGGAATGAACTAATTAGGAATTTTTATCATAGATTGATCAAAATCTATCTTCAAATCAAAATTGAATTGGCAGTTTATATTTTACCTGGTACACTGCATTCATGCAATTTATTAGATTATTTAATATGAAAAATTGAATGTACTTGAAATCAATCGAATTTTTAAATTCAATTAAAATATATTTTGTAACGTTTGCATAATCTATCACCATATTTCATAAAATTTCATGGATTTCGTTTCAATTTAAAATCTGGCAAAATGACAGCTTGGCAAATCTGACAAATTTATCAAATTATGTATTTGAATAGAGATTCAGAGTTCGGTCTAAGATTTTCCTAGAGATTTTCAAATGTTTAGGCATAGAATCTATTTAATAAATGCTTTTGGCCCTAGGTGGATTGGCTTTCAGATTCAATTCTAATGGATTGATTATTTTCCTACAAAATATAATTTGTTTCAAGTAATATTAGTAAATGATTTACTAAAAATTACTAATTTCAAAGAACAAAGTAAAAGAATTGTCAACTTTATACCGCTCATTAAAACTGCATTCTACATATATAGCCATGCAGTTTATTTTGGATATTTTGCTCAATTATTTTGTTATAAAGAGAATATTAAAGAATTTTTACTAAATTTTGTCTCAATTTATGTTTTATGAGCTGTATCTTTAAGTCATTACATTTTCATTGTTATTTTAAGAAATTTGATAATTGCTATTATGTAAAAATTTCGATCGTAAATTTCATAAGATTCTTATCTAACTGTAATCTGTACTAATGCTAGAATTTCGGAGATAAATCGTAAAGCTAAATTCATGTTATATGACTAATTGAATTTAGAAACTATATATTGTATGGATATAAAAATATATCTGCAAGAATTGAGAATAATTACAATTCTCTATATTTGCATTATCTCTGCGGAATTGGTAAGTTATTATGTTATGATAAAATATGTTTTATATTGCTCACAGAGCGAGAATTTCATTTTCTTTATATATTTGTCACTTTTCGTCTGTACGTTTGCAAAAAATGTTGGAATCCCACTCAAGCAACTCAAGCTTGGAAGAGCGGGAAGAAGCATTAGAGAAACTGAGACTATTGGTTTCACAAAAACAACAGCAAATTGATGATTTATTATTATTAAAAGACCAAAATAGAGAATATAAACAGAAAATCAGGGAGTTTTCTGATAAAGTTATAAAGCAAAAGTCATCAATATCAGAAAAAAATAAAATGATTTCAAGAATATATCTCGAATTCGACTTAAATCTTGAATCAGATTTTCAGGAGAACTTAGAAAAGCTTATAACAATTGCAAAACAGTACAAAACCTATCAAAAGTTCATTAATTCAATAGGAATATTATTTAATATCGATAATCCTGAAGAAGATTCAAAAATTCAGGAAATAACGGAACAAATGATGCAATTTTCCGAAACATCTACAATATTAGAGAATGTACAAACATTGCTTCATTGTTCTAAAGACGAAATTCAAAAAGCCGTCGAAAATTTAGTACAAGAGCAAAAACCTAATCAAGTAGCTCATAATCATATTGCTGACATTCTTGAAATGACAAAATGGGATGCAGATAATACAGCTTCAGCTATTGGCTCCCTTAAACACAATTTTATGGAATTAAATAACCAATTTGATGATATTTGTTCAATTCTTAATCTAAATCGTGAAAAGGCAAATCTACCACGTGATATTTCCAGATTAATGCATCAATTCGAGGATATCAAAGAGAAACAACAAGAATGCGAAAATCATATTCAGCAATTGAAAGAAATTCTTCATGAGCAAGATAGTGATGCAGATAAGCTTATTGATGTCGTTACAAAACTAAAGAAAGAATCCGATATTACTAATAAAAAAGCTCAATTATCCGAAATTGTCAACAAAGATAAAATTAACGAACTTCAACAACAATCCAACTTGATTTCAAGGCTTAAGCAGCTTGTTGGAACAATGGATCAAGATGTTGATCTCGAGCAATCAACTCAAAGATTAATTGCAGAAAACGTATCGAACAAGCAAATTCTTGATGAGATTCTTGAAGCTCTTCCAGAACGATCAATCATATCTGAAGCAACAATTTCCGAAGTTATTAAGAAAGCCATTAGTAAATCTGACGCATTTGATGATATTTGCCAAGTTTTGGAACAAGATCCTGAGAAAATTCCATATTCTGATGTAGTCAATATTGTATCTCAACTCCAAACTGCCCAAATTTCGAAATCTAAAACAAATAATTCTTTCTCTATTGATAATAATAAACAAATTATGGATGGACTGCTTTCTGTATGTGAAGGAGCTGATAGCAACAACATTTCTGGTGAACTTAATGAAATTAAGAACAAATTAAACGAATTATTTAATAAGAAGCAAACCAATTCCGAAATCCTAGATCTGGTTAATGATATTGTTCAGAGGCTCGCAGAGATATTTGGCTTGGATTCTGAATCAAATATTTTAGAAAAATTCAAATTACAAAAATCTCTTAATCAATATAGTGATGCATCATATGAAGAAGAAAATGCCGAAAATACAACTGCCAATATGCAACAACTTGCAAAAATCTTAAATACTGAAAATGCAAATGAAATTCCACAAAAAGTAGAGGAAATGAGCGAACAAATCTCAGCTATATCACAAATAGTAGATAATAATACATGCGATGTTATCGAAAATGTAAAAGAACTCAAAAATGTTGTTGATGAAATCAATAAAATCCTATCTGCCATCAAGAGGAATGATAAATCACCAAGAAAGCCTGAGAATGAACGTTTGGAGCTTGTCAACAAGGTTAGAGAGATGAGAGATTGTTTAAGCTCGATTTCGAAATTATTAGATGTTCCTTATATTGCAGATCTACCAAGAAAGATCAAAGAAATGAAAGAAAGGATATCGCAACCAGAAAGCAAGACAGAAGAGTCGATACCGTTCTCATCAAAGAGCAAGGAATTATCTCCAATCAAAAAAGATGAAGATTTCCAAGTAAATAGTGATATTGAAGATCTCGAAAACATCAAAGATATGATAATTGGTGTATTTGATGGAGGAAATATGAATCAAATCTATGAAATCTTGCAAAAATTGAAAGATGAAATAATTAAAGGTGACGATGACCAAGAAGTTGCAAATATTGCAAGATCATTGTTCATACAAGACGAATTAGACGTTAATTCCACATCTCCAAGGACTCAAAGTTCAATTTCTCTGATTTCATTAAGTCCATTAACTCCAAAAATGAATAAAACAGTTGATTCTGTTGAAAACCAAGTTAAAGAGATGTCACAAATGAAAGCTGCACTTGATGCCGTTTGTGAAGAGCTTGGCATCGAAGATACAAACGAAATTGTTGAAAAGGTCAAAGAATTAAATGAAGATTTATCACAATTCCATTCTTTGTTGGGTGTAGATGATAAAGAACAAAGTTGGCAGAGAGTCAAAGAGATGATTTATGTATTAGATAAAACTAAAAATGAATTAGAAGCAAAACAAGAAAACGAAATTCCGAAAATTGCCAAAAATTTGAAGCAAAAAGTCACAAAAATTTCCGAAATTCTCGGAAATCCAAAGGATTTAGAGAGAAGAGTACAGCAATTGCAAGATGAAAACACTCATTATACTAATTCAGCAAAGAAAGCTGAACAACAAAACTCAGACAAAGAACTTTTGGAAATCATTGGAAATGTCACAAAAACATTAAATTTGAAGGATAAAAAAGACATTTCTACAAAAGTCCAAGAGATGAAAGGCATTCTTTCTAGTGTTTCTAAGACATTAAGAGTTGATAATAGTAAAATCAAAGAAAAGGTGAATGACTATTCCAATATTGTTGTTCAATGTTCAGTTTTACTGGATTCAACTAAAAATTACAACGAAATTCCTCAAAAACTGAAAGAAATTAAGCAAGAAATGGATGAATTGAAGGAAATTTTGGACACAGAAGACGTCAATGAAGAAGTCATGAAACTCAATGATCAGATGAATGAAATAAAGAAAGTTCTTGAAACAGATGATGCTTTGGATGAAGTTAAAAAACTTAAAGAAGAAAAAGAAAATGAAATCCAAGAAAAAATGGAAAATTTGAAGAAAATGGATCAAATACAAAGCTCACAAAAGATTATTTGTGGAATAGTTGGTAAACAAACTATAGATGATGCTATAAATGAGATCAAATCATTAAAGGAACAAATTCAAAAATTAAAGAATGAAATTTCAGTTAAAAGTGACAAAATTTTGAATGACATCAAAGAAAAGATGAAATTACCGGAAGCAACAACAGAACAAGATCTTGTTGATGCAATTGCTGTCATGGAAATTGAAAATGAAGAGTTGAAAGAAAATGATAAGAAACTGAGAGAAATTTTCAATTCTGACATTTCTGTTGACACTTTAGAGATATTAAAAGAAGTAGAGAATCTGAAACAAAAAGAAGACCAACTCAAAAGCCTGGTTGAAAGTGAAAATTTGGTCGATGAAATCCAAAAACTAAATGAAAATCAACAAAGAATTTTGGATGAATGTGATAAAAGTGACATAAGTGAAGTGATCGAAGAAATCAAAGATCTCAAGAAATTGCAACAAGATGTTGAGAATTGCTTCCCTACAAATGACGTCAGTCAAATCAAAGAAGAAAATGAAAATTGTCAACAATTTTTAGAAAAATTGAATGAAATTTTCGGTTTTGACAATGATGACGATCATAAAGCAGAAATTACTGAATTAGTTAGTGATCTGAAGAAGAATGATCAGAAACTCAGAGGAGTAATGAAATCAGATCCCGAGACAGAAACAAAAACTTTGATTAACGAAATTTCTGAAAAAATACCAATTTTTGAAAAAGTTACTGAGATTTTAGGAGAAGAAAACTTAGTTGAAAAAGTCCAAGAGCTTTCTGAAATGAAGGATATTTCTGATAGAGAAAACAAGCCAATCGCAGAATTATTGGCAGAATTGAAGAAAGAATTAAATGATCTCAAAAACAATAGAAAAGAGGTTTTGACAATTTTGAAACAACCGCAAACGGATGATAACATTTTGAAACAATCTGTTCAGATGCTAGTTAATGATAAAAATGCTTGTGAAGAAAAATTAGCAAAAACAAAGCTTGTTAATGAAAAAATGACAAAATTAGTTTCAGAAATCAACAGTACATTATTAGTTAACGAAGATGACGACGGAGAAGAAGCAATAAGTAAAATAAAGGATTTGCAAGCTGAATTACAAGCAGCAAATGAAGAAATGAAGAATATGGATGATTATGTCAATAAAGTTAAAAACGAACTCAGAAAGCTTGATAATTTCGGAAATGGCGACTTGTTAGGTGCCATTTCAGCTGTTAATGAAAGTGGAAAAGTTGCTGCTTTAGAAATGAAACGAGAAAAGGAAAGAGCAGAAAACATCAGATTAGATTTGATCAGAATTTTGTCAATTGATGATTCTAATAAAGATTTTGATGAAATTGAAGATGAATTGATTGATCTGATGAAGAAACAACAATCGTTGCAAATCAGATTGGCAACAATCTTCAATTTACCTGAGAATCATCAATCATTTTCTGAGATTTGCATTGCTGCAAAAAGAGTTGTTGATCAATTAAATGAAAAATCAACTCAAAGTAATGAAAGTGAAAATACTGAAGAAGAGATTCCATGTAGCAAATGTTCTGCTCTTGAAGAAGAACTTAAATCAATGAGTGATGAATTAAATCAGCGAGAAAGAGAAATAAATTCTCAAAAGAAAGAAATTTCTTCACTCAAAGATGAAATCGAAAACTTGGAAGATCAAATTTCAACACTGTTTTCAAAGTTAGGAACAGGAGTAACAACAATGAAAGAAGCTCTTGATAATATCAAGTCATTGAGAAGAGATTCAGAACTTCTTAAAAAGAACGAATACAAGTATAAGAAAGTCGAACGTGTTAATGATTCTTTGCAGAAATTTAAACACGAACAGACAGCTAAATACAGAGGGGTTGCTGAGAAACTTTCAGACCAAGCTGATATGATGAAGAAAACTCTTGAAAAGACAATTCGTGTTTCAAACGAAACAGGAAGTAAACAACTTGAATTAGCTCAGTCTCTTTCACAAATTGATGAAGACAACAAGAAGTTGATGTCAATGCTTGAATCTCCACGACAAACAAGCAATACTAAATCTCAAATTCCGTCACAGTTTACGAAACTTCCATGTGAATCACCTCTTTCAAATGAAGAACTTAGATTGTTTAAGAAGAAGAGTTCATCTGGAAATCGCTCAAGTATTGATGTAGAAAGAATGAGAATGGTTGATGATGACCAAGAACTAATAAGAAAAAAGAGGAAACTTTCCAAAATCGAAAAGGAAATAACATTCAACTGTAGTTGCTCAAATAACTTAACTAATCAATCACAAACATTATTATAGATTTAATATTTATATATTTTTGTTTTATTAAATATTTGTTTTAATTTTTCGCAAAATTTGATATCACAAATTACTTTTTTGTTGTTGTTGACAATAATGGACTATATTGTATTTACATTCAGAACACTAACTGTCATTCAATAATACTGTATTCAGCATCCGTTTTTTTAGAAATGATTTGGATAGAATTTCTCATAATTGAAGCGAAAAAGAAAGTTTATTGGGTACACTTTATAGTTTTGTGCCCAATATCCGGTGCTTTCTAAGTAGAATTGAGAATTGCAGAGTGCTTATTCTATTTCAGCATTGTGTAGCCTTGGATTCCTAATTTGAAAGTATCGTAATCAAATTTTATATAGATATGAAATTATATTTACAGATTTTCATGGCATATTTAACAAAAAGATCATTTTTCAGTCTAAATTTCGATTTAAAATTTTTATCGGATTTTTTGTAAAGTTACAACATTACAAATTCAAATCCGGCCATGGATCTGAATTACGAATATATTGCTGCTCATATCAGCGATTATATTGAAAATGAAAACTTTTTCGATACAATTGAGATAAAAGATATCGAAAAAATCATGAAACATTCACATTTGACAGTTGATCAGTTTAATACTCTTCTCAAGCAATCTTCTTCAACTATCAGCTCAAGAAAATTATATACGTGCACACGAAAAGCATATGTTACTATCCAAAACAACGAAGATATTCTTTCAATTCTTAAATCTGTCAAAAAATGCATGAAATTCAATTGATGGTGCTGTTGATGTTTTAAATCAAAAAGACAAAGAATTGCGTAATTCTACTGAACAAATCAAAAAACTTCAAGGAGAAATAAATCAAAAAGACAATCAATTGCGTAATTCTACTGAACAAATCAAAAAACTTCAAGGAAAAATTAAATGAAAAATCAACTCAAAGTAATGAAAGTGAAAATACTGAAGAAGAGATTCCATGTAGCAAATGTTCTGCTCTTGAAGAAGAACTTAAATCAATGAGTGATGAATTAAATCAGCGAGAAAGAGAAATAAATTCTCAAAAGAAAGAAATTTCTTCACTCAAAGGAAATCGAAGAAGAAAAGTGTGTGATATATGATGGGAACTTTTTTCCTTCAATCCTGAAAAATTGAATAAAAGAGTTTAATAAGTATTGCCCTATTTTCTACACACTTTTTAATGGTGCAGGAAAGTGAAAGCTATTAAAAAAACACGCTTTTCAAACTCATAAAATCATTTTTATTTTGATTTATATATATGAATATAAACTTTAAGCGATAATGTTTCATATTTAAACTTAGTAAAATTGATGTTTATGAATAGAAGGTAAAATTGCATTTATCTCAACATATTAGAATTGAAAATAAAATTTGTTCTAAGACTTACTGTATAACTTTTTAAATTTGTATTTAATGTATCTCACTGGAAACCGCCACCATCATATTTGTTCTCCAATGTCAATTAGCAGATTTCAATGAGATTGTAGTGTAATCAGTTTTAGTTTTGAAGATACCCACTAATTGCATCTCAACACTTTTTATCAAGTACCAAAAGTTTTCTGTAATAATATATTATTCCTGGATTCAATCACGCGTTCGCAGCGATCGATCCAGGCTTGAAAGACACGCTTTAAATCATCATGAGAAAATTGCTCAAATTGCTCTCTTACAAATTTTTCAAGATCATCTGGACTCGCGAATTCGCGTCCTTCAGCTCTCTTTTTTAGCGTGCCGAATAAATAAAAGTCAGAGGGTGCAATATCAGGTGAATAAATTGGGTTTGGAACAACTTTGACATTGTTTTCCACCAAGTAATTCATTACCTTATGACTTTTGTGAACTCTTGAATTATCAAAATGAATTGCAAACTTTTGTTTTTGTTGTTTGGATTTCTCAAACTCATCAGAATTGATAAATTGAGTAAGAACATTGTCAATTAGATACTGAGCATTCATCGTATTAGGTTTTTGAAGAATATCAATTGCGATGATGCCATTCACACCCCAAAAAACCGACAACATAATCATTGGTGTGTCAATTTTTTTCTTCGGGAATGTTTGCGGATTTTCATCCTTCGGGATCCACATGATTTTGGCTTCTGTTGCATATTGAAACCAAGACTCGTCCCATGTTACTAAAAAGCGAAACTTCTTGGATTGATACGCACCCAATATAGAGAGGAGCTCTTTCGAAGATTGGACTCTAGATTTTTTTGAACTGAATTAAGGTTGTGCGGAACCCAACGTGTATACGCTAGTTTGTAGTTCAAATAATTGTGCAGATAATAACTGACTGTTGTACGTGGTATCTTTGTCATCTCCTCTATCCTTCTGAGTGATGCTCTTGGGTCTTCATCTAGCGCTTGAAGAATTGCTTTGATTTTTCTTTGATCCGGCGATTTTTTGTCAATTTTTATGATGGGCGCCTTTTTGTTCATGAAGTGATACATCCTAACATGATACGTTACAGTGGAATAGCTAGGAGCATCCATACCGAAGCATTTTACCAATGTCTCGTAGATTTTTTTACAGTCTTTGCATTTTTTTGCAAGAGCGAGGATGTTTTCTTTATGATTCATTAAAAAAATGAAAAAAATCCCGCCAAAATTTCCCGCGAAACCGCCTCTTGTCTCAAAATTCATTTTATATCCCGGCATGGCGCCAAAATACAACATACTCATCATATACATATATTCATATTTTTTATTATATATTTATAATCAGCATATATCTCCTTTAATAGTCTCATATAGAGCGCTGTGCTAAATGCACCTTTGGACACCCTATATTAATATCAATGCCAAAAACATAAAAGAATCAGCCCCACTTCATTATGCAGCATTGAATAACTCAAAAGAAACAGCAGAAGCTATTGTTTCAAATTCCTCTGATATCGATTTATTAGATGGTATAGGATCTACGGCGCTTCAGATTGCGGCAGATAATAATTGCAAAGAAGCATTAGAAATTCTTGTTACTAATGGGGCAGATATCAATAAAAAAGGTAATTATGGTGAAACAGCCATATTTAAAACGGCAATTCATAATTATTATGAAATTGTTGAATATCTTATATTGAAAGGTGCAAAAATTATTAGCAAAAATGAATTTCAAGAATCTCGCAGTCTTGATATTGCAATAAAAAACAATTATGTGGAAACAGCAAAAATTCTGATTTCTCATGGAGGATCTATGAAATCAAGGTTTAAACGTTCTACTCCTCTTCATTTGGCATTAAAGCATGATCGTCTTGAAATAACGCAATTTCTTCTTAACTATGGTGCAGATATATATGCAAAAGATTGTGGTATGTCAGTACTTGATTTGGCAAGAAAAACATCTTATCAATTATCATCCCAACTTGTTATTTCTCATAGTAATAATAATAAAGGCTTTTTCTCAAGATTATGCTTTTCGTTATTATCATATATGCAATTTGGTATTTAATGATCAAATAAAAAGTAATATTTTTAACTAAACCATTATTTATTTAAGTGTCTAATGGTCAGAATACTCTCTCTCTGTCTAGCATTCTTTAGATTACACTCTCGCTAAAGGTGGATGATAGGTACTTATTTTGACTTTCTATTTAGAAAGGCACGCCTCAGGATAAGTTATTTCAATAATAACGTTAGATATGCAAAGCAAAATGTTTAATAATCATTGTAGAAAACATTTTTAGTTAGTGAGGATTACAGAATATGTTATGTGTTCATTGTAAAATTTGAGAGATGATCTGCAAATAATAATTATCGACTTTTCTTAAATCGATTTTTGGGAGAAATTGTGTTAACAAAATCCTTAATTCTAAAATGTATAACATAAATGATCTATACTTAGGATATATGATTAGATTTGGGCCTTACCATATAAACTGTAAACTGTAATGATAGCCTTCATTTGATCATACAGTAGATTCTTAAGGGTTCACTTATGACTTCCAGAAGTAAATTTAATTTTTTTGACAACAAAGCTTTATATCACCATTTTCTCTGATAAAAAAGTTAATATTTGGTCAGGAAAAGGCTATTATAAATCATTACCTAGTACATCATAATGTTAAATGAAGATATATTAACATTAAGAGAGCATATAAGAAAGTTGTAAGTGCTCCCTTAAATAAGCCTTTAAACAAAATCAATTATGTCATTTCCTATTGCAATTTTCGTTATGAAGGTGTGCTACACATTAATATCAGATGTGCGTAAGTGTACTCTTATATATTTAATAATAAAAGAAAATAATAAAAACGTTTTTTTTTAAAACAAATAGAAAAATAATAATAAAAAATCAAATAAGTTGTTGTATCTTTTCCAAAGAACTAACAACGATATTAACTAAGTCATTATCGAATCCTATATCTTTTCCTGACGAAATCAGTTCCTTGAGACAAAGAGCCAACTGGTACATCTTCAATTTTGAGTCGTGTTTTATTTCTTTTGCTCTTTCTGCGTTACTTTGTTCCTCGTGAATTGCTTCTTTTGTCTTCTTTATTGACTTCGAAATCCAGTTGACATTTGTTGCAATTCCGCACAAAACGCCATTGTTGTATGATCCTCTCAACAAATACTCCCTCGGCTTGTCGAAAATCAAGACAACTTTCGCGTTTATGTCTCCTTTCTTGTCAATTGCTTTTCGAAGGATGTCTGTGACTCTTTTTCTGTCTTTCTCGCGACAGACTGATTCAATGGAGCTCCAGTTGAACGTGATCTGTCCTGAAGCCATTGGTGGCTTGTTGAATGTCCTCTTTGGCTCATTCGCGTCTTCGAAGAACCAATAAAACATTTTTGTTGAGCCAAGGAAAGATTCGGCCTTTTTCATCATGTCTGACATAGCTAGAAGACTCTGCTTCTTTGTATTGTTGTTATAAATGAAGAGAATCATTTTGTCATTGATAACAGCGATAATGATCTTAAACCAAGTCATTGTTTTGATCTTGCCAGCTAATTGGACATCAAATGACACGTAATTGCCTTTTTCGTCTTTGATGGACTGTATCTTGGCTTGGATGCTGTTGACTGTCTCATGTGGAGCTTTGTTTGTGATTAATGAAATTATATCGTTCAATTGGCCGGTATTTGGAAGCTTTCCTTGGCTGTCAATGACTGTACAATCCTTTGTGGCCATGTCTGAGAGGATTAATATGAAGTCTGACTCTAAATTATTGATGGTATTTGTTATCTGCTTAATATGGTCTTCTGAAGAGATAGCTCTCAGCTGTCTGAGTTCTCTACTTGCGAATATGAAGTAGTTTCCATCGCTTGCGGCTTTAATCATGACATAATTTACAGGATGGCCTAAACTTGATACCAATCTTATGCTGATTTGGTCTTCTTTATCAAGGAGGTCTTCGAAATTAATATTTTTATCATCTTCGTAAATTACATCCAAAAGTGAAGTGATCACACCGTTGTAACCCAATTCAATGGACAAAAGAGAAGGATGGACTAAATCCATATTCTTGGAGACTTTATGGAGTCCAAGGAAGTCGCTTGCCATCCTGAGATCGTCGTGAGCGGCTTTGAGCTTTTGAGAACGTCTATAATAACTTGATACATCTTCAACTAAGTACAAGTATATGTTTTGAGCGATTGTTTTATCGTAATAACTAGTACTCGATATAGATACGCACTCGTCTTGGCCATTTGACCTTGTAAACATCACGACATAAGAATTTAATTCTTGTCTACCGTTTGTTGTAAGGATTCTTGACTTGATCTCTGGGGAGATGAGTTCGAGGAACTTATCTATGATCTCCTGGTTGATATCCATGTCATAGATCTTTCCAGTTGCCCTTAAAAAGTGGCTTGGATTTCCTACGCACTCAACCAACGAGAAAATCTCGGTTCTTTCGAGCAGGTTGTGTACTCTCATGAGAGATCTTGCATCTACGCGTGAAGAAAGTACGGAATGATGATAAGAAACTAACATCGACATAATAAAGTGAAATGTGTTCTCTGTAACGCAAAGACTGAGGTGATTTGCGATCTGTCCGGTCAATACAATGTATGCTACGTTAGCTACTTGGAATCTGTTCGTAGTAAACATATAATCTCCGATATGTTTTTGAGAAATGGTCGTAGGACCTTTATGTGTTGGCATTTTGCGAATAATACTATCGACAATGGGTTGTGTGTCATCAAACTTCGAAAATTTGACGATTTCTTCGATTTTATTTCCAGTTATTGTAATAACATCTAAAGAAGCGAAGTCCAAACGCTTGAAAATCATCGAAATGAAGTTCTTGAATGCATCTAGAGTAGGTGGGATGTAAGCAATTTGGTTAATTATGCCTAAATGCATACAATCTATGTAAGAAAGGTGTAAAGAGTAAGATCCGAACGGTAAATCGTTTTCTACGTTTGACTTGATTTCAACATTCGCCTTTTTATCGAAGTGGTTGAAGGAAATATCTGCTTTTGGAAGTCCATTTTCGTAAGAGATGGTAATCGGAAGTGGAGTAGGCTCGATTGAGTCATCAAGATGTATTTGGGCACCTTCGATGACGGTATTAAGCGGTTCCGCAATTTCTTCATATCTTTCAATCCAATAAGCAACGAAGAAAAATCTGGAAAGAGTGTAAACGAAGAGATGTGACAGTTCTGTATACTCTGCTGTGCGTTTTATGCCGATAACTATTTGCTGGTTCTTTTTTGTTTCTTCTGCTAAGTCAAGGAGTTTAGATAGCTTACGTTTATTGGCGAAACTGAGATTTGCTGGTGATGTAAGGTCGATTTTTGTGTTGGAGACAAACCAAAATCGAGATCCAGTGCCGTCATTAAAATTGAACGGTAAAAAGAAGAAATAAACCCTCAAAGACATGAGGATTATAAAGAGTAGTATTGATAGATACACAACGTTCTTGTAAAATGTTAAATCCATCTTATGACAAATTGGATTTGAAATTGAAACGTTATATTGAGAATAAACACTGGCAGATGATTTTCCTTGTATCAAAGAATATGAATATGGTAACATATTATAGCCAGGTTGATCGTGTGAAGATAAAATATATCTTATATTTGGTTGCATTTTAGAAACAGGCTCAAAGCCAAGGTTCATGTATTTATTAATGACTTTCTCATCTAATAATGAATCTGGTATATATAAAAATTTATTTGTTTTATCTGTAAAATTAATTTTCTCGAGAATATGAATATTGTTAACGGGAACATTAATAATGCAATCTAATCTCCATATTTTTGTATCCTGTGGTTTTGTTGTGACTAGAAAATCGGAATGATCAACAATAACTTGTTTTCTCATATCAAAAGCAGAAGAAAACTTATCGTTGAGATTCTCAATATCTATCTTCACATAATATTTAGGCTTCTGGCACCATATTAATGATAATAGTGCAAAAAGCATAAATTGCAAAAGTGACAGCAAGAAAATAAAAAAAAGTATATGTTATATAAAATCAATATTTAGGTGTTATTTCGATTAGACCCTTTATTTTTGTAAAATATTGCTTTTAATTAAAATAATTTCATCAATAATCAATAAATTGAGCCCAAATTCAACTGTTTAGCAATGATTACTGTTTTACTATTAAATAATTCTTTCAGATTGGTTAGATGTAAACTTGTTTCAATCCGGATTTTTGACATTTCTTACGTTAAATCTACAAAATTTTTCACAATTGTCAAAAATTCGTTGATGTCTCTCTCAGCGCGAACTTTGCGAACGCCGAGGAGACAGCGCATAATTGTTGTTCCTAGACCACCTGCTTATGCAGCTACACCAATATATGCGATGTCAGCGGTATATAGATCACTACAAACGCCTGCATCTGAAAGAACACTGTTAAACATTGAAGCAATTTACTCATATTTGAAAAATTGGCCAGTATTTACATCTCTTGTATCTAATGAAAAGATTCAAAAAGATATTTGCAAAGCAATTCAACTAGAAAAATACGATGATGGAGAAATAATATATAAACTCGACGATTTATCGGATGGATGGTATCTCATATACTCAGGAAATGTAATACTAGTTGAAAAGTGCGATTACCCGCCAACAGATCCCGATGAACAATTATCAGAAAAATATTTTAGAAGAATTCACAATCCATACTTGAAAAATCAAAATTTTCGGATTGTTCGTAGAGCTACAGTATCAGAAGATATCGGAAGACAAGAAATGATGTCAAATTCTTTCCGAAAGCAATATTGTTTGTCTGTTGGTACAACGGAAGTATTAAGAGTCGATCCATATACATTTAAATTTGTTTTAGATTCATACGAAAGCTTTATAGTTCAAGAAAGAGCAGGTTTAATCCTTCATATCAGAAAATTAGAACCTTTATTTGATTATCATGACATTTCTCAATATGTAGCTGAATCTTTGAAAGATATCAGCCTTGAAAGAGGTACGGTTATTAACAGATCTAATCCAATCGAAAACGGTTTTTTATTAATCCAATCTGGACTTATAAAAGTATATAGAAAGATAAACTTCTCAAATATTAGAGTATTACCAAGCTGCCTGAACGTCGGTGATCGAACAATTATCCTTCCAAATGGAATATCAGATCTTGTTTCAGGAACATACGGGGAAAGTACAATTTTGGCACTTCCCGAGATGTATACATCAACTGAATACGATTATAGAGCAGTTGTTGTGAAGAAAGTCAAAGGTCTGATCCTCCCATACAAAGATTTCTTTTCGCTAATTCCGATGACTGTCCAAAAAAAGATTTTAGCGAATGTCTTGGACACGAGGAACGAACAAAAAGTAGTAGACGACTATATAGATCATGAGAGGAAGAACATATGGAAGAGCTATCGCACGAAATGCTTTGATGAAGCGATCGAGATAAATTCCGTTTCCAAAAATTCATGTTATGATGATGTTTTGGCTAGAAGTCCACGTACACCTGATTCTATACCATCGTACAGGCCTAGAACGTATCATATTGCAAGAAGAACGATGCCATATTGATAAGGCAAAACCTTTAATTTTGTTGTTATGTTATATAATAAAATGATAATGTTATATCAATGATATTTTTCTGGTAAATAGCGATTCCTATCAATTATTGTATGGCGGATTTGAATACACATAGAATTTTTTGAATGCAAAGTTTTTTTTATTTTTATAAGAGTGCACGATAAGATAGAATATGCAAGAAGAATCTAATGCGGAATCATACTACCCTTCTCCAGAGCAGCTCACGGACATAAAGTTACCGAATGAGCTGCCGAACTTCGGAGATTTAGTGAATAAAAATCCAATCCAAGCAATTGCTGCTTTACGTAAATTTAGTGAGAATTTTACAGACCCGTACTATGTTGGCAAGCTCCTAGCTATTACTAAAATTATTAAACCAGATAAACGCACAGAGGCCTTATTTAATACCGGTATTCCAACGTTACCCATTCTGTATTTCTTCTTCTCCACGATGAATACAGAGTTCACGACAGTTCTCGACTCAGCGCAGGTTAATTTCTCATTAATCGCTTTCCCTAACGTTTCCTCTCAATTGAGGACGATATTTGCTGTATTTGCGGATACATACTTAGCTAAGAACCAAAATTGTCGAATGGCAACTTCTGAAATTCAATCAATTGCAATTTCTTTTGTAGCCTTTCATTCATTTTTCAACACAAAAACAATAATCCCACCTGAAGAATTTAAGAGCTATTACCACAAATCAGCTTTCCCAATAGAAAACGCGCTTTTAATTTACAATAATCTAATTGCAAGAGTTTACAAGATAAATTATACTTTTGGAGAATATAATGCACCAATCAATGTTACAATGTCTGGTCAGATCTCTTGTAAGCGATCACTTTTTAAGTTGGTTAAAAATATGTTCTTAAAAATCTCCGGATTCTGGCTTGATGTATACTCAGACTCGAAGGCAGAAAAACCCAAGATAAAATTACTATTGCACGACGTCAACTCTACAGTTTATAAGAAAGATGAAGATTATATCCTTGAAATTACATCGAATTCAAAATCCAAGCTTGTTATTGGACCAAATAAATTATACGATGAGACGAATTACATAATTACTGGTGATTCCAAAGACCAATTAGAAGAATGGAGACATGTAATTAACTTTGTAGCATTTCATTGCACACTCCATGCTCTGATCGATCAGGAAATTGCAAAAGGCGAAATTAACGGTGATTACTCTTTTGCACTTCAATCTAAGGCATGAGGATAATTTTGTTCGTTCATAATGCGTTTCACCTTTAAAATATTGTTATTTTTTATTTAAAAATGTATTTTTTTTTAATAATATCAAACAAAATAATTTATTTAGAACTTATATGAAAACAAATGTTAGGAATCTCATTTCCTAAGCCTGGATGATATAATATGTTTTGCCGCAATCTCAATCATACAACAGGCATCTGATTTATCAAAATATTTCTGTTTAGAAAGATAATCACTTTGTGTCAGCTTAATATACTCCATTAATGTGCTTTGTTGTGATGTTCCTTTCAGACATTCTTTGATAATTAAAAGATTTTTTTCGAGATATGACTGAAAATCAGCTTTCTTTGGAAAGTGATCAAAATCAGAATCCGATGAATCAGAATAATCGCTAATTGTTTCTGTGTCTATTGACTCTTCTTCCTCTTCATCTGAATCGGATTTTCCAGAAATGTTATTCTTAATCTCGTGATTAAAATTATTACTTAAGTGTGCCGAGCCTGAATCGCTATGATCATCACCTAAACTGGAATTAACGTTTTCTGATGAAATGGAATTTTTTGACACTTGGTTAAAATATGTTTTTTCTTCGGGAACTTTTACTTCTTCTTGATGTTGCTTAGTAATCGCTTGGTTTTTGTGAAGAGGTAAAGATGGGGTTTGATTTGAAGCACTATATTGATCACTTCTGGATAAGCTTAACATCGACTCACTAGTTGACATTGATTGGTATCTATTAGAGAACTTGTTGTTAGCTTGAACAAATTTATTTTTCTCATTCCCGATTTGATCATTCTTATTAGCATCAAATTGTCTTACATTTTTCTTGTCTGTAGTGTTCTTACTAGTATTCATCTCTTGTTGACACTTGCATTTTTTATTTTCTTTGCAACAACCAGATTTCTTAATTTGAGCGTTTATTTGGTCTAATATCTGTTGAGTTTTCTCTGAAATATACTTCATTCTGTTACTATTTTTAGTTTCAGAAAAAGAGGATGAATCATCCTGATTTTGAAGTTGATTATCTGTATATTCATAAGAATAAGATTGACTATAAGAACTTTCAGCTGAGTAATCAGCTGAATGATCGATAGAATTCGTTAGATGTATTTGTGTTTCTTTTTTAGGCGATAACGATTCGTTATTAAGATCTTTCGATATTCCTTGATTTGAAAACAATACTCTTGACTCTGTAGTTAGATGTAACTCTTTCAATTGATTTAAGTCTGCAATTTGAGTATTTGTATCAACAGTAGTTCTATTTGACTCCTCTATATCAATATCTGGGAGTGTTTGGAACTTTATTTCAGATTTATGAACTTTATTTTTAATTTCCTCACTTGATATGGTTGATGTATCATCATCGCAGTATCTTTCGATTATGCTAACAGATTGAATCGATTTCGGTTTCAAACTTTGCTTTCCTTCTAGATCAATTCCATACTTATTTAAAATTTCTGAGAGTTTTTTGTTCATTGACTCTGTTTCTTTTAGTTTTTCTTTTAGTTGTGATTTCTCGTGTGATTTTTTGGACGATTTTTCCTTTAAACTTTCAAGATATTGGATTTCTTCGCTCACATCAATAACATCTGGTGACGTATGTTTGTTTGCAATAAGATCTTGAATATCATCAAGGAGTGGATCTGGTTTTCCACTTTTTGGGATCATTCAAGCCTATATTGATTAAAATTAAACGGTCACCAAATGCAATTCCAGATGTTAGTCTTGAGTTTTAAGAAAACTCAATATGTGTAAATTGATTGATAATAAGAATGAAAGTATTTAATGTATTGAATACATGCAAAAATATTCAAATAAGGTAGTCCAGATAAATTTTCTCGCTCAGTTTTCAATTTTACTAATGGATATATACTTATCACCTGCTATGAAACTTGCTTACATGGAATAGCGGAAATCTATCAAGGCATTTTGGAAATATTATCATCAAAATTATATTTCTTTAATTTATATGAAACAGATATTCATTTTATCAATAGATTTGCTGTGTATATTAAATTCTGGATTACTTTAGGAGTGAGAAAGATTTAAGGAATCTTACTTTAATTCCTTATATGAAAGGATTGTTATCACAAATATATTCTTTACCCGTATGTGTAGATTCACCTACTCTAATATATAATGAGATAATTAAGCATATCAAGATAATTGGGAAAAGAGTTATATCAAAAATGGGTTTAAGGTGAGTTACTATAAGAAAATCTTTATATTGCATTCTGTTTATGAAGTTTATATCGAATATTTCTTTTGTAACCTCTTGTCTGTTGTGATAGAAACCAAAATTGAGATGATTTTCTGATTTATGATGTTTTTGAGATATGGATAATGTTTAAATTGTATAGTAGATAGTAATGTTTGCATTCATCGAGCTTTAGAACAATGTACTTTTTCCAAAAAAAATTCAAAAAAATCTTTGCCAAGGTAAAAAATATTAGGGCTGTACAAAATCGAGAAAAACATTGCCGTGCGGTAATATAGGGTCAAAAAAATCGCGCCTCGGCGGCTCCGCCGCCTCGGCACTATTAAGTGCGCATTATATTTAATATGTCCTTCTTTTTTTTTCTTTTTTCTTCTTCTTCTTTTCCTTTCCTTCTTCCTCTCCTTCCTCTTCTTTCCTTCTCCTTCTCTTTTTACAACAACGTCGAAGATCTTCGAATTTGATTGTTGGAAAAGCATCTATTTCAGATAAAGGATGCCTTTCTCACAGTCAACATACGAGGGTCCTGGCTGAAACGTTCTCAAAAAGCCTGAGATGGTAATTCTCTGATCACTCATAGCTGGGCAGGTAGTCATTGCTGACAATACCTGTCTTTATGCATGCACGCTTTCATGTATATGGGTTTACACTATCAATTCGCAAAGTTGTTCCGAATTCTTCCAAAATGGAAGGACCCGAAACAACTTTGCTTGTTAACGATACAGACGCATTACTTTGCATTGATACTGTGCTGAGTTGTGTAGAAAGTTTGATTAGAGTTGTTTTGTTCTGGTATCTCTCATCTTCTGATGAGAGAAATCAAAGCAACACAACTCTAATGAGTTTGTTTTCACTCATTTGTATGTAGGTTTTTAGTTCGATTGGAGCTGCTTCATAATGAGATCTCTCATCAATTGATGAGGGAGATCATAACAAAGCAGCTCTAATGTATATGCTCGTATTAACCGGGTTGTAATGCGTTGTAACGTCAGCTTGTAGTTTGTTTGGGGCCACTTCACATTGAGATGAGAAGAAATGATTAAAGGACTCTGAAAGGCTTTGGCCATTGATGTTGTAATTGCATTACTTGGAACTGGCTGGATGCTAAGCTGTGTAGAATGTTCGATTAGAGCTGTTTTGATATGATTTTTCTCATCATAAGATTGGAGGAATCATAGCAAAACAACTCTAATGGGTTTACCATCATCTACTTGTATGTAGATGTTTGGGAAATTGTCTTGTTAATCGATTTTCGAGATGACTTTCAAATGCTATAATCAAATGACAAACAAGTCTAAGATTTCTCGACAATACATCAAATCATGATGTTTGTAAGTGCGATGAGATTAGAGTTTTTGAAGGAATGACAAGAGAAGTAGGGAAGCTCGGCATTCGCCGAGCAAATTAAAAATTAACGTATGGATTAAATTTTAAGAGGAATTCAATTTTAATTACGAGTTGTTCAAATATTGATTAATATAAATTTATTAATAAGAATAAACAATTTTTGTTTTTGAATTTATTCAATTTATAGCTTTACATATAGTTTCAAAATTGTACAACTATGATTATTTCAACAAAAAATATCTTACTTTTTCACTTCACTTTCACCCTCACTTTTTCCGTAATTCAAATTTCAACATTATGTATTTTAATTCCTTATAGTATTTTTAACATAATTAATCAAATAATAATTGGAAGTTCTGAACTCACTTTTTCCGTAATTCAAAATCAAAAATATGAATAATATATCTATTTATTATATACTAATGCTATTTTCAACTAGAAGTGAGGTACGGTAATCTTACGGATTCCCGTAACTCAATTTTACGGAAAAAGTGCAGTAAACTACTCAATTTACGGAAAAAGTGTCGTAAACTATTGATGTGGCGGTAAAATCACGGTAATTCACGGAAAGCTATATGCGAAAATTTGAAATTATACAAAATCGAGCGAAACACTTTTAAATAGGTTGTTCTCGTATTTAAAATACTATTCCCAGATTTATTGTCGTCAGAATATTTCCAAATTTTTGCCGATTTACAAAAAAATGATTTACAAAGCATATTTTTAATCTAAAAAATTCCTAAAAAAAGGAACCGGTGTGCGGAAACCTCGGTAAATTACTGCGGTTCCCGTTGGGACTGCCATATAAAAATATCAATTTTATAATGAAAAATTAAAAATGGAAAAATTTTGGAAGAACAAATGTACATTATAATTGATGATATTGCAAATTGAATCATACTTTCAACATAAAAACTGCAATATTACTAATGATTTTATAATGAAAAATTTTTAACTTGTTTTAGGGGTTTTATTATTAAGTTTTTACTTGGTATCAACAAGGTTTAATGAATTTAGTGTAAATTCAAAGTATAAAAGAAATAATTTTTTTTTTGTGGATATACAAAAGGTTGTACGTAAAAAAGATATAAGAAGTTGGGATTGATAGGCATGGACAAACATAAAATTGAACATTTGAGCCTAAATCCATTAGAAATTAATGGAAATTTTTTGTATAATCACTTGATTGCAATATTTAACTAAAGACTCTCTAAGGTTTTTCTTGACAAATCAAAGGAAAGTGAATTCTTTTCTAAAATATTTATATTTATCGCAAATTTTGGTAATGTTTCATTTATTTGGATCTTGAACGTATCTGATAAGATGATTCGGCTTAAATCAGCCTAGATTTATGAGTCTTCACTTTATTTTGTAAATAAGGGAAAGCTGAGTTAGTGAAAAGTAGAAGTAATAAATTTAAAATGACTTTTACTCGAAAAAGACCCGACAAATTGGACCTGATATTTCTTGTCAGAAATCATTATATTCGCTTCATGCTACAACCATGAATTATAAGTTTCAGTCTTATCTGAAATCGTTAAGGGTGCACCCGTATGTACGTTTATTTGAGAGGAGGAGGATTACCCTCTCAATTTTGAGGGATTCGTTAGTTTATTTTCTCGATGAATATGCAATAAAATTTGATTTTTACCTTATGAATATACTTCATATAATATACACATGTTCATGTAAAAACTTTTTTCCAAAATCCTCAGGAATTAAGGGATTTTTGAATTTTAAGAATTTTTTTCGAATTTTTTCGAAAAAAAAATATTTTCAGAACAGCCTTAACGGCTAAGATTTAGGAACAATGTTAAGTATCAAAAAGAAAGGAAGTCTGATATAGACAACATATATCGTTGAAGGTTGAAAAAATCTCTAATATTTGAGCAAAAAATTTCAAATTTTAATTTTTTGAAAAAAGAGGCCACCCGTATGTACGTTTATTTGAGAGGAGGAGGATTATATTTTTGAAAGGGTGAAACATTATGAATATGTTAATTATATAATAATATGTATTATTATAAAAAAGAAAAAATAAAGCACGTTAAAATTTTTCTTTCTTGATTTTTTACAAAATCTACTTAGAATTATGCAAAATATGACTAAATAATTATAAATTTCAAGTTAAATTTTAATTTTGATAAATAATTTAAATTTCAAAATATCAAGTTCAGTTCGACTATGTATGTAGTAATTCCTCAATAAAGTGCCAAAACCCTATTAAAATATATGAACATTTTCAACATTTTAATGTTTTTATTTAAAAATTTGTTGGAATATGAGCTTCAAACAATTATTATGTAAATAAAAATAATTAAATATATGTATTTATTCGTATTACAACCGTAGTAAGTCGATTCTTCCTTTCTTCTACTGAGGTTTGAATTTGATTTCGAATTGTAAAGAGATTCAAAGGGAAAATACTAGCGGATAAAAGCTACCTCCATGAAAGGGTCATAATGGAGTCAAGTTGTATTTTTTGATATTTTTTGCTTTTCGAGCCTAAATAGGTAGCCAAGATAATGCCTAAAAATAAGGTTCTAAATTCTGAAGTTTACATGATCCTCTTGTGTGCACCCTTAAAATTTTTTTTGGGATCTCAAAAAAATGGGGTGCTCTTGTTCAGGAGCAAAAAATATGTCAGATGAAGAGGAGGAAGATCCCGAAGATGACTTCCAAGAAGTTGAAGGAATGCCTGGTCCTCCTGACCCTAAACCAGATCTCGAAAATCCATTATATTCACCTACTCATGTTTCAGTTTATTTCACTAATGACAATCCATTAGTCAACAAAAATAAATTTGAAGAAATTGATTTATCTCCAGTAAATGAACAATACGCTACAACCAGTAATTGAAAATTCAAATCATCATTAATTTCCATATGTAGACCTTTAACCAAAGATATCATCATCGTTTGCATCAATGATTTCACCTTTTATTAGTATATTATTAATATTTTAAGCACCATACGAACCCTTTCGATAGTATAATGAGTCTGACTCATTATAGCACGTATTACTTATTTTTTTTATCGAATTCTCACTAATTTCCTTGGAATATTTGAAATTTTTTATTATTTTAATAATGTTCACAAGTCTAGTGATTCTTTACAATAGCATCCAAGAAGAAACTCAAATACAATATATTGCCCACTAAAAATTACGAATATGAATATGATTTTTTAAAATTCTATTATTGTTCGTAACCAACAAGTGTTAATCGCAAACTCACTACAAGCAGTTTACTTATCACCTTGTCTCATTATTTATCATTATGTATTTCTCTATATCACCTTTACTTTCATCGCTTATAAAGCTTTTGTTTTTATATGTTATTGTTTTTAAAGATATTCAACGTTTTATTTTTGAATTTTAGTTGATTCTCATTTTCGCGAAATTCATTTTGATAATCTTTTGTTCTGAATACCACAAACTCCCAATAATATCAAAGATGATGCCAATTTTAACAAATGCTACCATATATGACTTATTTACAATTCAAAACGTTTTGAGTTTAAAATGATTGTGACTTACACGTATAATATATGATAGTTCAGTGACATAAATTATGAATATTTTATTAACAAAACACCAATGTTAAGCAATATATGAATTGTGAATCATTTGACGACAGATTACGAATCATCCCAAAAGTAGGAGAAGATAAATGGAAGACTATCCAATGTTATCCAAAATTTTTATGAAAACCATTCAATATAGAAAATAATTTGATATCATATTTGCCAATTAATCAGTAATTCATATATATCAAAGAGATTTATCATAGCTTTAATGATATATTACGATTTGCAATGACAAAATCTATAGATGCTTTAAATAATCTGATGAATTTTTTTAAGAAAATAAGAACTTAAAAACATAAGACATTATTGAACTAAAAAGAGTTATAAGAAAATTTTATTACAGAAATATAAAAGAAACAAACATACAGATATATAAAATAATAACAAAAAATAAAAAACTAAAATTCAAGGATGAGCAATTGCGTATTGTAGCAAAGCCTGAACGTTTTCACAATGATTTCTCTCGTAGACCCTCAAGAACTGTGAAAACTTGGGGTGTTCAGTCAGTTTCTCGGGCATTTTGAAAGTTTCATTTGAAATAATTTGGAGATTCTTCATCTGACCAATTTCGTGGTTTATCTGCTCATCTGTCATTTCTGGAGTGATCTTCTCGCGAACGAAGTTTGCAAGTGCTTCCGCGTGTGTCTTGCATTGTGCAATAAGTTCGTCAGGGCGTTGGAATTCGTCATTTGGCTTCGTTTTACAGTTTAAAACATCTGGATTGTGAGAAAGCGCTCTAAGTAACTCTATGTAGCCGTCATCGCGCTTGAACAGGGCCATGCGGTATGCGGAGACCATGGAAACAAGAATAAGCATGTAAGTGTTGAATTCTTCCTTATTATATTTCCACATAACCGAAAAAATCGTTGTAAACAAGTTTTTCCAGTTTGCACTTCCGAAATCTCTTATTTGGCCGAATATAAACATGATTGTGTATATTGTTCGGCCAATTATACTGAGAATTCTGTCATTTATGTTAGGAAGGTTGAGAAGGAAGCAGAGGCACTCGAGAACCATGGCTCCGATGGATCTTTCAACGCATGGAGTGACGAGAGCGTTGAAACAACTGTGGAATTGGGTAAAATCAAAAGATAATTTGGCAGATTCTGGATAATTATCAAAAAGGAAGGCAAAAGCAATGAGTAGTAAATGTAGACGATCTCCAGAATGAGGCGTGGCCGGAGCTGTCTCGATATGAGTAAATAATGAAATTGCCGCGGAAATGCAGACAGAATCAAGCTTTAAGTATGATAGCTCGAGGAATGTAAGTGCAGCGGCATCAACGAAAGGTTCGAATATTTGGAAATGTGCTGGCAATTCGTAATCCGACGGAATGAAAAGTCCAAGTTTAGCGGCGGCAGGGCGTGAGACTTTCTTGAAGAACGAGGTTTGTACGTGAGTGCAACAGACATAGAGTTGAGTGCATCTAGCAAGAAGATTCGCAACTAACGAATTAAAAATCGTCAAAACTTTGGGATTCAGTTGTCTAAATCGATCTGCGAATGGTCCATTAGGACGTTCGAGCTGAAGTAATAATGAAAAGAAGAGAATATGTAAATCGGATGCTTGCATTGAAAAATTAACAATTTGATCGACTTTTGCTATGAAGAAATCTGTTAATGCGTTTGTTTCTATATCGCAGGTGGCAACGAGAACAGAAAGAAGCACTATGACGCTCTCAGAATCACGTTGCGACAAAATTGTTTTGAAAAGATAATCAAAAAACCTATCTGCTTGCTGTAAACCGCATAAAACATTGATTGCATCAACTCCAAAAGTGCCTGTTCTCAGTCTTGGCCAGAGTGATTCGAATATCTGAACTAAAAGATACGAAGCGTTAAGTTTTTTCATTTTTGCGACCTTATCATTAGCTTGATCAGCTATTGTATCGATGCATCTTGAAATAAGATCACGAACAGCATCAAGCGAGTAATTCGAATATAATGCGTTCTGCATAACGGCAAATTCTGGTTTTAAGAGGAAAAATGAATGCCAGAAGTATGCATCTTTGGCTTTTTGATTTTGTGCTTGAGGGTTATTGCTTAAAAGTTCTGGAATAAGAGCAGAAAATTTGGTTTGCATTTATTTGTCACTTTTATTCTCATATTCCACGTTTTTCAATTCATTTCTACATAATTTTATAGGTTTCTTGTAATGTTTGCTACCAAAAACAATGTCTATTTCCCAATATAAAATTATCTATATGACAATTTGTAACCAATATTGGCTCTATTTCAACTTTCGATCTAATTTCTGATGAAAAAGTTGCAAGTGGATTATATATATCAAATGATGGCAAAATACTTCGTACGTAAAATATAATGAGCATTATTAAAATCTTCAAATAGACTAATATTTATGAGAAAAACAATATATCACTCATTTACTTGGTATTTAATCATTCATCTTATAGTCATACTAAATTTAAAAGGGATTAAAAGATTATATCAGCATATATCTATTTCAAAGATCATATTGAAAATGTAAGATTAAATTAATATATTTATATAAATGTATACCTATATTTCTGATGGTCTGCTATTATTTTCATGAAGTATGGGTTTTAATCTAGTTTGTTTCAGTTTATTCAAGAATGATATGAATAAAAGTATTATCTCTCTATCAGGAAGCCACATATAAAGCATCTTTCGAAAATCAGCCATAGTGTAATGGTTATCATGTAAGATTGTCGTTCTTTTGATCCGGGTTCGATTCCCGGTGGCTGAGATTTTTATTCATTTTTTTATTGAACTCAAATGAACGGCCAAGTTCTTAGAATGCAATTGCTATTATATCAAGAATCGATTGAACTTTAATGCCAGTTAGAGTGAGTATCTGAGTACATAAGTCCCCTGATGTTTTCCTTCACTACTTTTCTATTTCACTCCATCAATGAATCACATATTCCAGGATTTGAAAATATCATTATTTTGTTTGGAATCATTAATGTCAATGGAAAAATGTAGTTCGTTTGTGTGTTCAATAAAAAAATGAATAAAAATCTCAGCCACCGGGAATCGAACCCGGATCAAAAGAACGACAATCTTACATGATAACCATTACACTATGGCTGATTTTCGAAAGATGCTTTATATGTGGCTTCCTGATAGAGAGATAATACTTTTATTCATATCATTCTTGAATAAACTGAAACAAACTAGATTATAACTCATATTTCATGGAAATAATAGCATACCATAAAAGATATGCATTGATATATGTACTGAATCTATACTTCTTTACATTTCGTCATTTTAAAAAATATATCTGAACACTTTGTGTTATTATTAAGCCAACAATCAAAATCAATATTCTTACAACGGAAAAATAGAGTCAAATGATAGAAATATGATAGTAAAATAAAATAATAAATTTAATAAATCATTATAAAAGCATATTATTACCAAAATACTGCCAAATAAGTAGTTATTCCGTAGTTAAGTATTATCTAAACTCTGTATCAAATCTAATCATTTTCTGCCTTTTCTTCTTCTTCTTGTTCACCACCTACTTCCCAAATGCTAATATTGCGCAGCATTGTATTGTAAGCGCTACTAATTTCATTCTGGTCCTCAGGAGGTGCTTCTGAGAGGTGATCTCTCACTTCTTGTACAGTATGTTGGAGAATTTCGAAAGCTTCACCTTTTTCCTTGAGGTGTTCGTATCTGAAAACGGCAGAATTGAGAATTGTTCCTAATCTAACAGGATCAATTGGAGAAAGATTCTGCTCGCAAATTTCGATGGCTCTTTGATATGCAGTTTGGCCTTCAATGGTACCGTACTGCTTTTCAACTTGTAATGAAGTCTCTGCAATGTATCTATACATGTCTCCCTTCATCTTATAGTAGAAAGCAAGGGCAGCAGGGCCTTCAGCATGCGGAATAAGAATGCTATCAATAATATCAATAGCTTTTTGTGCTTGGTCAATGATCTTTGTGCCAACAAGCTCTTTATAATATTGAAGCTTATTTGCCTTTCCAGTAGCACCATCAGATAAGCACTGCTGATGATATGCATCGATGGTCCTGTATGATGCGCGGGAAGAATCGATCGCTGTTTTGTAGACAACGAAGAAAATTGTTCTTTCATTCTTATCTAAATCCTGCTTTTCTTCAAGAAATGTATCCATCATTTTAATACTGTCATCATCGCGGCCTAATCTGTTTAAAATTTTGACACCTTCTAAGATCTCTTCGATATTATCCATCACGCTATGTAAAGTTTTGTAAAGTTGTCAGTTTCGACAAAGATTTTAGAATTAAACCATCAAAATCTAACAAGTATAGTTAGTAGATCAAAAATTAGAATCTCTCTTCTTGACATTTCACTTTTGAAATTGATCAAGATTTTAGGAATTGACATTATACTTGAAACAAACTCAAAAAACGTCCTAACTTTAACAGTTCAGAAAGGAATGCTCGAAAAGATTGAATTACCTAAAGATCGCAATCAAATGATTCCAATTACTTTCACTTTCCAATATAATGTTTAAGTATCAAATAAAGTTCATCAACATAAGCAAATTTGCCCATAAAAACTATACATTTTTCATAAATTAAAATTTCATATTCCTTTTTAAAGTTCTCAATCTTAGAAATCTCAAAAATATTTGAAGATTTAACAAACAATACAAACAAACAGATTTATTATGAAGATTTGATCTCCAAAGGAGAAGATAAACCGAAAAATTTGTTCAATTCTCCTAAAACATCCAAGTGAATGGTTGCATCATATATTGGTTGCTTCAAAACATCACCTAGCATCATTAAAACATGCGGGAACAACCAAGAAGGACGAGAATTAGCAAATTCAGCCAATTCTTCCTCGCTAAAACGGAGTTCTTCGTCAAAAAGCTGTATAGTTGCTGCAGAATTGATCGAATCAGATAGGGTTCGTATCGATGCCCTGATCAAATTCGATTCTTCCTTAGAATCAGGGTTTGAATAGAAAAGAGCAGCAATTTTATAAACAGTATCAACAGGTACAAGGCACTTGAAGTGAAATGACCAATAAATTATGCATTGGACAGCTCCTAATGTAGAATAATTTGAATCAAACGTAAGATTCGAATAAATAAAGTCTTTCGCTTCTTGTGTCACTAGTTCTGGGTTGCAGAATGACAATACATAGAATCTAATGAAATAAAACACACTTTTGTGTAAATTATTTTCAGGAATTTTCGTAGTTGGATTCAAAAGTGAATTACTAAACAGCAAAACATCTGTTTCTGATACATCAAAGCTTTGCGCAGGCTGTTCGCATATAAATTTAACAAATTCATGTAATTCGGCGTCTTCTGCTTTATCTGATGGTTTAAAATGGTTTAATATCTTGAGAATAGATATATCCGACCACGCATCAGGGTAAGAAATGAGTGAATCTTTGAAATCAAGTTGATTTATCGAAGGATGATGTAAAATAATCGAAGCAAACTCGGTCAAAGGGGTCATATCCTTAAGATTAGAGTTAGAAATGATGAGATTAATAAGATCTGGTATAGGAAACCTATGTTTATTTGGGATAATTATAGGTAAAACTAATTGACAAAGAGTTGGGGCACCTGCAAGCATAATTAGTAACTTTGACGCTTCCTTATTACCACCTCTGCAAACGCAGTCGACCAAAGGCGTTAATATTTTGATTTGATTTTGAATAAAAGTAATTATTTCAATAGGATCAATAATCAAGAGTTTTTGAGTCATAAGCATAAGTTCATTATCTCCAGTTTCAAGTAATGATAGTATTGTCGGTAGAAATTGCGGATTTTTGAATAAAATGAAAGCAGATTTTTCATCATTTTTAACAATTTGACTTAAAAGCATAATAACTGTTGGATTTATATCACCTGGTAATCCTTTTTTAGATAATAATTTTAAGAAAAAAGGTAAACCATTTTGAATTATGTAAGAACCGTATTCACCGCTGAAAGACATCAATTCCTGGAGTGTACCGGATACGGCAGTAACGTTATCCTTCTGAGCACGCTTCAAAATATCATCAATTTTCTTAATTTCACTTGCTTTCATTTTGTGAATTTTTTTTGTTGTAATCAAAACGTGACAGATTTTAGCAAAATTGTATGAGCACTTTCTTGTGTTTATTGATATTCTTTCACATTTAATCAATACAGTTAATAACATTTAAAAGAAATTCAAAATAAACATATAATTATATCAAATTTCTTTGAGATTTTTTTTTGGATATCCATATATGACTTATTTACAATTCAAAACGTTTTGAGTTAAAGGTAACTAAACTACTTTCGCCGATCCGATTTGCTCCATATTTAAAATATAGCTTGCATATGTAGAAGAAAAGCTAATTTTGAAGTACGCCCGAAATCCACCAACAGGATTTCGAGCTACTAAAAAGGTACTTTTAAATGTGATTTTTTTTATAAAAAATTAAATTTATTTTAAGATCAGACTAAAAACTAATTTTATGGAAAATCTATATCGACAAATTTATTACTTATTGGGTATATAGATTTTTTGATTATGGCGATTATGTCTGATATGCTTCCAATAAGCCAAAACACATTTCATACTGATTTCTATAAAAGGTATCTTTATTATAGAAGTGTAAGCTATATCTGTTTGTTTTTTTATTATAACAAATTCAAAATTCTCTTATAAGGACTAGATGAAATCTGTATTATTAAATCATTAGCTAAATGAAGGTTCAAATAGAAAGTAAATATCAATTTATATGATACTGAAACCAAATAGTTCTTTTAATAAAAGATAACACGCTGAAAATTATTGAGTATTTGCAAATCTCAAAAATCTATTGGTGAATTTGGCTCAACTTTTAAAATTATAACATCCATATCAAATCATAAAAGCAGACAAAAATTAAAGCCAAACCTATCGGCCAATTTTTTTTTGATATTTTGATTTTTGAGGTATACTTTTAAAAGTGGATTTAAAGCACTGATGAAAAAACATTAACTTCTGTCGTTATGATTATTGATTTAGACAATAATGATTTTAATCTTTGATTATCAAAACACTAAAGTCATCTTTTTAACATTTGCTTGGTAGCATTAACTCAAGTCTAAAGTACTATTTTATGTGGCACTCTTAGAATTTTTGTATTCATTGTACACGCTGAAATAGTACCATTAAAGTTATGGCGGACTTTCAAAAAATAGTTTGGTCACCTTTTTTTGGATTGAGGTTATGAAGATATCATAATGTAAATGATTCAGATTTGAATAGCTTATGTGTACCATAATCAGAAAATTCTATTAGGTCTACTTTTGACCCTCTCAATTTTCTCATCACGATTCCTCTCATAGAGGAATCTAATTTCATAAAATACATAATTCAATATGGTCAGGCATATAAATTAATAAAGAATAGTTCATAAAAGTAATTTTATTCTCAGATCACTTGTTTCATTTATTTAAAGCAAGGCCATTGTAATGCTCATCAGAAACTGCTTCTAACCATTCTGTAGAAGAGTTTGGAGCTTTTGGCTGAACTGAAATGTGAGAAAACCAAGAATCTTTCATTGCACCATGCCAATGTTTAACTTCTGGGGAAATTTCGACAACATCACCAGGCTTGAGAAGTCTTGGCTCCTTTCCATCTTCTTGATACCAACCAAAACCACTGGTGCAAAGCAATATTTGATAAATTCCATGATGAATATGCCAATTGTTTCGGCATTCTGGTTCAAAGGTAACATTTAAAATCAATGCTCCTTTATCAGAGAGTAGACTGATATAGCTTTGACCAGAAAAGAATTCAGCAAACTTTTCATTCTTTGGACCTGTTTCAAACTGTCCAAGGTAAGGAATTTCTTTCTTTTGTGACTTCTTAGGAGTATATCTGAGCCACATCCTCCGTTGCTAATTTTATCAGCCGATTTTAGTTCAAACTCAATTGGTGAATCTTTCAAAGCATAAGGGGACTTTTCGAAGAGAGTTAAAGTATCATTAGCACCATCGGCAGCAGCAGCCATGCATATTGAAAGCTCATCAACAATTCCTGCTTGAAGAAATGTCCAATTGATTGTTGCACCACCATGAACACTCAGTACATTAACTTTAAAATCATCTTTCAACTTCTTTACGAGAAGTAATAAATCGACTTGCTCCTTTCCAACCATAATGTATGAAATTTTGGACCTTCTCAAGTAATTTCGATATTGCGGAGAAGCTTTCTCTGTCAAAACCTCAATAACATGAAAGTTGGTATTTGGCTTCATTTCAACAAAGTTTTGTTTCCATCCCAATTTACCTGCTGGATCAACAACGATTAAATATGGTCTGGCTGCACTATCGTCAATATAATCACCATCAACCACTTCAGTTTCATCAGGGTTAAGTTCGGGTGTGGTAACAAAGAACCCCTTTACTGTTTTTCTACCGACTATGCATGCATCTGGCTTATAGGTATCATTTGTCCAACCATAATCTTTACATGTGGCAATTCCTGCTTCGGTGTGCATGAAATCACCAATAATCTTACCATCAAGGGCTGATATCATATGGATGAATATGAATGGTCTGTCTTCAGTCATTATTAAAAATGAAATGACTTTTTTTTGAATTGATAATTGTTGTATTCAAAAAATTGAATGTGAATTCACATCATTAATCCAATATAACACAATTAATATTTTGCTGTATATTAATACATATTTTATTAACACTAAAAATTTAAATGAGTGTGTGAATTCATATTGAAAAATCAAAATTTTCCCTGACCATATTGAATTGTGACAAACCATATCTACTAGTGTATTTAATAAATGCCAAATCTCTAGATATGGACATAGGAGAGGGCAACGAGGATGATTGATCAAATATTTCGCGGATAAAAAAAAAATATATGAAAAGTATCGCATCAATAAATGTCTAAGATTAGAGTTTGACGAAATTATTATGGATTATTTGAATACCAATGTCTAATAGGCCTTACATTGAATACAATTAAACCGGAAATACAATTATATGTTAATAAACATGCATCGAATATGTGAGACAATTAAAAGTGTCCATTTTGATGATTTGATGGAAACATTATGATAAAATTCAAATTAATGAAAAATAGTTTTATCATGAGTTTAAATAATTAAAAAACAATTTCACTTAAAACAAGTAATACATATATTTACTAAAAACGATTATCTGGAAGAGATTTGAAGAATTGATTGTCTTCAAACATGGAATAGAGTGAGAAAAGTACATGGAGAGACTCCACAATATTACCTCTCACAGGAATATCAAGAATTGAACAAATAATTTTTGAATATTCTTCAATTGTTAAGTCCAAATCGGCAGAAGGAAGAGGAACTGACTGAAGTACTTCGTCAAATACTTGTGGCCATTCTTGAGCGAGATCTTCTAAATCAGGCATTGCAGATGAGTAAGCAATCGTAGGAGGCGGTCTGTTTCTGTATATTTCTTCAATAGATTCAAGCCAAGAATCCAATTCCTTCTGATTGTTTTCAAGATCAGCGATTTTTCCGATGTATCCATCAGCTTCATTTGTTGTGACACCGAATCTTTCTCTAAGCTCCATTCGAAGGACTTGTGGATTAGAACAACCAATTGTTGGCTCATCTAAGACAGTTAATCCCAAAGGCTCGAATTCATCATCAGGTCTTGGTACTTTGATGAATGCGTCAATAGCTCCAATCGATGGTATAAGGTCAGGAAGAAATGGCTTGAAGTGAATTGTCATCGGTGTAAGCTCGGGATTAAATTCTGTTATTAAGTTGAAAACGGCTGCAAGTTCAGGGTCGGATGTTTCATCTGGTTGATTATATGACTGTGGTTTAAACTCGCCATAGTAGTTAGGAGCATCATTTGATACGGGAACTGACTGCCAACCATTGAAATCAGGAAAATCTTCTTTGCCTGGTTTTGAAAGAGATGTGTCGGCACTCATCAAATTTTGGGGACTCGGAAATTCAAATGCTTGCTGCTTCTTTTGCGGTTGAGCAAAATCAAATTTTAGATTAGGAATTTGCAGTCCTCCATCTTTACTGCTTGAAAGGTTTAAACGATCGCTACTTCCATAGGAAATGTCTAAATTTTGCTCCTCCTCTTCTTCATTCATTTTTTTATAATTGAATTTTTTTTTCAGAATTTGATAACAGATTTTTTATGAGTTTATCTTCAATCTTTTAGAAACTGATCTAAAAATCATTGTGCACTTAGTTTGCACTTTAATGAACTATAATTTATTCAATTGTTGTATTTCTCCCCAAAATAATTTTTAATCCCCTAATTTGGAAAATTAATTTTATTTTTGGAATTGAGACAAGTCTACTCTCATCATATCCAAACTGAATAAATACCTCATGTAATTTCATCCCAAAATAAGGGAATTGCCTAATATTGAATTGGAATTTTGAATTCAAATCATAAAACTTGAACATGAAATATATATCTCATCATTTCAAATGAATATGGGAACATAATTAGGCTGATATGAAACGATATTTTGTGATGATTTGAAATAAATTCAAATAACTCATATGTAATCTCAAGATTAACCTTGAAGAATCTTATTGCTCATGATCTACAATTCGAATATAAACATTTTGGAAATATTTATATTAGCTTTGTATAATTGATGTGCATATTTAAAGTGTATGTACAAATTTATGATTTCCTTTATTCAAAACAGAGATATGGTTAAAAAAAAATTATATATATTTCGTAATTGGTAAACGAGGTCCAAAGAACTTGTAATCAAATGAGGCAATTCTAGTTTCGAAGTTGAGAATAGTTAATATAAACATTGTTGGGAAAATTAAAAAGAAAGCACTATCTCCTAAAATTTCAAAGAACATAATATCGTCAGTGATGAATCTATGTATCCAGTAGAACCAAGAAATGGAAAGTGCCACTGCTGCCTGTCCAAGTACAAAGATTGGAATCAAATTCATCATTAAAATCCCGGTCCAGATTTCAAGTAAGGTGATCTTCCAATTCATATCTTCTCTTGAAAGTAATAGTAGTCCGAACAGTATTGTTGCTAAGCCAATTACCTTTGAAAAAGTGAAGAATAATCCTAAATTTCTAGCAGCGATTGATAATAAACTCTTAAATCCCGCAAATACTATGGCAAATATAAATATTACTGTTATTGGTAGTAAAATCCAGGTGGATACAAATTCGATGATATCGAAATCCATTTCCATTTTTTAAAAAAATAACAATTTTACTTTGTTTACTATAAGACTTAATTTTTTATTTGATGTTATTAAGTAAAATAAGTTATTAGAAGCTATTTTCTATTTTTTTTCATTTTATGAAATCCTTAATCTCGTTCTAAATGTTGCTTTTCTCTAAATGAAGATAATGGCATACTCAACAGACGAGGATTTCGGACTTAGTTCATATGTTTTTCTCGGAATCATTCATATTTTTTTAAAATTACAAAAATTTTAAACATGACGAGATTGAAATCAAAATACAAAAACGGGTTTATTCTTTCTTTTTCCTCTCTTCTCGTTTTGTTGCGATATTTGCTTTGAAAATACCGCCAACAAAGGTTCCGACGTAAGTTAAGACGCTAATAATAGATCTAAACACAAAGAATATGAACAGTATCAAATAAATCGAAATAGATAGCTTTGCGTCAATTAATGAGTTTAATTTCGCGTGAGTCTTTTTCATTGTGCCTAAAGTAACATCAGCTTTTGTTTCTATGTCATTGGTTTTGTCTGCAAGCTGATTACAGAGTTCCATTGATTCTTTTGTCATTGTTTCGACTTCTGAGATAACTTGTTCTGAATCATCAATTTTTTGAGAGTATCTTGATGAATTAGCTTGAAGAGAGGCATCAATCAAAGCTGGGAAGCCTTCTGAAAATTTCATATCAAATTTAAGTTGAATAGCATTAGCTAATGGTATAAGAGATGTGGGAGAAAACATTATTTGATCTAGTGTTTCTCGTTCTCGTGTAAATACTGTAGTTACTACTGAAGTTGAATCGTCTGAAGAATCAGAATCTGAAAATACGCTAATTGGCGTTTTATTTGCCGGCCTCCTAGACGAGTCGTGTGAAGGAGTAGTGGATGTCGTAGTACTTGAGATATTTGCCGTAGCAGAATTGTTTGAATTTGTTGCAATTGGAGCTTGGGAAACTGTTGAGTTTGTTGTGACATCTGAGGAGTCAATATCTATGTTAGGGGCAACTTTTGACATTAATGTTTTCCTTCTTGTTTTTGGATGATTAGGAAGTAATGATTCAGATGTTCTTGTTATTGGCGCTTCGTTTGGCACGACCGCCGCTGACTTTTCACTCGATTCGTCTTTCGATTTTCTTTTAGATTTTTTACCTATATTAAAAAGAGATTGCGTTCCAAACATCATTTTCAGCTTATATGGGTGCAATATTCGCTGCACGCCGATAGATGCACTAAACTCCTTTTCTTTTGTAAAGTCTCTTATTCAAATTTTTGATAGAAATTCACTCAATATTGAGGCAGAAAAACGATAGGGAGACTTTACGTAGGAAAATGGGTTTATATAAAATTATCAAAAGTCTAACTTAGAACATCGAAATCATACATGAATACAGGCTTATTTAAATGCACAAAAGTTTTGTACGTAGAACTTTTAATAAGCCAAATTTTAAAATTTTGATAATAATATAAGTATATGGATGAATATCTTATTGCTTTCGACTTTATTATTGCTATTGTACCATTTTATTTGCATGAACATTGTCAAAATTCATAATTTATGTATAATTGTTTCAATATTACATCATTTCGTGAATATTTCCTTTCACATGGTGCAAATATCAATAAAAAGAATAGCGATGTAAAAACTCTTCATTTTGCAGTTTGCAAAACCCTACCTTTGAGTTGCATATTTCACATTATGCAAACATCAATGAAAAATATTATTTTGGAAAGCCGCTCTTTATTATGCAGTACGCTCTAATGGTAAAGCAACAGTTAAGAGTGATCACTCGGTGCAAAAATAAATTAATAAGGTAGTTATGGCAAAACTACTCTTCATACGGCAACATTTAAAATTAATTATATAATCGAATTTGCAATCATCAATGAAAAGGATAATATTATTGCAAAAACCCTTTTCGTATACAAGTTTGTTCTTCCTTGTTAGCTGGATATGAAAGCTTCTTTCATGTCACTTTTTTGAAAAATCAAAAAATTCTCTATTTGTTCTGCATCAGTTAAAGATAAGAATTCATTCATAGTCATCTCAAAACACTTTCTGCAATTAGTATGCTTACTATCTACAATAGGAAAATGATAATCACAGCATTAAAATATCATTTTCCCATCCACTTTCAGATGATTTTTTTCTTGGGATTTTTTCATTTCTTTCTTTAAAAAGTGACAACTCTTTCACATTTGATTTAAAGACGCAATTTCAAATTCATTCAATACGCTTTCAAATCCAAATGAAATTTTAGATCGAATAAAAGTGACATTCTGTAAAGGTTTCAGATTTTTCTGAGAAAATATAGGAAATGACTGGTTATTACAATAATAAGATTGAAGGAAAGGAAGAACTAGTCCGAAAAGTGCTAGATAGCACCTCCAAAACAACAGCAACAGTCGTTGCTGATCATTGGATATTAATAATATCAGTTTCATGGATATTTGTTTGCATTGTAATTTTCTATCTTGGAATTCACATCTGCAACAGATGCTGCCCGTGCAACAAAGAATTTATTGAAGATGAATCTAAAGCTTATAACAAAATCTCGAATGAACAATTAGAACACGTCATTGCTAATCAATGAGATAATTCATTTCAAAATCAAATTATTACTTTTCTTTTTATTTTGTTTTAAAATTATTATATCAAGCGAAAAATTTACATTTTCTAATTAATATCTTATAGTGCTAATACTTTCATTAATCATACGTACCCAAAAACCTCAATACTTTTTCTTTATTCCTGGTTTTTGTTTTGATATTCTTCATTAAATAGATTAAATCAACAGATGAATAATAAACAAATATACTCAATCTTTGTGCTGATCATATCACAGTACAGATGTATAAATTCTATATTTTATTTATATGAAAATTTATTTTGAATTTACACATATGTACAGTGATGTCATATTATTTCTATATACAAAACCATATTCTCAACATCTTTTATGAAGAGATGTTCTTTAATTTGCATTTTCCCTTCGTAATGATAGAGAATCCAAACTTGCCTAACCAAGGATCTTCAATGTCACCTCAAAATATTTTTAAAACTATGAGCTTTCTTACCATTTAATGCATAAATGAATAAAACAATAAAAATTTAGTTAACTCTAAGTAATTGTTTAATATATATAGTAATGAAGATAAACATATCTTGAAATAAAAAAAATATTTAATTTCATTTAAATTTTATTAAATAAAATAACTTAAATTTAAATCTCACATGAAAATATAATTACTGCTCCCATGACGGATGGAAGAAATCGAACTTCGGGGTCTCTGTTTCTGGTGTCGGAGGCTGTGGCTCAAATTTGTATTGAGAAGCGAGCCAAAGCGAGATCAAACCGAGTCTGTGATGGTCCAAGTCCTTCATAAATACAGGGAATCGTTCCATAACCGTTGGAATTGTTACATCTTTCATTTGTGTCAACTTCGGGAAGGTTTCCATGATGAGGGCTGCGACGAAATATGTCAGCCAGTGGATTGAATCAGGTGAACAGTTGAATTGGAACCAAACTGTCCAAATGTATTCAAATGATCTCTTGAAAAGAAGAACGAAGTCAGAATAGCACCACAATAGCTGATGGAGATTATTGCGGCGCATCCAGATGGCTGCCAATGGCGAAACTTTTGTTAAAATCTTATTAACAATTATTGCTTGAGCCTGGCATTGTTCTGTGACTGATGCTAGGAAGGAAAGCTGATTGGTATTACGTAGCATAGCATCGAAGCACCAGAAAATGTCTGCCATCAATTTTTCGTGATCAATTATTTTTCCTTCGGAATCTATTGGATTTCCGTCATCGTCCCAGTCTGGAATATATGCTAAAATGATGGGAACGAACAAATCGTTCATGCCTTGTAGATATGATATCGGAGGATTGAAAATACAGTAAGATTGAAGCAAAGTAGTAAGCATTGTAAGGCCAGGCTTTGTTACTTCCTTGAAAGCGATGTTTTGACGGTCTGTTCTTGAGATATCGTGGCTAATAACACGAAATGCGCCATTTAGCTTCTTATTTGCAAGAATTTGATCTTGTTCGAGTAGATTTACTTCTTCTACGAGTATATCGAATTCTTTCTTTTGCTTTTCATGTTGAATTTCGCGTTCCTTTTCGGTAGATGTTAAAGGATAAACTCCAAAGACGAATGGCAGTGCCTTTGGAAGTGTATCTTTATCAATACCTGCATGGTAAATAATGTTCTTGAATTCTTCTGGGTTTTTAGCTCTTCCTTCTTCATCAAACATTTCTGACCACTTCTTGGAATCGATTTGCTCGTAAACAGGTTGTTCAGCAATGAAAACATTGATTTGCTCGTACACTCTATCATGAGCTGCGCGTGCTGCGAGGCCTAATGGGAACAAAGGATCTTTTGGAAGGGTATCGCTTCTATCTAAGTGAATAATTAAACGCTGGAAGAACTCATGAACATTTGTCCAGAAGTTGGCGAGATTTGAAAATTGATCAAACTGTAATTGAATATAAGGAGGAGAATAAAAGAAAACGCCTTTATGGCATTTGCGGTAGAATGACAAACTGAAGGGCCTTTCGTCGGAAGGAACAGCAATTCCGTTGACAATAAGCCTTTCAATAAATTCTGCAAGTGAGGTGAATTCGGAAACTTTAATTTTGAATGTTCTCTTTTGTTCTGTTTGGTTTTGGAAAGTAATTGTAAGTGGATTTTCAGTTAAATAAAGACAGTTGAGTTTTTGGCAATCGACGTTCAAAGGTTTGCCAAATTCCCAGCTTTCCGTTGTAAAATCTGCACTCGATTGACCTCTGAAGACAGCAGCAATTCTTTGGGCTGGATTTCCATCGAGAGGGCCCCAATGTAACTGATAATTGTCATCAATTCTTGATAAAATTAAAACACCTGGCTTGTTTGGTTGCTTATCTGCAATTTCAACTGCAGGTTCTACAATACTTAATTGCGCATGAGAATTGGACTGAACTACATTCGATTGATTCATCTTTATTTTTTCTAAAATAAAAAAAATTTTTTAGATAAATTTTAAGGGGGTAACTTTGAATAGTTGTAAACTTTTTACAAATTTTGGATTAATTTTCCTTCAGATTGAGCGATTCACAATTAAGTGATAAACATATATCATACCTATCATTTGCATATGATAACTCTAAGTTAATTTCGGAGACTTCTCGAATTTTACAGATTTCTTTGTAGTCATTGTTTTTCACATTTATAACATAGGATATTTTTCTTCTAATGAATTTAAGTGGTAAGTTATATGGGAAAAAATTAGTAATGTCCGACCAAGACGCTCATCCAAACGGCAAACCCAAATTTTAGCTAAAAGTGACAGGAAAAAAAACGTTTAGTATTAAAAAAAAAGACCAATGAGAGCTTCGTTCGAAATATAGAGGGAACTGAGAATGCGCAACCATTCTCAGGGAATATTGGATGCTATTCCCTTTCCCTCTGTATGGAAAATTGAGGTTTTCAAAGGGAGTTAAAATAATATCAAATTTATACTAATTTACTTCAAAATACAAAAGTATTTGACAGCTAAAATTAGTTACTTTAGCAAGCCTATCAATACCCTTTTACGATTATTGCTACTTTTTCGAAATAAAATAAATTTATTATCAAAAAACTTTTTTTTCTTAGTAAAAATAAACGAAATTTTTTACCTTATGAACTTTTGATGGAAATATGCAAATTTAAAATAATAAAGAAAGCCGCGAGCGAAGCGATCGGCTTAGTTCGAAGATTTTGATTCAAATCTTTGCTGATCTGTAATTCGCGGAAGCCGCGAGCGAATCGAGCGGCTTAGGTCTAAGATTTTGATTCAAATCTTTGCTTATATTCCTTAAATTCTTTATGAAACTCGCAACAGTTCCATAAAAAATTTTAAATTCTAAACTGTCGAAATTACCGATCGGTAATCACACCCTTCATGAGTGTGTCACTTTTTACATGTGTGTCACTTTTAGCTAAAATTACCCCTACTCTCATCCAAACAAATACAGTGAATTGTGAAGCTACTACAAATACTATATCGATATATTCAATGCATTATATCAGTTGAAAACGGAAAAAGAAGAAGAATTAAACTCAATTTACAAAATGATCAAAACAGAATTGATTGATTCAAAGAAATGTCTACCTACATATGTTATAAGAGACATTTTACATATCATTCCGTATAATAATCGCTATACAAAGTCATATTTATCTCTTGCCAAACTCATATCTGATGAATACCATGTCAAAGAGGTCAACACTGTCATACATATCTCAAATTTCCTATTTTATAAAGAATATGGAATTAAATTAGACAAATATGATAACTTCGAAAAAGATAATTTTAAAAATCTCGATATTCATACAGAGAATACAATATACAGAGCAATTATGAATAATGACTTAGAAATATTCATTTCGTTCACTGAAAGAGAAGGATTTGATAAATATCAAATTCTTCAAAGCAATTTATATCCATATACTAAAGAAGGATATTCATTACTTGAATTATGCTGTTACCATGGAGCAGTTGATTGTTTCAAGTTTTTAAGAACAAAATTCAACTCAAGAATAACTGAAATATGTCTTCAATTTTCATTTTTAGGAGGAAATCCAGAGATCATGAATGAATGTTTGAAAAATAAAAAACCAGACAAAAAATGCATGGAATATGCAATAATTTCACACAACATTGATTTTGTTACATTCTTGAAGAATGAGTACAATATGGGGATCGATATAGAATATTGTGGAATTTTCAATAATCTTGAATCCTTTTTAGTTCATTTCGATCAAACAAATGATATAAGAAGATGTTTCGTTTATTCAGCGATATTTAATATTCCATCCCTTTTCGAATACTTCCTTTCACAAGGTGTAAATATCAATGAAAAAAATGAAGATGGAAAAACTGCACTTCATATTGCAGCATTTTATAATAATATAGAAGCTGTTGAAGCTCTCATTTCATATGGTGCGAATGTCAATGAAAAAGATAACTATGGAAAAACCGCACTTCATTCTGCAGCATATTATAATTGTAAAGAAACCGCCGAAGTTCTCATTTCACATGGTGCGAATATCAATGAAAAAGATGAAGATGGAGAAACCGCACTTCAGACTGCTGCACGTAAAAACAATATAGAAATTGTTGAAGTTCTCATTTCACATAAAGCAATTTTTTAGCAACTCTCAATTTTTTATGACCGTTCCGTACTTTTTATTGTATTTAAAATAAAACGGGTTGAATAATTCATACAATTAAATATACTGCCATCAAATTTCGATCCGAATTTGGAATAACCGTCCCAATTCCCAATTTTATTAAAGGTGACCAAACTATTTTTTGAAAGTCCGCCATAACTTTAATGGTACTATTTCAGCGTGTACAATGAATACAAAAATTCTAAGAGTGCCACATAAAATAGTACTTTAGACTTGAGTTAATGCTACCAAGCAAATGTTAAAAAGATGACTTTAGTGTTTTGATAATCAAAGATTAAAATCATTATTGTCTAAATCAATAATCATAACGACAGAAGTTAATGTTTTTTCATAAGTGCTTTAAATCCACTTTTAAAAGTATACCTCAAAAATCAAAATATCAAAAAAAAATTGGCCGATAGGTTTGGCTTTAATTTTTGTCTGCTTTTATGATTTGATATGGATGTTATAATTTTAAAAGTTGAGCCAAATTCACCAATAGATTTTTGAGATTTGCAAATACTCAATAATTTTCAGCGTGTTATCTTTTATTAAAAGAACTATTTGGTTTCAGTATCATATAAATTGATATTTACTTTCTATTTGAACCTTCATTTAGCTAATGATTTAATAATACAGATTTCATCTAGTCCTTATAAGAGAATTTTGAATTTGTTATAATAAAAAAACAAACAGATATAGCTTACACTTCTATAATAAAGATACCTTTTATAGAAATCAGTATGAAATGTGTTTTGGCTTATTGGAAGCATATCAGACATAATCGCCATAATCAAAAAATCTATATACCCAATAAGTAATAAATTTGTCGATATAGATTTTCCATAAAATTGGTTTTTAGTCTGATCTTAAAATAAATTTAATTTTTTATAAAAAAATCACATTTAAAAGTACCTTTTTAGTAGCTCGAAATCCTGTTGGTGGATTTCGGGCGTACTTCAAAATTAGCTTTTCTTCTACATATGCAAGCTATATTTTAAATATGGAGCAAATCGGATCGGCGAAAGGAGTTTAGTTACCTTTATTTTATTATTTTATTAGGGCTTTTTTTAAATATTTAGAAAGAATGGCAATCAAAAGACTCATAAACAGGCACATATTTAAATTTCATTATTTGGTAGTCAAAAATTTATTTTCAGCTTGTATTTATATAAAAAAGAATAATAACATTATAATAATTTTACCTTTTCAAAATATATTCACTAATTCATAGTAATATAGATAAATGAATTTATAAATACGAATAAGATGAAAAATAATAACTAAAAATATGAAAATATATTATTCTTATATTAACAAAGCTTCTGTTGCACCTTGCAACACTTCGGTTAGATTCATTGGATCTGTTCTTCTTAAATCAAGAGCCTCCAAGATACCATTTGTATCTATATCTTGTGCTTTTTTGCCTTTCTTGTTACATTCTGCAAGAATTCTAGCGCGTGTAATGTCAACTAACTGATACTTAAAGTATTCAATCATTTCATTTTGTTCATCATATAATTTCCTCATTTCTTCATTGATTTCAAGATTCTTCTTCATGAGTTCAAGAGTTTTGCGCTGTGATTCAAGATCATTAGCTTGATTTGGAGAATCATATTCTGAAAGGATGCTTCCATCGCTAACTGAATCATTCTCGTATAATTTTGATTGTTCTTTGACAGTATTTAACTCTGCCTGGAACTTTGACCATTCGCCATCACTTGAGGAATTTAGTGGAGAGCACATAGGAGAATTGTTTTTAGAACTCTGACGGCTTTGTTGAGATTCTATGCTAAACCTCGTCCTTCTTCTCTTTGTTGGTGTTGTATTAATGTTAGGGCAAACGTTTTCAGATGCGAGCATAGTTTCGTGTACGTTTAGCATTTCTCCAAAGATGTCAAATTAATGAATTAGAGGAGAAATAGAATATCAATATAGTATAGGATGGAAAATATTAATGTGGTTCTTCAAATCATACGTTTTTTTCATCATTTCCTTATTTTTTTGTGCATTTATTATTTTACTTCTAAAACAATCAAATATGGCCGAATATGATATATTCTTCTTGCTGGTTTCACTTGCTTAGTTTAAAAAACGTTATTTAGTCATCTAATCTTCTTCCTTATGTTTTTTTATATTTTAAAACTATGAAAAGGTAGAGTGTAATGCATTAATTCTATGACTAAGCTTATTCAGAAAAATATCAATTCAATCATAGTGAAAAATCCCATTTAAGCGTAAATTTCATCAACAACACTTAATCTATAGTTAATAGTTCTTTTAATACCAATAGTAACGTTTTGTGAGCTCATTTTTCATTCTGATATCATCCATTTAGATTTTCATATCCAAAATCTCATTTTTCATTAATTTTGTGTTTACAAATACTAAATACTTTATTGTTTCAAGCTTGTCCGAAATGTCAAAATAGGGAATCGCTTGGATGAAGAAATGTTTATTTTTTTTACATGAAAAAGGATGAAGAAAACCGTTAAGGACAAAATTTGAAATAGATTAATCAAAAACCGTTTTTAAAAATTTAATAAAATTGTTCTTATATTAAGAATAGATTTATTTTATTGAAAATTTTTATCAAAAATTTTCATATCATTATTGAATTTTTGTTTTTAATATTTTAATTATATATATGATAAATAATAATTTTGATGTTCACATGTGGCAAATTTTTTGCTTTGACTTTATCACTTCATTTTTCTAAAGAGATTCTTGGCTTTGTTGATTCAAATAATAGAGACATTGAGTTCACCTCAATCAGAATGGAAGGAGTTCAGTACAATAACTATGCAAGCTATAACATTACTCAAGTTTTCACAAACACTTCAAATAATGCTTCTGATATCTCGTACTATTTTCCAAACGACTCAGAGTATTGCTCCTATGATTGTTTGTTCATTGTTGATGGAAAAAAAATCAAACCTCAGCTTAGATCGAAAGAAGAAGCCAAAAAGGAATACAACGAAGCAAAACAACAAGGCCATCATGTGATACATGGCGAAATGATAGGAAATGGCCTTAACCGCTTTAATTTAGGAAATTTACCAGCTAAGAAAGTTGCTGAAGTCCATCTCAAAGTTTCATTACTTGCAGACTTAGACAAGAACTCTCTTTTTTACAAGATCCCGCTCACAGTTGCATATCAAAGTGGAGTTAAAACATCTTTAAGCAGTATTGGCATCAAAGACTTCAAATTTTCCACAAAGATTATCACAAATCATGACATCAAAGAAGCTACAATCAATGTTAAGAACTGTAAATCAGTTATTGAGACGAGAACAGCATTTTTCGAACTTAGTTCAATTCCAACAGAAGATTGCATCATAATAAAGACAGTTTTCTCAGAAGACAACCTCAATTTTGCTGTTTCAAGTGATAATTATATTGCTATTTCCACTTATCCAAATTTCGAATCAAAAGACAAAACAAACTCCGAATTCTATTTCCTTGTTGACCAATCAGGATCAATGGCAGGTTCTAGAATCACAAAAGCTAAAGAGGCTCTTAAATTTTTCCTTCAATCTCTTCCTGTCGGCTGCAGATACGCAATTTATGGTTTTGGAAGTAATTATGTTACACACATCCCACCAAGCGATTACAACAACGAAACATTTAAGTATAGCATGAAAGTGGTTGAAAGAATTAAAGCAGTTTTAGGAGGAACTGAAATTTATCAGCCTCTTGAGTATATAATCAATACCAAATCAAAAGAAGGATACGCAAAACAAGTTTTTGTCCTAACTGATTGAGAAGTTGAAAATCCAGACCAAGTTTTATCACTTTGTAATAAATATCGCTCACAAATCAGGGTATTCTCAATTGGTCTCGGTACTGGTGCAGATCCGGGCCTTATTAAAGGCATTGCTCATGCAACAGCAGGAAATTACACTTTAATTTCAGATAAAGATGATTTATCTGAATGCGTCATCAAAATGCTTAAATCAGCGATATCTACTTCTGCAAGTAATATCTCTATTAGTGCTCCAGACTTGACTCTTACATGGCCTTCGCCTTTACCACCTTTATTTGCAAATTGTTCCCAGAGTTTCATTGTCAAAGCTTCTAAAACAGACAATGTTTTGATCAGTGGCGATATGGGCGATGATTCAGTTGAAGAAATCGTAAATGTTATGGAAATTCCAGATAATTTTGGTGTCAAACAATTGTTTGCAAGGCTTACAATAGCAGGTATCGAGAACAAACTTGAGAGCGAACCAAATGAAGAAGAAAAACAAAGATGTATCAAATTATCAATTGAATCCGGAATAATTTGCAAATTCACAAGTTACATTGGTGTTGATCTTGAATCTCACGAAAATATTAATGATGATTGGAATAGTACGGATTATTCTGATGATGATGACTGTTACTGTGGAGGAGGTAAAATTCAATATTTTATTAATCACGTTGATCACTGTGCTTCCTGTGCTCTTGATGATGAAGAAATAATTCCATATGAATGTGCTTCCTGTGCTCTTGATGATGAAGAAATAATTCCATATGAATGTGCTAACTGTTATTCTGAAGGAGAGATGGAATATGAAGAATCTTCAAAGAGAAGAGAAGTTGAAGAAGCAGCAGAACCTGCAAGAAGAAGATTGATGGAAGAAGCTGCAAGGAGAAATACTTCTAAATCTTCTGATTCTACTATTTCCGAGAATATTCAGTCTCAAAATGTTGATGGTTCTTGGGATGATTTCCCTGGTGTTAATAAGGAAATCGAAAAGAAATATGGAAAGGTTGTTGCGGCTACACTTGCTGCAATTGTTTACATCATGAAGAATTACGGTTCTGAAGGAAAGTATTCACTCATCATCATGAAGGCAAAGAACTTCTTGAAATCAAAGTTCAATGATGTTGATTGGGATTCAATAATCAACAAAATGTGATATTTTTTGCAAAATAAAATATTTAGAATTCATAAATTATATAGTTACTTAAATTCTATATTGAAGATCATAAATTGAGTATGAATGTAAGGAAAGAAAAAAAGAGTAATATGATAGACAGAATATGATAGTTTTTAAGCTTTGTAGTTAATTAGTTATTTAATAGATTGATTTATTTCGTTCAGATTTCAGCCAAAGGCTAACAATTTTAACAGTTCCTTCATTTGCTAGAATACTATCGGTAATGACACTATTTTGTGTTTGTTATATCGGTTTAGTTATCTGAGTCGATATAGTTATCATAGAACAAGGATTTAGTAAATGATATCGATGCTGTAATCCCTGTTTCTTTGTGAGTGATGATGTATGAGTACAAATGATGAGAAATGCACAAAAGTTATGCTTAGTATACAATGTTGGTAAAAGTTATGCTTCGAAATCAATGACATTTGTGAGGTGTACAGTCAGAAACTTACTCTATTGAAAGGATATTATGAGTTTAGCCATTTTAATCAATTCCTTTGGAGATATTTTAATTTTAAGTTGGTATAATTTTTTAATGTCAGATCAAGGCAGTCATCCAAACATATATAGTGGATTGCACAGTATCTCGAAATACTATATCGATTCATTTAATGCGTTGTATCAGCTAAAAACTCGATTTACAAAATGATCAATACAAATTTGATCGATTCAAAGAATCATCTCCCAGAAACTATAATAAAAGATATTATTGATATCATTCCTTATAATAATCGCTACACAAAGTCATATTTATCTCTTGCCAAGCTCATATCTGATAATTATCAAGTCAAAGAGGTCAACACTGTCATACATATCTCAAATTTCCTATTTTATAAAGAATATGGAATTAAATTAGACAAATATGATAACTTCGAAAAAGATAATTTTAAAAATCTCGATATTCATACAGAGAATACAATATACAGAGCAATTATGAATAATGACTTAGAAATATTCATTTCGTTCACTGAAAGAGAAGGATTTGATAAATATCAAATTCTTCAAAGCAATTTATATCCATATACTAAAGAAGGATATTCATTACTTGAATTATGCTGTTACCATGGAGCAGTTGATTGTTTCAAGTTTTTAAGAACAAAATTCAACTCAAGAATAACTGAAATATGTCTTCAATTTTCATTTTTAGGAGGAAATCAAGAGATCATGAGTGAATGTTTGAAAAATAAAAAACCAGACAAAAAATGCATGGAATATGCGATTATTTCACACAACATTGATTTTGTTACATTCTTGGTGAATGAATACGATTTAGAGATTGATTTAGAATATTGCAGAAAATATAAAAATCTTGAATCATTTTTAGTTGTTTTAGATCAATCTAAATTTTTAATCAACTCTTTTATTTTATCACCGATGTTTAATATTCCATCCATTTGCCAATATTTCCTTTCACATGGTGTAGATATAAATGAAACAGATGATTATCAAAGAACTGCTCTTCATAGTGCAGTAGAATATAATAGTAAAGAAACAGCCGAATTTCTTATTTCACATGGTGCAAATATCAATAAAAAAGATAAAGATAGGCAAACAGCTCTCCATTATGCAGCTATTTTCAATAGGAAAGAAACAGCGGAACTTCTTATTTCACATGGTGCAAATATCAATGAAAAAGACAAATGTAAGAAAACCGCTCTTCATAGTGCAGCAGAATATAATAGTAAAGAAATAGCGGCACTTCTAATTTCCCACGGTGCAAATATCAATGAAAATGATAAATTTAGGAAAACCGCTCTCCATTATGCAGCAGAAAAGAATACTAAAGAAATAGCTGAGCTTCTTATTTCACATGATGCAAATATCAATAAAAAAGACAAATGTAAGAAAACCGCTCTTCATTATGCAGTTGAAAATAAGAGTAAAGAAATAGTCGAACTTCTAATTTCACATGGTGCAAATATCAATGAAAAAGATGAAAAAATGAAAACTGCTCTCCATTATGCAGCAGAAAAAAATAGTAAAGAAACTGCCGAACTTCTTATTTCACATGGTGCATATATCAACGAAGAAGATAATTATGGAGAAACAGCTCTGGAAATTGCAAGAGATCATGTTTGTACAGATACAGCCAAACTTCTTCTTTCATTTGGTGCAAAAGACAAACAAATGTTCATATGATCTTTATCAAATCCTTCTCTTTCAGTGAATGAGATAAACCTTTCTTTGTCATTATACATAAAAATCTTTAATTTGTTTAATAAATATGGCCAATATTTTATACTTTGAACAAGGCCAATTTTTAAGATATATTCCTTTTTGATTTTTCATTTTATTTGATAATTGCAAAAAAGAAAATCGATTAAATCACTGAATACCTGTTTTAGTCTATCAAATTTAATAATAGTAAGGACCCTCAACTGGAACGTTGATGCAGTCAGCCTGTCTCTGTGTAAGTTTTTTAAGGTGGACATCGAGAGATCCGAGGTTGAGACGAGCGACTTTTTCATCGAGATGCAAGAATTATGTAAATCTTCTTCTCTAGCTTTCCTCTCTTTTCGTAGAGGTCGAGCTGAGCGAGTGTCTGGTTTGTGAATGACATTGACATAACGAAAGATGGGTGACCTGTAGCGCAGCCAAGGCTAAGATGGCGGTCATCAGCGAGAAAGAGGATAGCGTGGCCATCTGGCTTGATTGGATGTGCTTGAAATTGGACTTTGTAACAGTGTCGTTGACGTTGATGGCTGGGAAATGGAATCTGTTCTCCTTCTCGAGCTGGAAGAGACAGTGGATGCCCGTTGTTGTTTCTTCGGAAACACCGTTCATGCCGGCAGCAACTATGTGCCAATGGTTCATGTTCTGGTTGAAGACCTGCTTGAGTGTTGCAAAGGGTAAATTTGGATCTAATTCACTCATTTTTGCATCAGAAAACGGTCATCTTGAAATTGTTAAATATCTTATTTCAGTTGGAGCTGATAAAGATGCAAAGAATGAAGATGGATATACTCCACTCATGTATGCATCATATTTTGGCAAAATTGGCCTTGTTCAATATCTTATCTCAGTTGGAGCTAATAAAGAAGCAAAGGATAAAAATGGATATACTCCACTCATTTGTACATCATTTAATGGCCGTCTTGAAGTTGTTCAATATCTTATCTCAGTTGGAGCCAATAAAGAAGCAAAGAATAATGATGGAGAAACTGCACTTATGGTTGCAAAAGGTAAAGTAATATATTACTTAAAAACCATTTGTGCCAATTAACTCAATCATATACATATTAAAAATTCATATTATCAACTTTTCAAAATATTTTAATTTTCTAGATACTTAAAATATATAAGGTCTCTTAATTTCCTTCTTAGGACGAGATATTAATAATATACTAATTATATTTCGATAATAATATTTGTTTATTCATTTCTGCAATAATTAAAGGAGACTTTTTCATAACCATCCTTTATTTCTTTATCGTAATAGCATTCCATGAGAGATTTGACAAGTTTAAGATTTCTTTTTATACATGCTTTATGTAGTACATTGCTGCCCATAACAAATGACGTTCTCCAAAGTCCATCTTTTCATCAATATTTCAAAATTTTATTCAGCAGTTATTTTATCAAATGAATTCTGAAATTGAATAAAAATCAAATGTATCCTAGTACCTCATATGCAATTTTACTCTTTTGCTATTAAAATAAAGATACCTGAGATCAAAAAAAGAAATATAACTTAGCCAAATTTAGCATTTGTTCATCATATTATTACCATTATAAAGGCTTTTTAAGAATGCACTTACGACAATATGATCTCATCATAAGGTTAATTTTCAATGACGCTTTATGCCTGTTGTCAAAAATTTAAAATTAAAGTCAGAAGGACGTAAGTGCAGCCTTAATATCCTATACTTCCATATTAGTATTGATCTCTATTGTATTTCTAATTTCAAAAAATTTATCCATATTGAGTTGCAAAAGTAAAAAAATTATATATATTAACATTTTAAACAAAAAAACGAAACAAGAATATAACTTAAGAACTAAACTTACCATAGTATGAAATAAGAGCAAACAACGAGTATCCGACAATCAGGATTCCTAAAATCAATGGGAATATGACTTTAGCAATAGGAAATGTCGGAATTGTTGCAACAAATTTATAATCTGAGTTTTCCCAAACATCAACAACAAAAGGATCCTTTGTAATAAAATCTTGAGGATAATACTGGAGTTTCCCATCTTTCGTTGTGTCTTTGATGAAATAGTAAGGAGATTCGATATCTATATTGTTTTCAAAAGTTGTTCTTTGAGCATAGTTATAGAGAATATCTTGTTGTTCATTATAATCAAGCCAACGTAATAAAAAGAATTTAAATAGTAAATTTGACTTTGGAATTGTAATTTCTTGTTTTTTGAGTCCTGATAAGATCATTCTTGGCTTTTGACCATTAATAAGTGAAAAGTTCTTGATTTTTATGGAAGGATATCGAGTAGAATTTAATTTTATGGCGCATTCCGGAATAACGCATTCGTGAAGGTTTATTGGCTTACCATTACATGATTCTGCTGTTATTTGACCGTCCATATAATGACTCTGTAAGAAGATAACGCATGTATCAGCATTTCTAGGAATAATATCTTGATTTAGTTTAATTTCTCGAATTAAGCCCCATTTCAAGGCGTCAAATAAATAATAAAAATGTTCCTCTGTATTAGGTTCTAAGGCCGTGATTAGGTTGCTTTCACGTAGTTTGTTATTATGGAGTTCCATAGACTCTATAGTAAAGTGGATAGAGCGTGTATTATTTGTGATTGTAATTATAGTGTAGTTTTCCCCGGAAACGAATATTGCGTCTTCTTTTTTGAGATTTTTCGGAGAATCAGTATATGCGTCATAAATAATGGAATTAGTATCATCGTTTGTAATAATATGATATGTGGTGTCATAATGCGGTATTAAAACGTAATTAATTGGCGCTCTATTAATTTCATAATTCACTGATTGTTTTATCAGTGGCGAAGAATAAAAACCACTAATACACTGTACAATCTGGCCAGATGAGATCTCGAATAAAAGATACTCGAGATTATCAGTAGAATTTATTGGAATTGAAACGGAAACATTCCATCTTTCGGTAGTGATTTCTTGTAAATAGAGCATATCTAATTGATAATAATAACTCCTGGATAACGAAACAAAATAAATCTGAGTTTGATTTGTTGAATTTCGAGGAGGAATCGCAAAAACTGTGCGATATTTATTTTCTGTATCGCGTATGTCGAACGCATCATTTGGAATAGTTCCTCTTCCAAAATTCAGTTGGTAATAACAAAGCGAAATAAACATGAAAAATTGTTATACTTTTTTTTTTGGAAAAAAATTAATATTGATATAAGTGCTTCTATATCTCGTTATCCTAAAAGCCTATGAGAAAATTTCCTATAGCAATGCTGACATATGTGGACTAAGGTAGAAAATGAGTATATTCAGACTGAATGAAAACAAAGCTATCTCTGTGAAAAAGGGAAATTTAGAATCCACAAAATTTATATACTTAGGTTTTTTTTGATAACACATTTAAGCTATTTCCTCTCTTGGGTTTTTAGGATTTCACCAGCACTAGCTTCAGAAAGGATTATCAAACGTAATTACTTCTGTTAATTTAATTTGCAATTAAAATCGGGAAAAAAACTAAAAATTCTTAGTAGAATCTATGTATCATCAAATTAAAAACACATATAAATTGAAGATAATATAAATATCACAATCAAAAGGAAAAATCTGATTAAATTTTGTTAAAAATTCGGCTAATAGCTGTATATAACATATAATTTGGCTACACTATTCTATAGTAGCGATCATACGACAAAAATTGGATCACTATTATCCTGAATTGGCGACAATGAATGTTCAGGATTTTCTTGAACTCATTCATCAATGGATGGATGGAGCTGTAGACTCAAAAAACCAAGCCAATTCAATTTTGAATGATATTATCAGTTCAAAAGACAATTTTACCCTATTAATTGAAGCATTTAAAGATCAAACGTGCGATTCGAGGAAAAAATCTGCGATAACATTGCTTTTACACAGGTTTTTCATTAATGTATCTACAGAATTTACTCCAGAAGAAATCGATTTTATATTAAATTTCTTTTTAAGCCTGTTTTTCGAGGAAAATGAAGATAATCTTAAGTATTATACAGAAATTATCAATAATATCGTATTTAATCATATGAATTACAGACAAAATATCATTGATTCACTTCAATCAGAGAAATTAAGCGATATTTCATTCGAATACCTATATTCTTCTATTGCCCAATTTGTTACATTAGACGAATTCTCACTGTTTTACACAAAATTAGTGCAAGATTTGTCAAATTCAAAAATAAATAATATTGCATTCGAAAATTTATTCAAATCATCATATTTTCTCAAGAAAGCAGACATTTTAGTATCATGTAAAGATGAAATCAAGTCCTCTTTCTACTCAATTATTCAAACAAAAAATTCTTTGATTTTGAGAACGACATTTCAATGGGTCTTAGAGTTTAGAGCCATCGACAATTATCTACCATCATATATCCTATCAATTGATTGCCTAATTTCCACATTTAATCATGAAATTTACTCAGATTCTTGCAAAGTTCTTGTTACCTTAACAATTGAAGAAATGTTACCATATATCATTGACAAACTATCTACAGATGATTTAGAACTAATTTACACAACAATTACTGAATTTCTTTGTCAAAATTTTCAAGAAAATCCCGATCAACATATTGCAGATGATTTTATCATTCCATTGATAAAAGTATTAAACAAAGATCTCCTTTCCCAACTGATTTTCCCAATAATTCAAGAATTAATTCAAAATCAAGATTTATTATATCTTGGCTTATGTTTTATCAAGAATACTATTGATATTTCAGGACCTTTTGATGAAGCATTTGATATCATTCTGAAATCTATTCAAAATGATGACCAAATGATCGCATATCAAGCATTCGTAACTTTAGTAGCTGCAAAGGATTATTACCTTGATGAGATTAATGAGAATATGGAGTTGATCACGGATACAATCATAAAATGGCTGTCAAATGCTCAAGAAATTGTGACATTTCAAAATTTCATTGTTCCTGTCATATTTATCACTGAATTCAAGTGCGATCTTAGTTATTTTGTAAGACAGATACTGAACTTCTTCATGAATATTATTAATTCCGCAAAATTTGATGAAATTATTTTGGATTTGATATTTACAGTAATTTCATCAATAAATTGCAATGTAAAACTATATCCTGAAGACATATATCAGATTCTTGTACATTTTATTAGTTTTAATCTTGAATTATCAGCAGAATCTTATTTATCAGCACTTTCTGAATTCATTAGATCATTTCCTGACTATTATGATGCTTTGTTTGAAGAATCTATTAAGTTTTCTTTACAACACAAAGATATTCCTGCTTGTTTTTATCTTTGGCGAAATTTGTTGTCAATTTTGCCTTCTAATGATGAAAGAATGCAAGTATTCACTCAATTACAACAGGAAATCGTAGAAACAATTGATAATTTCAAGGAAAACCCTTTAATTTTTGGAAATTTATTGTTTTTTTTAACAATTTATGCAAAAAAGCAGGATTATCCAGAAGAACTGATAGACCTAATTACGTCTAATTTTATTGTTGTTGTTAAATCAGGTGAATACCTTCCAATTCGACTAATTACTCAAATTAATATGAAATTAAAAAAGTATTATGCGAAATATCCAGAGAAAATAGAAGAACAACACTTCTATCAAGTAGTTGACTTCATTAATAAGCAAATTGCTGATAAAAACAATATAAAACTTGAAATTTTATCTCAATATCTAGGATTACTTCAAGTTTTAGAAGAAGAAATAGGTATTGTAGTATTAGGAGATAAAGTGGAATCATTTGTTACAGTTCTTTCCGATGCAGATTTCGTTTTAAAGGAAGAAATTATTTCAAACGACGAATTCTTAGAATTTTTATTCGGTTTCTTATCAAATGTCGACGATGATGCTAATTCTCCAGAAATTTCTCGGATTTTGATCGATTTTTCTATGAATTTTATTAATTCTCCAGATTCTGTTCTTTCCAATGCTTTTTCATTGTACAACTCATTTATATACAATAAGACCCTATCAGATGATCAGATTAATATGATCTATTCCAAAACTATTGAAATATTAAATTCAGAATTTTCTGATTCTTTGTCAGGAGGATGTTATTTCATCCAGAATATGTGTGAATTTTATCCACAACTCATAGATTCCCCTTCAAATCTTTATAATTTGCTATTAAATTTTGCAAATTCAATTCCTGATGATAGTATCCATTTTTCAGCGAGAGATCGCATTGTAATGAACATACTAACTCTCCTATGCAAAAATATTCTCAATGATGTCGATATAAATGAGATATATTCCCAAATTAATCGATTTTTGCCTCTTCACTCCGAAATGGATGTTATTGATATATGTACCCAACATTTACTTAATTTGTTTCCACATCTTTCGAACCAATTCCAAATTCAACTTTTCCAGCAATTATTGTTCGTATTTTCGAGTCCAATTTTTACAAAAGTTAGTTTTGATAGGATGACCATTTATAATGCGTATCAAATCTTCAATTTACAAACAAGAAATACAATTGAGAATTTAATTCAGAATTTTGGAACTAGTATTGAGATATATGATAATTATTATGATTATGTTAAATAAACATTATTTTGTTTCTGTTGTTTACCTGTATCTTTTTTTTTCTTTGACAATTTAAAAGAAAGGAATAAAGGAACTATTAAAATATTGTTTACTATCTTGGCCGCTTTAATTCTAATCATTTTACATCACGATCATTTTGTATGGAAAGTTGTTACGAAGCTGATAAAAAATATCATCGAAATTTGAAATCATTTTATCTATTACATATATCTTGTATAGATGCAAAGGAGGAATTTTTATTAAGAGCATGGAAAAATGGCTATGACTTTAATTCGAACACTATTTATGTAATCATTATGTTGCATGCTTTTAACAGGTTATTACAAAAAATAAAAAAAAATCGTAAAATTAATTCATTGAAAAGTTGAATAACGATTTTAACTCAATCAATTTGAACCACAAATCCATGGAAATCGTAATTAAACTAGTTATAATGATATTTAGCTATAAATTATTTTCAGAATAATTAATGCAATTTCTCAATTTTATATTTGCTTAAATATAATTTTATTTATACCCATACTACAATTTAATTATTATTATATTGTCAGTCTATTTTCTGAGGACCCTCGAATTTTTCATAAAAATAATTGAATGAATTTTAAACTTTTGAATGTACTTTTATCAAACTTTTAAAATATTTATGTCGGTACACATTGTTTTTTTTTAGTTCAATATCAAACATTATTTCTCCAAATTGATATGACATGTATAAATTTATTTACTTAATTTTTGTAAAGGAAAAAATAAATTAATATAATCGTCTAAACAAATCGAAAAAGAAAAAATTTAAAAATGCAATGTTCTTTTCTAAAAGAGTGAGACCTTTTTTCTTTTTACGGGTGTGTCAAAAGGCCTTTTTTCCGAAAAAAAGTGCCAAAAAGTGCAAAAAAGTGGCATTTTCCTAAAGATTTGATTGAATATAGTGGAATAATCAATCAAACTACAAATATTGTTATAGGATATGAATCATCAAATATAGGTACATGATTTCATAGTTGAAAATCATGTTTTTTAAAAAAACACGTCATATTTATTGCAATCTCCAAAAATCTAATCGAATTATACCGATTTATCGTTCGGGTTATATTAATTCAATTGACGATAAGTAAATATTCTATTACAAAATCAAAATTCGTATAGTTTTGTATCATCAAAAAAAATATGACAAAAATTATATACAGCAAATTCATTACACAAGATAAATACGAAGACAACAAGTAGAGAAAAGCGTATTCACCGAACTGTTTTAGTATGTTTTGGTTTACATTACCTAAATATTTTAGTTTAGAAGTTTTTATTAAGATTTATCCATTTTTGTTCTGGGTAATCATATACCTGATGTTTACATAGATTGCCATCTATAAATTAGAATAAAAAAATTCTTTTTACAAAATATAAATTTTCCATTTTTCATATTTACACTTATCATGATTATGTTTTAATACTTTTGTGAATAAAATGAAATTTTAGCTTGGAATTAAAGAAAATTACTTAAATCTCAAATAAGTTTGGCCTCAATATTATCAATAAGCTTAGTACACATAATTAAATGATGATAATACTTATCATAAATTAAATGCATACACTAAAAATGAATGAATATCTTAGTGGTAAGAATTGTTGAAATGTAACAACACAACTCATATAGACTTTAAAGCCCATCAGTATATTTTATAGTTTTATCAATGATAAGAGTTAAATTAAGTCCGATATCAGCTGTAAGAAGCAAAATTTAAGTTAAATTCTTTTGTTTTTGGTAGATTTTCACTACTTTATTAATATTAGTTGGAATAATAGCAGAATTTGTGATATCACCTGATTAAACCCTTTTTGAGATAAAATAATCTAGAAATCTTTTCAAAAATTCAAACATTTTACTGTAAAATATATCAAAATAAAAAATTAATGTCAATTACTAGTTCCAAAATTTCCAAATAAATCTCAAATTTTTATTTTTGTCTATAATTTTAACAAATTTTAAATTTATTTTTTAATTTTCAAAAAAAATTTGGAATTCCAAACAAGTTAATACACCGCTTATTGTATCACAATTCTCTTTATATGCTAAAATAAAGTCATTTTATCAAGTTTAGTATAGTTTTCTGAAAATACGTCAATATCCGCATTCAAGTTAGGGATTTATCACAATTAATGATATGTATATTTAATGATTTAATAAAAGACACATAATAAGTTCATTTTATTTCAATGAATTTACAATAATTCAATTAACGAATTCATTGATATAAAGGAAATTAAATTTTAGTTACTAAATGATGATTTCCACAACAAATTATCATAAAGCAATCGATCATTAATACATCAGAATTTACGATTCTCGATTTTAATACAAAATATTATAAATTAACATTATTTTTCTGCGAAAATCTACATTTATATAAAACAATAGAGTGGAAGATATTATAGCTCACTCATGCAGCTTTACTATTAAATTTTCTTCAAATTATTAAAAAAAGTCGAATTTTTATTAAAATATACTTAATAACAAGAAACACTTCCCATTTTTAGAGATAGCTTATCTTTAATGAGGAGATTTTGTACGTATATTTTATTAAAAAAAAACATTCGAATTCCTTTATTTTCTTTTAGCCTTACATATTTATTCAACTAGTTTACTATCTTACTTATCCTTTACTGAAAAAAAAATCAATTTTAAGTAATTTGAATTTCATATTTAGCCAAATTCGGAATTATTGCACCATAATTTATCACTAATTTTCAGGTAATGAATACGGAATACTTCCTTTAGTATATTACGAATAAAAAAATTTCTCATTATAATTTATCTATTCTTTTTTCTTTTATTCAATAGAAATCATAATTGTGCTTCTTCAAAGTATTATATGTAAAGCTAATATGCTTAATAAATACTATCATAATAAGTTTTATGTGCATTTTTATAAATTAAAATATATTTTAAGCAAATTGCGTATAGAATCATTGGCTATAAGTCAAGTTTAGTAATATTTATTATTGTAAATAGTATTTATCATACATTGATATAATATAATTTTATATCAAATCTATATCATCACCAAACTCAAATAGCACCACACCACAAACTAGTTCTGATCACTGATACCAATAGATATCCTCAAAGACCATTTTTTAAACTATCTTGGTGTAAAGTACCACTTTTTTGCACTTTTTGGCACTTTTTTCGGAAAAAAGGCCTTTTGACACACCCGTAAAAAGAAAAAAGGCCTCACTCCTTTTCTAAAATCTTCAATTTTTCAATTGATATTCAATTCTTTAGTTTCTAATAATGTTCTTGATCCTTTCTTCTCATGTGTTATCTAAAATCAATGTACTAACTTTTTGCGAAACTAAAATGGCAAGATATGGAACTTTGCAAGTCGAATTCAATAATATAAATTATAAGGTTGATCAGGATCTTAATTCTTACGATATATATTACAGAGTCAATGAATCTGAATGGGTGCATTATGATGGAAAATTGTTTGGTGAAAAGTTAGTTGCAGAGCTTCAATTAGGTAAATACAAAAATGTCTTGGGTAGTTCAAAAATTGATTATGAAGTGCGTTTAGATGAAGAAGTTGTGTTCAAGGATTATTTTACTATATGTGCAGTCATGGAGAATAATATAACAAGATCATCAATGACCCCTTATTTCTATGAACCTGGATCAACACCAAAAATTCAAATTGATGTAATCGATTATAATTTGGACCCGTCCCCATATTGGAAAATCACAATCGAAAAAGATGGTGAATACATTACAATTGATGACGAAGAAATGGATGAATTTTACTTATCAAGAGGTTCAACAGGGTTTGGCAATGAAAGGTATACTTGGTACCCCTGTACGGTAGGTAATTGCCTTCCTGACGCATTCTTTAATTTACATATTGACGAAGTCGGAAATTACTCCGTAACGGTGGATGTTTATGAAGATCCGGTTAAATATAAAGTTAAGACAGTTACTGATGAAATTTACATTAGGAATCGCATGCAAATAGAATATCTTGGAAGTGATAAAGAATATTATTATCCAGGTGAAGAACCCATCTTGAATTTCCGATTTAAATCAATAGAAGATCCTGAAACAAATTATAACGTTTATGTTAATGATGACAAATTCGTAATACATGAAACTAATGGAGAAGTTTTTACATGCACCATTAAAATACCTGAAAATGTACAAACTGATGAATTTAGTTTCAATTATAACGTGTCTGTCGCAGATGTAATATGGTCTGATAACAACTCAGATAAACTTGAGGTAAGATCAAAGCCTATTCTTTCCAATCCGCTTAGTGAGAATCCATATATATTTACAGATGATATTAGCGTTTCAGTTACTTGCAATGATGAAGATAATAATGAGAAATTCAATATATATTACAAAGTTGGAGAAGGTTCTAATAATTTCAATATGTTGCCTGATGCCATCGATGCCGATGAATCTAAGCAAACAGTTCTCAAGGTTAAAGTAGATAATACACTTTTGAGTCACGGAAACAACGAAATCTTCATCAAAGTAGTTGATAAATTCAGAATAGAATCAAATATTATCAAAACAGACGTCAAGATTGTTTCTTTGCCAAGCATAAAAATCTCAGGTCAATCCGAGTTCTATCAAACTGGCGACGATGTAAACTTGAGAATTGAAATATCAGACGAAGATGATGACGATTATTCTGATATCTCGTATTCATTTGGTGATGAAATCAGCGAGCCCACATTCCTTCAGAAGATAACATATCAAGATGGAAGCAAGACATACTCTGGTCCACTTAACACATTCAAGATACCAGAAGATGCTTCTGCGGGTCCTCTGACTCTGACAATTTTCGCTAAAGATTCATTCGGAAAAACAAATACTCAAAAGATTGTTCTCATGATCCATAAGAAACCAGTCATAACTCCTCAGATCGGACAGACAAATCTAGTTCCAGGAAAATCGTATCAAATCACATTCGAAATTTCTGATGGAGATCTTCCAAACGACGAGATCAGTATTTCATACAAACTTGGTGATAGTGGTGATTATCTAAATGCACTCACATACAAAGATGGTGAATCTAAAGAATTCGATGTTTCCGTTCCTTCCGACTATCAACCAGGAAACACAACAATCAAAATCAAAGCAGTTGACAAATTCTCACTTCAAGATGAGAAAACACTCAATGTTTATATTAAACACAAACCTACAATCACTGTCGATGAACTCACGAAAACAAACTTCGTAGGTGGTAAGACAGTTTCATTCAATGGAACATATTCTGATGAAGACAATGACAAAGGAAAAGTACATCTTCACTCCGATATAGGTGATTCATCCACAGAGATGTTAAACAGTGGAGATAAATTCAACATTCAACTTTCCATTCCTGCAGATCAACAAGTTGGACCTATCACAGTTAATCTCAAGAGCGAAGACTCTGATGGTCTAACTTCAGCAGATAGTCCTGTTACATTCTATGTTAGATCAGTTCCGAAATTCGGTGATTGTCAATTTGACAAAGAGATCTACAAAGCAGGAGATTCTGTCACAATCACATGTACTATTAACGATAATGATTCTGGAGACAAAATCAAATATGGAACATATGATTCATCAAATGATCAATTCACGAAGCAATCAGAAATTGACATTTCATCAAGTTCAGCAAGAATATCTTTCGGCCCATATCAGATCCCACCAGATTATACAGAACCATCTTACGATGTTACTTTAAGAGTTATTGATAGTTATGAATTTTATTCAGATAAACAAATCCAAGCTTCTCTGAAAAACAAACCTATCATTGTATCGAAATCTTCTGACAAAGAGTACTATCTCAGAGGCGAAACAATTAACTTGAAAGTTTTTATAAGTGATGATGATAACACAGATTCTGTCACAGTCACAGCTCAATTCGGAGAACAGAGATCAACAAAAACACAAGACACGACTAAAGGTGTCGAATCAGAATTCGATCTGTCATTCACTATCCCAGATGACGCAGAGATCGGCCAAATGACAATTTTTATTTCTGCATCGGACAGCTCAGGAATAACTGCAGGACCAGAAAATATTATTTTGCCTCTCTATTTCAAGCCAATAATCAAAGTAACATCTCCAACACAAATATACAAACCAAGTGAAACAGCAGTAATTAGTGTATCAATTGAAGACCATGATGCCGAAGAGATTGTCAGTCTCAAGTACAAATACGAAGGTATGACGAACTATGCGACTATCACTCCTAGTGTTACAATCGACTCTGAAACGAAGTCAGCGACAACACAAGTGGATGTCCCTCTTCCAAACGAATACGGCGGAGAACTTCAAATCGAATTGATTGGCACCGACAAACACTCCCTTGAATCCTCTAAAGAACTTGCACCTGTCACTATCAGAAATGCTCCACAACTCGAGTACAATTCTCAAATTCAAACGATTGTTCAGGGAGATGAATTGAAGATTTCAGGATTTATCAAAGATTATGACACAAAGGATACTTTCACCTTATTTATTGATAATTCTGCACACGATACGAAATTCGAGCGTACATCTGAAAAAACCACTTTTTCAATTCAAATTCCTATTTCTAACTTGGCAACCGGAGAAAGATCCTTGGATATATATGTCAAAGATAGCTCTAATTTCGAATCTGATCATAAAAACATTGTGTTCAATATGAGAGCAAGACCTGTTGTAGAAATAAATCCAATTAATGGAAGACATCAAAGAGGAAAGCAATTAGAAATTTCCTTCAATATTAAAGATGAAGATGAAGGAGATTCATCCATTATCAAAATCAAATATGGCAACAAAGAAATCCAAAGTAATACAAGAAAACTTCGTGATGAAGGACGAATCACAACTAAATCAACATTTGAAGAGCACAAACTCAATATTTTAATTCCAAATGACTCCAAGTTCGGTGAATCTACTCTTGAAATTGTAGCAATAGATTCATATGGATATTCATCAAATCCTGTTTCAACTACAGTCTATGTTTTAACACCACCTCAAATAATTTATCATGGAAATGATAGAGATGATATTAAACCTGGAGATAACGTTACAACATTGTTTAAAGTTAAAGATGTTGATGGTGATAATAACATTACTATTTCTCTCCAACTTCCAGATGGAACAGTTATTGGCCAGATTACTCATGAATGCATACAGGATTCGAACTTGAAATCATCTTGCAACGACAAAGACTCTAATCTCAATCTTTCGATTCCAGAATCAACATCAGATGGAGAGTATCCAGTTATTGCAATAATTAATGATACTTACGGACAATTTTCAACCGTACCAATAACTCTTAATGTAATGAACTATCAACCAGAAGTCGAAATCGTTAATAAAGAAGAAATCCAGAGGACTGTTTTTGCTCCAAATGAAACAGTGATCTTCAATTATAGAATTAGAGATAATAATACAGAAGATTTTTCAAAAGTTTACATTGCAATTTATAATGACACAAATATAACAGATGACACCATACCACATGCTATATATGATACAACAAAAGAATGGTCAGCGCATAATTATTCATTTGAAATACCAAGCTCATTCAGTGATGGTAAGTATACATTTACTATTTATTTAGTAGATAAGAATGGCAAGAAATCTAAAATTTCTCAATCAACATTTCATGTGGATAGAGCAAAAGGTGCTATATATGGCGACACTAATCTATTCCAAGTTCTTGTTGAAAAGAGATGGATCGTTATTGTAATCATTTCATTAGTTTCCATTCTTGCCCTAATAGTCATTCTCGTCATTATTATTCTTTTGATACCATGTGGAAAGGAAGAAAGTGAGATGAACGAAGAAGAAGACGAACATCCTGAAATTGCCGATGATTGGTCAGAACCAGAAGATTCAGGTGAAACTGTTTCTGTGAATTCTGATGAAGTTGAGGAATTTGATGTTAATATATAAAACATCAGTTTCCATAATATCCATGCAGCCAATTTATAGTCTGTTTGCGAAATCAAAGTATTTTATTTTTATTTTACATAATTAATTAAAGACTAGGATTTCATTTAATAAAATTATTTTTCTTTAGATCGATTATATCATATTAAATATATAAGCACTGAGTTATTTTGACAATTTCTTATGAAATAATTAGATGTTTAGTAAATTCAATGAATATATAACTAATTTCTTCGAATATTCATTGTGTAGATAGTATTAAGAAAATTACCTTTCATCTTAATTTTCAAAATTTGATTTTGAATTTTGTTTTGATTTTGAGGATATTTGTGTTAGTTATCCAGGTGATAGCAATCATTTCATACATAATTACTTGTTCCATTAATTAATCATAATTTTTTTGAAAAAACGTCTTTAAGATTCAAAATAAAGCCATTCGCTTTAACATATTCATGTTTTGTTCGTTTCATAGGAAACCTTGTGAATTGAAGAAAATGAATTGAATAAATTTAAGGGTGGCTTCCGACCAAATTGTCACTTTTTAGCCCAAGTGAGAAAATTTCGTAATTTATAACCAAGTTTTTTAAAATATATATTTAATAAAGATTCTATTTTTCTTATTAAATTTCAAAAATGAGGGGGTTCGGAATCGTCCACAAATTGCCGAAAGGGTTTTTGCCAGTTTTGAATCCGCTTATTTTTATCGACCAAAATTATAATAAATATAATTTTCGATAAGTATTCTACCCAAATGATTCTTCAAAAAATTATTTTTCGGATTTTATTCCGTAAAAAAACGTTAAAGAAAACGCCTATAAAATTTCGAATCTTCCCTAAAAAATTCAGTGCAGGTCGATTTAAGAGATTTTTCAAAAATAATCATATCAGTAGATAGGGTATAATATAGAGAAGCTTTATGAATAACTTAAAATCCGGGAAACTCAATATTCAACGAGAAAAACGCTTAACGAATTTCACTTTTGGTGTAAACATCACAAAAAATTGAGAGGGCTTTCTGGTCGGAAGCCTCCCTTAAAAATTATGCAGTAATTATTGTTTTCAATTTAAAAAATCAAATACATGGTTAACATGTTGTGCATTCATATTCTTTTTGCAATTGGGAAATATAAGAATAAGGAAAATTTCGAAATAATGAAATTGAATTAAACAATGAAATTTGGTATAAATCGCATCTTTTATTTTTTAGCATATATTCAGTTTAGTTTTGTTTTTGTTAATTTTCAAGTTTTGAAAATTGAGAAAATTAAAACAAATTTTTCTCAATGAATTTATACTGTTTATCAATTTTTCAACATTTTTGTAAAAAGGAGTGTGAGTTTATGCTTTCTCAATTTTTGCATTCAATTGATAAATCTTACTTAATATCAAAAATAGAAAAAGGAGAATCAAATTTTATAAGTTTATGAAATTATTAAGCAAAAATTTGAATAATAAACAAAATTAATAGTAAATTTTAACAACTTTTATCTGAGTTTTCAGATAATATACAAAGTAATTGAGTGTTTCCTAAATTTTGATAATGGCATTTTGATTGATTTACATTTAAAATAATCGGTTATGTAAACAAAAATTTGAAAAATTTACAACATACAATTCAGAAATAGGACATCACAAAATTATATCTTGAAAAATAATTCATCTCCATTTGCATTGCTATTGTTATCTACATCAGCATTTATAGGTTCGAAAAAATGTTTGATAAACCTATCATCAAGGAAAACGTTCTGTACAGTAGGGGAATTGAGCGGAATTTTCTCTGAATCTGCACTAATAGCTTTTGAATTTTCAAATTCATTGTCATCTAAGTTTAAATGAGGCGATTCTACATTATATTTCGTTGGATTTTGGAAATAATCTTCTTTTACGACCGAATTCCATCTGTTTTTAACACTATTATCTGATCTTCCTTTAAGACATGAGCTAATTTGAGACCATTTAGTTCCGTATTTTTGTACATTCTGCGCTATAATCTTATCTTCTTCTAATGTCCAAGGTCCGAAAGAGTTCTGTGGGGATAGGTAGTTATGCCACCTATCGCGAAGTTGTTTTGGTGTAAAACTTGGCATCTGCTTTGCTACATTTTTCCACCCTGTAAAGGTTTGTTCTTTACGAATAGTCTCTAATTGTTTATCATCCTCGGGTCCGAATAATCTTCGTCTCTTAACTCCATTGTGTGATGCTTCATCCGTCATACTAAAATTTTATTGATTTTTTTTTCAATTGAAGAACATAATTTTTCCTCTCAATTTACATGCAGTAGATTTAAAGAAGAATAAGTAACATACTTTTCATGTACAGTACGAAAACTTTTGTTCTAAAATCTTTGCAAGATTTTTTAATCATGAAAATTGCTTTTTAAAAATAACTTTAAAATTATGATGTACTATTATTAAAGTGTAAAGGAACTCGGTTTTGAGTCCCCAAAATTGAAAGTTGAATTTAACATAAAAAAAATTATTTGTATAATGCAAAAACAAACTGCCCATTTAATATCTCACCAATAACTATATTAGAGTTAAATGCTATTTCATTTGTTCTTTCGAACGAATGATTGTTATGATTGATTATTGAGAATATAAATGAATATTATCAATTTTAAATCCTGTATATAGAACAGTAGCTAATGAAGTTATGATTTCATTTTAATATGAATTGTGATTATTCGGGTCTTGACATGTAGTTTCTATTAGCTTTCATAATTAATACTCAAATAGGCGATTGCAAAACTTTAATATTTTTGAATAAGCATTACCAAAAAATTATATTTTTTTATTCTTTGACGCGGTGTCTTTATTTTTAGTGCTTAATGACTTTTAATTTACAAATAATGGCTACAACATACTTCAATATCGGAAGTGCAGCCTAATAAAATTAGATGAATATTTTCAAATCTTAATATATTGAATACAAGTAAATAACGATATTTTAATTCATTAAATGATATATGATAGAGTATAACAATTCTCTCAGTCCGCAAAGTAAAAATCGTCATAATTATTTCAAGGTAAGCTTGAGATAATTACCTTTAAGCGTTTGCTTGTAGGTTTCCTCGTACAAGTATTCCCAACTTGCTTGGCTTGAGATTTCCACATCATCTCCTTCAAAATCAGTTAAAACGAGTGAGTTGCATGGATGAAATACTTTGAAAATTTCTTCTTTTCCTTTGTCAAAGTCAAGGCCATCTGGGAGGTTCATTAAAATGCCGTAGTTAATTTCAGGAGTTCTGATTAATACAACTCTTGTTGGTGTAGCTACTGGTTGGTCGAATTCTGGAGTTGGTGTAAAGAAGCGAAGTTCTTCCTCTGTAAGGATATCGATTTGGACAGGATTGATTTGATTTGCAGAGCAATAATATGACATGAAGTTAAAATCATTATTATTACGGAGAACAGCGCTGGTTCCGTTAGTCATTATAAATCTTAAAAGACATTTTTCTGGTGATTTGAATACCGACTTCATTTTTCCTTGTAAAAGGCTCAAATTCGAGCCGTTAAGTTTTAAGAAAACCTTCTTACCAGGGATTAGACTGCTTGTGATAAATATTGAATCCATTAACTTGACTTCTCCTTTCGAACTTGAAAATTTTTTAGTTAATTCGTCTTTCTCTGCTTGGAGCTTTTTGCTTTTGTTCTCTTCAAGTTCTAGTAGAGACTCGATGTGAGATTGAATTGCGTTTGAGTTATTCAACAAATCTCCCATTGAAATTAATTTATATAAAAGTGACATTTTTCTCGGGAATCGACAATTCGGAAAAATAACCCTCTTTTTTTTGAATGGCGATTAGATTTCATGATCAAAATAAAGATTGCACATTGTTTCTTTGCGATATCAGTGAACATGTAACAGAAGAAATACTTACAGAGCTTTTTATGCAAGTTGGTCCGGTTGTTTTCGTAAATATTCCTCGAGATCGGATTACAAATCGAATGAACGGTTATGCATTCGTAGAATTTCGCACAGAACAAGATTGCATGTATGCTCTTTCAGTGATGCAAGGTGTTAAACTCTTTGGAGTCCCATTAAAACTTTCTGCAAATTCTACTCCATCAACGGGTGATGAACTTGACGTTGGCGCCAAGCTATACATTGGAAACCTTTCACAAGATGTCAATGATGGTAATCTTTTACAGACATTTAGACAATTTGGAAATGTTCTTCACGCCAGAGTTGTTGTTGATCCTGCGACTGGTAAGAGCCTTGGACATGGGTTTGTTGCATACGATAGCTTTGATGCTGCCGATAAAGCAAAAAAGGCAATGAATGGAGAATACTTTGGAGGACAGCCTATTACTGTTTCCTATGCATACAAGAGTGGAACTAAGAGCGGCGAGAAACACGGTGATAGATCTGAAAGATCAGTCGCTCCAAACGCACAAATTGCAACTCAATTGAAGAAAATCAAGCGTGCCGTTAATGCCATACCAGATGTTGGTGTATAGATTGCTTATTATATTATTTTGTGTTTGTATTCATAAAATTTTTTAAAATTATTTCATTAAAAGAAGATTCCGAATTGAAAATTTGAATCACAATCCCATTACTAGAAACTTTGAGATATGGATAAATAAAATTTTGAATTTTGTGTACATGATCGTGAAAAGTGTCAAAATGATTGATTTAATAATGAGGAACAGACGAAGGCGAATGATGGTCAGATATCTTGTTTTTATGATCGCCTTGTTTTTGTTTGCAACCTGTTCTTTATTATCTCTTCAGTACAATCATATTGCGAATGAAATGGAGAAAAATGCAAAACCATTTCTTGATTTGTATGGGCATGATCCTCCAATTGTATCGCCAGATTATGTAAAACTTGATCAAATTAAAGAAGCTTTCCGATATGCATGGAATAGCTATAAAAGACTCTGTTGGGGCCATGATCTTCTAAATCCTTCAACAGGAAAGTGCGAAGACACTTTGCACGGAGGATTAACAATAGTTGATAGCTTGACTAGTCTTATTCTGATGAATTTAACTGAAGAATACAAAGAAGCGAGAAATTTTGTCGAAACAAAATTTTCATTAAAAGGAACATGGACTCCATTTGAGTTTATTATTAGATATTTAGCATCATTTGAATCTGCATATCAACTGACCAATGACACTTTGTATCTAGAGAAAGCACAGCTCTGCATGGACTTAGTTTTTGATTTGATTGATAATAACGGAAATTTCTATGATGTTTTTACAATTACTAATAGAGATGGCGAGATGAAAACAACAAGGAACTACGGAGAAACAACTCTTGCTCTGATTGGCACTTTGCAATTGGAATTCCTAACAATGACCGCCATAACTAAAAACACAAGTTATGTTGGCAAAGCATTTTTAGCTTATAGAAGATTGTTCTCAATGTATTCGAAGTCAGGCTTCATATATGACTTAAATGAATATAAACCAGATGGATTTATTAAGATAGGAGAAGAATCTGATTCATTCTACGAATATATCCTGAAAACATATTTCTTGTCTGGTGGAATATCTTATGAATTGTTTAATCGTCATCTTATGTTTATGGATGATGTCAGAAAGAACCTTGTAAATATACAAGGAAACATGGATATTTATTATATAGGTACTAATCTCAAGGGCATAAGATTCCCTCATGCTTCTCACCTTTCTGCTTTCCTTCCTGGAATGATCACCATGGGAACAATCATCGCAAATTCTCATGCAAGAGATGATTTTGAATTGGCAACAAATTTGGTCGAAGGATATGTGAAGACTGCGAATTTGATGAAGACTGGTTTGCTTCCTGAAGAGTTCGAATATAAATATGGAAATAGAACTAAGAAATATGTAGAATGCTCGAATGCAAATTATCATTTAAGACCTGAAGTTATTGAATCTATTTATTATTTGTGGAAAATGACAGGTGATGAAAAGTATAGAGAATATAATTGGGAATTCTTTAAGAAAATTAATACTACTTGCAGAATGGAGAATGGGTTTAGTCCAATATCAGATGTAGATGGTAATTATTCGTACATCGGAAATATGGAATCTTATTTCTTCTCTGAAACTCTGAAATACTTGTTTTTAACATTTTCGGATTCATCATATATGCCAATGACTGAATGGATATTCAATACTGAAGGTCATCCGTTCAAGAAATGGAATGATCTCCAAAGAAGAGATTACAGAGATTTCATGCTTTAATATCTTATTTTTTTGTTCATATATATAGAGATAGATTATAAATAATTAGATATTGCTTAAAGAATCTTAATATGATATTTCAATAGACATATTGAATCAGTGTACTATTCTATCTTATAAGTACTTCCTTACAAATATTAGAATGTTTACGTTTTGATCTTAGAGTTGAGCATTTTAATTTTGAATAAATTGAATTAAGAGAATTTAACAAAAACTATGTAATAAAATCAATTCACTAACGCTAAAAATGATGTATACCCGATTTATATTTCATTATCACAATTGGCTTTCATCCGTTAATTTAAAATTACCACAGATCATAGAATAAACCAGAAATACATTTTCTACATGTGCATAGAAAAATTTTTATTTGATTTTTAGCAAGAAATTTCATTTTGCTCAATGGAAGTATTTTCGAATATTTATGTGATTGGAGATAGGACGCCTCTTCCAGGTCCAGCAGATTATACAGTATCACGTGCCTTTACAGATAAAAAGGGTATTTCTATTTCTCCCCGCTATTCTTTTTCTACATCTCGTCCAGACCCATATTTGGTAAATTTAAAGAGTACATTAGGTGATGGTCCCAAAGTAACAATTAGTCCACGATATAGAGATCTCAGAAGAGATGATGTTCCTGGTCCAAACTATACTCCTCCACCATTTGGACAAGTTACAGGCATAAGGTTCCCACGTGCGAAATCTCCTCGTGCACCTAGAAATCCGAATCCAAGTCCACAAGACTATCGTCCCATATATGAAACAGATGTCGGAATTAGAAAAAACGTTATGGCAACAATTGGGACTGCAAGACGCCCATCAATATTCAATGGAGATCCTTCAACACCTAGCGCAGGAAATTATAATCCTAGATTTAAATATATTTACAACGATTCTCCAAGAATTTCGATAGGACATAAGTATAAAGAGCGCAAGAAGGATAGAACAGGTGAGTATGTTGCTCCTCGAACAACTTTGAGTGCTAGAAGATGCGATTTTGGCCGAGGATCCGGAAGAGTTCCTATAATGCATTAAATTTTGTTTATATTTTGTATTAAATAACATGTTAAAATTAAAAAACATTTTATTTATTATTTTCGGATCGCCTTCCTCTTCGGCCTGAACCTACAGATGGAACAATTCGTCCAGAACTACTACTATCTTCATATGAAACAGTCGTTTGGTTTTTATCACCAACTAATTGTACTGGTTGTGATAAAGCATCACGAATAGAGCGAGCAGACATTTTAGATTTAAATGATTTCTTATCTTTTGCGTAATTGGCTGCTTGAACACTTTCTGGAATTGTAAAATTCTGAGCTGGATGAATTCTTCTAGATTCATTTGCAAATACTGGCTCTGCATCGATATCTCTTTCACGATAAGCTAAAGTGTCTATATCAAACGTAGAACCACTATTTGGCTCCATTGTAATTGTATTGCTAAGTTCAGATTCGATATCAAACCATCCATGAGTCTCATCATCACTTTCAATCTTTCGAACTTGAGCATATCTCATACGAATTAACTTTTGAATAGGCGGCTTATTAGGTAATAACTCTAAACATTCAATTGATTGCTTATTTGCTGTTGAAAAATAATGTAAATCACCATCCGTTTGAACTAATTGTAAAGTAATTCTAGCGTTAATGCGTTTTAAGTAATCATATACTAATTTTGCTGCTATTTTATGTGTTTCTTTGTTTTCGATTTTTAAATTTGATTTCAATACTTCGGAATGTTCTTCTTTTGCTGCAAGAGCAATAAGAGCAAGAAATAGACATTTTGAATGATTAGGAACACCATTTTTAATCATTGTATCTGCTACCTTTGCATCTCTTTTCGGTGCTGCTTTTTTCATTTTTTTCAGGGTGTAAACCGGCCCATTCAATTTTTAGGGATAATAAACTGCACCCCCTGAATTAAATATTAGAATTTAAGAAATAAAAATAAGATACATTAAAAGATCATTATGAGTTCTTGTATATATTAGAACAGAACCATATATTATCGCCCAAAATTTTGAAATATTTTATTGTTTTTATGACTAAAGTAAAAATATCATTCTGTTTCAAGTTTGAAGGAATATATTAGAAAAAACTCACCTTAGCACTGCACAATATGTAGTTATATATCTATACCCAAGCGTATGTCCCAATCTATCAACTAATTGAGATACTTATGTTTGTTGCAAATCGTCCTTCTATATATGGATTTTATATGGAAAAACGTAAATGCAGCATAACTTTTTCTGCATGAGAGCTAGAGTCTCCGTGCAACGACAAAAAGATGCCAAGACCTATAATGCATATAGCTAAGGTGAGCTTTTTATTCTAAAATTCCAAATTTTTGAAAAAAATTCGAATTTTCATAAAAAATGCTAAAAATTTATTTTCATTTTTACCTAAACGGAAAAAATTTGGAAAGTGATTCTCTCAGAGTAGATCCCTTCTTTTGTATACATATAATCTACCGTTCAAGAATTGTTGCAATATTCATACATCAAGAGTTCTATAAATCTGACACTGACTCCGGTCAAATTCAATGAGTTATATCAAAAATTGAAAACTTTACAAATTCGCTTTTTTAATCTAATGTGAAGAAGAAGCAATAAAAACAAGATAAATATACAATATAACATAGCGCGCTAATAATATATTGTTTCTGCAATGACAAGGAAGCTACATTCTAAAACGCATGGCTCTATTTCTTAAAACCATGTACTTCATCGGAAACAACAAATTCTTCAAAAGTCTAATAAAAAATATATAATGTATTAGATTCTTTTGCTGATACAACTATTTTGAACCAAATTCAAATTGATAAAAATTTTGAATTTTCTTTTTTTGCAGAGTTGTACACTAAATCCCTAATAACTAGAGAATGCATCAAAATTACTACTGTATGCACACAAAAGGTACAAAGTGTAATTTCTACGATAGAATTTGGAAATCAAACTTCGAACTTTAAGGTTGAAATAACGCTATTTGTCAATACTTCTGATAGCTGATAGCACATTGAAGAAGCAAAAAATACTGAATTTCAACGTATTTCTAAATGTATTAAAATGAGCGTATTGTAATGCATAAATAAAGATTTTCTTATACTAGATGTAACTACTACTAGTATGTATATTAATATATTCTATTATTTATAAAATAATCATGAAGGATAAGAAAAAATAATATTGAATTTTGTTGAAATTTCTGCATTGTCTGGTATAATAATTTCTATCCTATGGTAACTATATTCTGAAGGTTGGTAAGCTTGTTTTTGGAAGAAGATTGCATCATTAAATTATCAAATTTGAACTTTGTCTTCAGCACAAGAAACATTGTCCATTTACTTAGTGTAATGATGTCCTAAATTTTTGGCGCCGACACAGCCTTATAAGGTGCCCAAGTGAGACAAACTACCCCCTTTTTTTTTACCGGTATACACCCTTTAACGAAAATCGTTTGCAATCAAAATCTATGATTGAAATACTGATTCTATATTTAGATTGACAAATCGAAGAAGCTTGATGAACGCGAGGACATGAAGTTAAAATAAGCTAAATATCAAATAATGATCCTTAATCGGATTTCCAATGAAAGGTTTAAGTGGAATTACCACTTCTCGCAGGCAATTACGTTTAAATCTTACTGTAAATAAACAGTTTTATTCGCATGAACATAACACATAATTTTCTTTCTGATGTTTCCTAATGAGTTTCAAAGATTGTCATTATCTACAAATATCGTAATTCTAATTGTTTTTGTATCTTGAGACACAGATTATCCTTGACATAAAGGACATCGGTCCTTATTTTAACAATATTCAATGAAAAAGATTGAGTTCAAGAATTTTCCTCCGAAACTAATTATGTTGAATCATAGGATTTTTGAAAAATCATATCAGCTTTAGATTATGACATATACGTTAAAACAATTTACTGATGTAAACAGAGATGATCATTGTTTCCTATTACTCATAGGATGTTAGGTACAAATTTCAAATATGGAACGAATCGGCTTCGTTCACATTCAATTTTCCAAGATTTGTATCAAAATAAAAAATTCTATTCAAAAATTTTGACATTACGTTAAATGAAAGCGCACTCTCCACAAGATGAAGTTTATGATCCATTAAGTATTCCGGCATATTGCTGGCCAATTATTGATACTCCTGAGTTTCAAAGAATGCGCTATATTCCTCAATTAGGAACAACTTTTTGGATTTATCCAGCTGCAACACATACTCGATTCGAACATTGCTTAGGTGTAGCACACTTAGCAGAAAAATTCATGATAAATCTTAAAATATACCAGCCTGAACTGAATATCAAAGATGAATGGGAGCAAGCAGTAGTAATTGCCGGTCTTTGTCATGATATTGGACATGGGCCTTGGAGCCATTGCTTTGAATCAGTTGCTCATCTCTTTGATCCTACATGGGATCATGAAGATTCGTCCGTTAACATCTTACAAAACATGGTTAAGAAATATAATTTATCATTACCGAAATATGTATACGATGCAGCATGCAATTTCATTAGAGGAAAACCATATGGCGATTTTCCAATTTGGACTTCACAGATTATTGCAAATCATGTTACAGATATCGACTTTGATAAACTCGATTATCTTGTAAGAGATCTTAATAGAACATTCTTATCCGCCAGATCAGACATCAAAAGAATTATCTATAATACTCGAATTATTGATGGGCAACTTGCATACAGAAAGTCAGAAACAACAACACTCGAAAGGATGTTCTTCAATAGAATTGATATGCATAGACGTGTTTATCAACACAGAGTTAAACTTGCGTTATCTTTAATGATTACTGATATGCTCAAAGCAGCAGAGCCTTTCTTAGGCATTGGAAAATCACTCAACAATCCAGATGAATTCATAAAATTTGATTGTAGACTAATGTATTTAATAGAAAGGGGAAAGTGCGGTCAAGAAGCTCAGAGATTAGCTAATGATATCATTACACGCAAGTTTTATAAATGCATTGGTGAGCTTAGAGTTCACCCAACGAATACTGATGGAATTAGTTATTCTCAACAACCAGAAAAAACAATTGAAGAAGATATTGCAAGCTTTTCAAATGGAGTAATTGAACCAAGTATGCTTCGAATCTGCAAGATGAGTTTCAGATATGGTTTAGATGATCAACATCCACTTCTTAAAGTTAATTTCTATACCAATGACAGTAATCGCATCATAAAACTTACCAAGGGAGATATTGGCAGCATCATTCCTGCATTTTACAAAGAAACAGGACTAATGGCCTTTGTTATTGATCCATCTCTTGTCTCTGTCGCTAAAAAGGCATTTGAAGAATGGAGAGATGCTAAAGGACTTGTTTAAAATCGTTGTTTTCTATCAATAATAACTTTCAATATTTATATTTCGAATCATATATCATCAATAGCTATATTTGACTTATATTTCATGCGTTTATATAGAAGATATCTTTAAAATCGCTATCATTTTTCTCTTTGAAACAGAAATGCAAAAAAAACTGCAATCTGACAAAAAATCAGATTTACATGAATTTGTTATGCAAAACACGAATATCATAAAAATCATGAATTTATGCATATTGAGAGATTTTGAATTTTTTTTTTGTCAGAAATGAATCTATTCGATCTGCAACTTAATACATTTATTGCAGAGGATAGTTTGATACCATTTTCAGAAATGATTATAGGATTTCTCGATGATGATCAATATTGGGATAAAATCATGACTGAATCTCAATTTGAATTTTTATTTCCAATTTTTCGATTAATTTTTAAGAATTGCAATAACGAAAAGTACACAAATATTGTAGGACAGACAGTATCGATATTTTGTAGGTGGCTTCTACGAACAGCTCCAGGAGAAACAATCGAAATACGAAATAAAATACTACGAGCATGTTTAACATCAATACAAGAATACTGCGAAACGAGTAAAAATATTTCTCACATTCAATTAGTAGCGAATGTTCTTGAAACAGTGGTTCTTACTCCTCCATGCGAATACGAAGATGAAACATGGATTTTACTGATGGAACTGCTTCCGAAATTTATAGATTTTGATCAGAAAAGTCCAATTTCTCTTAAAATTTGGACTCTTTCGATGCAAATTTTTGTTACTTCAGGATTAATCACTCCTAGAACAATAGAAATAATGAAATCTCGTCCTGACAATCTTGCCTTCCAAATTTTACTCGGTGATATTACATTATCTCTTATTATTCCTCAATATTGTCATCCAAGGTACTTCACACAAGGCAAATGGACCGAAGAAACACCAGTAACAGCAGAATTCATCACTAGAATATCCGATGCAATACTTTCTGATAATCAATCTCCCAATTTTCGCCAACAAATTTTTTATGGAATCTGCGTTTCAATTACAAGAGCCCGAAGAGGCATCATATCGTTCGAATACCAGATTGAAGATATCCTTCCTTCATTCGCAGATACGATTTTCCCACTAGATAAGATTAACCCGTCTTATTACGGTATAATTTTTGATTTCTTTGCTTCAGGGAAGCTTTCACCGACCAGTGATTGGTTTTCTGTATTGAAAACTGCAATCCGAAATCAAATTTCCAAGATATCTCCACTTGATGTTTTAATTATGATGGCTGGAATGTCCAATTTGATTTCACATCGTCCGGAACTCTTTATTGACTTGATTCCTGATATGATCATCTCAATAAAAGATGCAGATTTGCAGATTCCTGCAGAATATTTAAATATAATTCTTCATATCTGCACAAGTCTTAACGAATTAGGTCAATTGCAGGATAACAACATTGCCACATCATTAGTTAACGTTATAAGATCTAAGAAACCTTACGAATCTCCTATTTATAGTAAGATTTTCAATGCAATGACAATCCGCAACTTTGAGAACTTACAGAATGAACTTTCCTTCCTGGAGAACTCTAAAACAATGCAATGGCTTCTTTATGAAGGCTTTGCTCCTCATTTTTCACAAAATCTTGTCACAATTCAGTCAGTTGAGACCAGAATTGCTCAGTTTTCAAAGTTTAAGGACTCAGATCCCGCTATATTCCTTCTCTACCTCATAGAAGTCCTTTCTTTATCAACTAATTTGCAACATAACCAAGATTTAAAGTTAAAGATCTTTTCTGTTGCAGATAGAGTTAAAAATATTGATAGTTGCTACTTCCTTGCAGGATTTCTTCAGAATTTGGTCGCTATTCCAATTAAATATCAGTTATCTGCCATGGATGTTCAAAAAGAGATCGAAAAATCATCTCTTAAGGTCAGATTTAACTCAGGAATTGCTTCTTCCTCATTCGCTCCAGATGGAACTGCATTTCTCATCATAAGAAACCAGTTTTCTATGTCCGCGTTCAGAGTTTCACCGACACAACCATCTACTGTTGAGCCAGTGGAACTTCCTGTACCCACAAATCCTCCGAAATCCTCAGGAACAGCTAATTTCAAACCATTTATCAGAGAAGATTCATCAAGACCACCGGATACGTTCTCAATTCTGGCATCTTTGGGACTATTTACTGCCAATAACAAGAACAGATTGGAGATTTTCCCAGATACAGAGTTAAATGACCTCCAAAATTACGAAAAACTCATTGGGCCGAAGGTTTTGAACATCCCAGTATGCAGATTATCACAGAAGTATTGCAACGACATCTTCGAAGCTGATAAATCAACATCAGGATTCAATAATTTCCTGACAGACCTTGAAAATTTCAGAAATTGTAAAGTTGGCAAAAATTTGTCAAATTTGCCAGTTCCCTCATACGATACAGCATTATTCAGATTTAATTTTGTGTCCACGTTCCACTACCCTGAGAATCAAAAAGAAGTCATCATAGAACAACTCCTCAAATCCAAGTGCATCGTTGTGTTTTCGGAAGGTGGTTCATTGACACTTTACAACAAACGGTTTGACGGGTTTGATGTTGTAATTAATGTAGCGAAAGTATCGAGTGATTTGTATTCCATGGAAGTCTTGAAGGTACCAGAACGCGTGAATATGCCATTCGAACCAGGAATGAAGAGATTGGTCGTGAAATCAAACTTATCTCATGAAATTGCGTTGATATTCTATCTTTATGTTTCAACTGACATTGAAAAGTTCTATGTTAATGAGAGACTTGAGATGTCAGGACATGGAAAGCTGTTTAGCACAAATTCCGCAAGTTCGGATGGACTTGAGCTACTTAATCAGCTTTTCAGCCAAATGCTTGTTTAGTACAATAAACATTTATTATTTGTATATTATTACGCTATAAAATCCTTTGTTTTTCCTTTAAAAAAAATTGCATTCAAAATCATTTTTCATTGATTAATAAATCTACATAATTCATTCATTAATATATAAGCTGTATAATCTAATCACGTAATCATATGCCATCAAAATCAAACTTTTCAAATTCTTATTGTATAATTGCCATAATTATGCAGCAATAATAAGAAAATAAATTTGCATTATAACAAAACAGTTAATTTTAAAGCTTATATTAAATTCTATACAACAAATTGTCAATCTCTCTAAGGAACAAAGGAATTGAGTTACTGATTAATAGAATATGCTGAGCACTATTTTTTCGATCATATTTTAGCAGTTAATCAATTAACTCGGAATATCAATTGATTTGAAATCTGCGTTATGTGTCAGTTTTTTAGTAGGGTTTACAATTCTGTTGTTTTTTTGCTTCACATTCAAATATTGATAGTCTTACATTTGAGTGTAAAATGTCTAATCTGCAGTGGAAGTAGACGATTCATTTTAAAACATAAAAATTACACCATACAAAGGTCATGAGAAAAATTTGTGACAGTTAACTAACTGATTTGAAAACTTTATCAATATCATGAGCAGATCATCACAGAGCGACTTTATTCCAGCTTCATCACCTGGAGCTGAGTATGAGCCGGCTACATCTGCTACTGAAATTGAAATGAAGCAAAAAACGAATTCATATTCTTCATCAAGCAGCGATAGCGAGAAGCATAGCTCATCTCATCATTCTGTGAGTTATAGCCTCTCATCTTCTGAAAATCATGCCCCATCGCAAAAATCTTCTCAGACACCAAATCAAAATTCATTGAATGGAGGTCATCAGTTAAATCAATCGACTGTATCGGAGTCTTCATCATCATCAAATAACAAAGATCAAAATTACTCTCCACCAACTGCAGGAAATATTTCTGATTCTTTGAAAATTACTGGATCTTCACGTCATTCGAACTCCGAAAATAACAATCCTAAATCTGCACAGAACACTACTGATTCTCATATAAGTGTAACTTACGAAGAAGAGGTTGAAGAAATTATTGAATCTGTTAGCCAGGATTTACAGGCCGAAACAGAGTCTGATAAAGATTTACCGCAAAAGTTTTCAGTTGCATCGAATAAATCGGCTCTAAAATCAGACAATGTATCATATTCTTATTCGTCCTCATCAAAATCTTCTCCGAAGCCATCTCCGAAAAATTCAGCAGATAATTCACCGAAAAACTCACCAAAGGCATCTCCCGTTCAATCACCAAAATCTTCTCCTCATAATTCTCCAGAAAACTCCGAAAAAGAGCCATCAAAATCTTCATCGGAGTCTTCTGAGAAATCACCTGCTAAATCTTCATCGAAATCTTCAGCAAAACAATCTCCAAAGAATTCATCAAGTTCTAAGCCATTAGAATCACCACAAGCCTCAATTAAGTCATTACAATCATCATCTCCACCTCCTCCACCTGATTCTCTTTCTTCTTCCGATCTTATTGAGCCAACTCAAAAAGAAAGAGGAATCAGCTCTTCAGAAGAGGATTACTCTTACGAAAGCAATAATGGTCCTTTGATCGAAAAGCCGATAGAGCTCAAGATCAATCCGAAAACCGTAATTGTCTTTACAAACGGCGATGAAGATTCAAATGCCGAGTCTTCGGAATACCGTACTATTACAGAACCAGAGTGGGATGATCCACATAAACGTCGTAGGAACGGAGAAAGGAAACTTAATTTCCAAAATGTTGTCCAATCCGCCAAACAAAACGAAAAGCAGGAACCGGCTATTAAATCAAGAGGAGTTCCTCGTAGAGCCAAGTTGCCAATGCCAAAAGCCACTTCAATTGACCTTGATAACATGTTTGCATCAGATACTTCGGATGACGACACAGAAAATGCAGCGGCAAAGGCTCTCTGCAAGCCACTGAAGTCGAAATCGAAGTTCCTTCAACAAAGCAGCTCCAGCGAAGATGATTACGCAAATGGCAGAAACTCCAGGTCGAATGGAGGAAGCAGCCGCAACAACGATTCGAATCTACCAGCCTTCATGCGTCCATACGAGAAGCAGGGAAAGCCACGTCCGAAGAAAGGCGGAAAAGGCGGATCTAAAGATACATTTGCAGATGATAAAGACGAAAGAGATACACGTAGAAGTGGTAACAATAGGAAGCCAGGTGATAAGAACCACGCATTCCTCGATAATCCAGAATTTGATGAGCCATATCTCAACAAAGAAGGTCAATTCCTCAACAAGATGAAGAATCTCCAGGGAGGAACTCCTAAACTCGACCTTGGAGATGATTTCAAGACCAAAGATCCTCATAAGATTGACAGAAATAACAATGGCAAAGGAAAGAACAACAACAAAGGCAGAAACTTCGATTCCGACGATGATGACAATGGAAGAAACAACGGCGGTGGTCGTGGTGGTGCCGGAAAGAACGGAAAACCATCAAAGAACAAATTCGGAGTCGCTGTCGGCCATTCTGACAGTTCTGATGACGAAGACAACCACGGCGGAAGAAAGAAAGGCCAGAACAACGATGGAAAGGCTTACGGCGGAAATGGAGCAGCAGGATCAAAGAGTCCAAACAACAGAAATGGCGCAAACGGAAAACACGGAAAGTTTGGAGATAATGGAAACAACGGAGACAAAGATGGAAATGGAAAACATGGAAACAAAGGAAAGACTGGTTTCGGAAGTGATGATGAACAAGAACAAGGAAATAACAAAGTTGCAAAGAACAAACAAAGTAAGTTTGGTCTAAATGATGATTCAGAAAACAACGATGATGACAGCCTCAGCTCTTTCAACCAGGGAAGAGGAAATGGAAAGGGAGGAAAGAACGGAAAAGGTGCTGCAGGAAAAGGAAAGAATGGAACTGGAAAAGCTGGAAGAGATGGAAATGGAAACGGTTCTGATTCAGACGACGACAACTACGGCGGTGGACATGGAGCAGGAAAAGGAGGCCGTGGTGGAAAGAGTGGAAAAGGAACTGGAAAGAATGGTGCCAATGGAAATGGATCTGATTCAGATGATGAAAACTACGGCGGACATGGAGCAGGAAATGGAAAGGGAGGCCGTGGTGGAAAAGGAACAGGAACAGGAAAAGCCGGAGCAAATGGAAATGGTTCTGATTCTGATGATGATAACTACGGTGGAAACAATGGAAACGGAAAAGGTGCTGCAGGTAAAACCGGAAAGAGTGGAAAAGGTACAGGAAAGAATGGAGCCAATGGAAATGGATCAGATTCAGATGATGACAACTACGGCGGCGGACGTGGAGCAGGAAAAGGAGGCCGTGGTGGAAAAGGCGCTGGAAAGAATGGTGCTGGAAGAGATGAAAATGGAAATGGATCTGATTCTGATGATGATAACTACGGCGGACATGGCGGCAAAGGAAATGGAAAAGGTGCTGCAGGTAAAGGAGGCCGTGGTGGAAAAGGAAAGAACGGAGATGGCTCTGATTCTGATGATGAAAACTACGGCGGAAACAATGGAAACGGAAAAGGAGGCCGTGGTGGAAAGAGCGGAAAAGGAGCTGGAAAGAATGGTGCCAATGGAAATGACTCCGATGATGAATTCGGAGGAAATGGTGCTGGAAAAGGCGGAAAGAACGGCCGTGGCGGAAAAGGAGAAAGAGCAGGACACGGAAACAATGGTTCTGACTCAGATGATGAAAATGGCCACGGAGGAAACGGAAAAGGTGCTGCAGGAAAAGGAGGCCGTGGTGGAAAAGGCGCTGGAAAGAATGGTGCTGGAAGAGATGAAAATGGAAATGGATCTGATTCTGATGATGATAACTACGGCGGACATGGCGGCAAAGGAAATGGAAAAGGTGCTGCAGGTAAAGGAGGCCGTGGTGGAAAAGGAAAGAACGGAGATGGCTCTGATTCTGATGATGAAAACTACGGCGGAAACAATGGAAACGGAAAAGGAGGCCGTGGTGGAAAGAGCGGAAAAGGAGCTGGAAAGAATGGTGCCAATGGAAATGACTCCGATGATGAATTCGGAGGAAATGGTGCTGGAAAAGGCGGAAAGAACGGCCGTGGCGGAAAAGGAGAAAGAGCAGGACACGGAAACAATGGTTCTGACTCAGATGATGAAAATGGCCACAGAGGAAACGGAAAAGGTGCTGCAGGAAAAGGAGGCCGCAGTGGAAAAGGAAAGAATGGTGCCAACGGAAATGGAAATGGCTCTGATTCAGATGATGAGAACAACGGAGGCCATGGCGGCAAAGGAAACGGAAAAGGTGCTGCAGGAAAAGGAAAGAACGGAAACAACGGCGATAACTCCGATGATGATGGCAGTGACAACTACGGCAGAGCTGGTGCCGGAAAAGGCGGAAAGAACGGCCGTGGTGGAAAAGGAAAGAATGGAAACGGAAACAATGGCTCTGATTCAGATAATGAAGATGGAAGTGAAAATGGCCATGGTGGCAAAGGAAATGGAAAAGGCGGCCGTGGAGGAAAAGGAGCAGGAAAAGGAAAGGCCGGTGCTAATGGAAATGGATCTGATTCAGATGATGAAGATGGCCACGGCGGAAAAGGTGCTGGAAAAGGCGTCAAAACACGCGGTGGAAAAGGAGGAAATAACTCCGATGCATCAGACAATGATGACACAAGTGATGTCTACATCCATGGACAAGGAAAGAACGGAAAAGGAGCTGTTGGAAAAGGCGGAAAAGGAAAGAATGGAAATGGAAACAATGGATCTGATTCAGACAACGAAGATGGTCATGGCCACGGAACAGGAAAAGGTGGAAAAGGAAAAGGAAAATCAGGAAAAGATGGAAACAATGGTTCTGGCTCTGATTCTGATGATGAAAATGGTCATGGACATGGCAAAGGAAAAGGTGGAAAAGGAAAGAATGGTGCAGGAAAAGGAAAGAACGGAAATGACTCTGATGACTACTCCGGAGATGAAGATGGAAATGGACATCACGGAGCAGGAAAAGGAGGAAAGAATGGACATCACGGAAGAAACGGCGGAAAAGGAAAGAATGGAACAAATGACTCAGACAATGACTACAATTATTCTGATGACGACGAAAACAGAAATGGTCATGGACATGGTGCTGCAGGAAAAGGAAAAGGAAGAAAAGGAAATCATGGAAAAGGAGCTGGCAAAGGACAGAATGGCTCTGATTACAGTTCTGGTGATGAAGATGGAGCAGGAAAAGGACATCATGGTCGTAAAGGAAAGAATGGAGAAAATTCAGATGAAGATGATTACAACTACAGTGATTATGATGATGAAAGTGGAAACGGAAAAGGCAGAGGCAGAGGAAGAAAGGCCAAAGGAGTTCATGAAGGATCAGGTAATGAATATTACTCAGATGATGATGAAAATGGAGATGGAAAGAAGAGAAGAAGACACAGGAAACATGGAAAGGATATTTCTGACAACGATTACAACAGTGTTTCCACTGATTTGGGACCAGACAGGAAACGCCACAGACACCACAGAGTTTCAGGACACGATGCAGGAAGTGGAACTCTCTCTTATTCCCAGGAAGAATACTACGAATACAGCTACAACGAAGAAATCGAAGACTCCAAAGGAAACACAAAACTCGTCCACCACAAGAAAGGAGACAAGAGATTACATCCACGCCATCATCACCATCATGATGGAGTTGAAGGAGGATCATTGTCTGGATCGAGAATGTCATTCGATTCAAATCAATCGAGTTCCGATGTTTTCAAGCGTAAATCGATGAAAGGAAAGAACTTGGACAAACTCAAACTAAAGAGAGCTGGAAAACATCTCGAAGCTGATTACGGAAATGGAAAAGGCTACAAGAACCCGAAGTACTTCGATTATTCCTATTACGAAGAAGAAGAAGAGGAGGAAGAATTCCAAGATTATTCTCTTTCTTCGAAGACAAATTCAAGTGAATTGTTGACAGATACAAAGCCAATTCAGCCGAAATCATATTATTTGAGGAATGATTTCTCTGAATACACAGATAACTTCAAGTACCTCGATGAGAAGAGATACCATAGAGTTCCACAAAGAAAATTAGTCCACAAAGATAATGATGTTGACTCCGAAATTTACTACAGATTCGGAAAAAGAAATGATGAAGAAAACGATGAAGAAACAACATCTAAAATCTGGGAAAGAACAATGAAGGGAAGAATCGTTTCAGAAACAGAATACAAACAATTATCTCATGTACACAAACGCCACAGGAAACACCATGAAAGAGAATCGAATTCTTCTTCTCTCACGTCAAGAGAAACTAATAATTCCAACACGAATGATTCAGTCAGAAATCATCGTGGAAAAGAAGTTAACTCTTCTCAAAATCTTTCAGAAATAAAGTCTGAAGAAACTAAATCTGTGTCTTATACAAGCAAGGATAACTCAAAGAGCTATAAGACAAATGATGAATCATACACAACATCACAAAAACAACAACAAGTTAAGAACAGAGATTTGAACATTTCTGAAGAAAATTACAGCACTGCAACATTGCAGAGAAATAGAATGTACTATAACGGACCATCAGAAACAGAGAAGTCAAGCGAAAGAAGGAAATTGGTTAAGAAATTCCTTCAGGAAACTTCTTCTGAATCTGACGATGAAAACAAGAAATACAAATACAAAGATTGGCAAATGACAGAAGATTCTCAGATTTCTAAATACGAAAAGAGAACAAAGGCAAACTACAAGGATGATCCTCCAGACCATAAGAGATTAAAGAGAGTTCTCGAGGGCCACTCGCCAAGAAAGAATTCACCTAGAAAGAAATCTCCACATAAAAGGAGACAGTAATGTTTTTTATTTTTATTTATTGAACGATTAAAGAACTTATAATTTTTTTTTCTTATAAACTTAAAATATCTAATATGGGTAATGTTAACATAGAGATGTCGTTTTGTCCTCATGTTGATCAATCATGTCCCCCAAGTTCCAAAATTATTTGGTGGGGTTCTCAAATGACTTCCAAGCAACATTTTGATGTGATAATCAGTGATCAAAAATTCATTTCAATTGTTTTTGTCAGATTTCATTTATTTTTTCATCTCAGCTGAAAAGAAACAACTTCATAATTTTTAAAGATTATCTTATAATTTCTGATTTTATGAATTTCAAAAGAGTTAATGAAATGAAATATTACAAAAGAAATCGATATCTTTATTTAAATTTTCCTTTGAATAAATGATTCTTGATCGAATATATATTGGTAATGATGTATATACGTCATTTGATCTCAAAATATATCAACTTGTCTTTGAACACAACCAAACTTCCACAAATTGTTTCAAGGACGATGAAGAAGCAAAAAATTCTAGCATTCCAAATAAGTTCTCAATATTATACGATCTTAGTAGTACAAAATATTTGATGAAAGACAATTTTCGATACTTCATAATTGAATATCCAGAATTAAAACTTATCAATGTATGGAAACAAACTATATCACCCACTGAAGAACTAGAACGTTCTGGTCTCACCACAGCTACAAGATTCACTCCAATAATCACTCAAGCCCCAATGGATGGCTGGGGAGGCCTTGTTAAAACTACATATGGCGAAGATAATGTACATGTACCTACTTCTTATCTTAATGGTGTTCCTGCAAATCAGCTTTGGCATTATTGCATTGGTATATTATGCACCGCACCTCAAATATATTTGACAGAAGGAATGCCTGCAATATACGGAGTCAGTACTAAACGAGTTAGTCTTTGGTGTGCACTAAGAGATTCTCGAAATTATTTTAATTTTGTCAAACATTTATGTATTTGTTCTATTTATTCTTCTTTAGCATATCAATTCATGGCAATAGTTATTTGCTCCTAATTTAAATATAGGAATTATCTAAAAATTAATGCCACTATAATGCATTATGTAAATTATGTTGTACTTTATTCAAGCTCAAAACGAGTAGATGGAAAATACTATTTCAAAAAAACATGGAATCTTCACCTAATTTTCTGTGTTAAGAATTGGATTTGACCTTTTTATGACTTGAGCTATAAAGTTTTGCATTGTTCAATTCATGTAAAAACATTTTAACATGAATTTTCTTTTTATTATTTTTGAGTAAATAGAGAAAAATTAACTTTTTCGCCATGTAGATTTCATTAAAATGCGAATTGAATTACAGTAGAATGGAATAATAGAGAAGCAGCAGAATTTCTTTTGAGTCATGACTTAGATGCAGCAAATAAAATTCTCAGTAAAAGACAAATTTGAAAATTCTCCTCTAATGATTGCTTCGGGGAAAAATGTATTGAAGGTAATTATATGATATATACATTAGACGAAAAAGTGCATGATGTAATTCTCATCTCATTTGTTACTGCGTAAATTCATAAAAATTAAGAGATGATGATATCGAACCGCTTTTTTATGCAAGTCGCTTTCAATTTTATTAATTTTTTATATAGGTTTGAAAGAACAAATTCATTCATTTTCAAGAGAGAATGATGATCAACAATGTTATGAACTTAAACATATTGCATGAGGTGCACGATTACAAGAAAAATATTAATATAATTTATTCAATTCCAATATAATTTGAATGATCCTTGATCGAAAATACATTGGTAATGATGTGTATGCATCACTTGATTTTAAAATATATAAACTTGTGTTTGAACACAACTATTCAGTTACAAATACAAATTGTTTCAACAATGTTGAAGAAGCCAAAAATATAAGCGTGCAAAACAAGTTCTCGATATTATACGATCTTAATAGTACAAAGTACTTAATGAAAGATAATTTTCGATATTACATTATTGAATATCCGTTGTTACAACGTATTAATGCATGGAAACAGACCGTATCACCAACTGAAGAACTCGAACGCGCAGGTTTATACGTTGCTACAGGATTTACTCCTATAATCACTCAAGCCCCAATGGATGATTGGGGAGGGCTCGTTCGAACCACACTTGGAGAAGAGAGAAAACGTGTTCCTGTTACTTATCTAGATGGGATTCCAAAAAATGGTGATTGGTGGTATAGTATTGGAATGCTTTGCAATGCTCCGTCTAGTTATCTGTCTCGTGGAATACCAGCACTTCGTCCACTCATGACTAACCAAGTTAGTCTTTGGAGTGCAATAAGTGAAACCCATACTCAATTCAATTTTATTTTCAATAATATGAAATATTCATGTCATCCTTCATTTCATAATTCTCTGGCATCTAATATTATGACATTAATATTTTTTTGTTCTTAATATTGATAAACACTGAAAATTTTCATCATATTAAAGAAACATACGTCATTTAGGGCTTCAATTCTAATTGATAAGTTCAGTATGTACTGACTTGAGTAGAAGACTTCTGTTTGTTATTGATCGATGCTAATGGATCGTATTTCAGTTAAAACTTCATGATATTCAGTTTCCAATCTGGTATATTTTAATTAATTCGGTGATTTACTCTGTTACATGATAAATCAGCCTTAATAATTGGATATTGATATTGATTTGATCGAGTTATCACAAAATCAGTTTGTTTGTAATAAAAAATATTAATCTATTATAATTAAAACAGTAAACAAACATAATCTTTTTAGTAATTACTAAAAATAAAAATTCAAACAAAAATAAAAATAAAATTTCAAACAGTAAGAGATCTCAAATGATAATTCTACTCATCTTCTAAGTAAGTTATGGTGGAATCTTGCTGATTTGCTTCCGCCACTAGGTAACCTTGGTTTGGATGGGATGGATGGCATAAATTTTAGAGCCAATATCGTAAGAATGATCTGTATCATTGGATCACGATTGGTTGTTGAGACATTTCCTGTCAGATTTTGTAATGCAATCTGGAGTTGGTCATTTTTAGCTGCGAATATGGAATTCGGCGTTAACTTAACAAGCTGTAATAAAATTGCTCTATGCAACATGTTTTGAGATACCTTGCTGAACAAATTCCAAAAACGAATGGCGTGTTTTTGATCCCATTGCTTGAAAATATTAACAGCCTTGATCTTTTTACAATTCTGAACTTCGAGTTCGCGAAGGAAAGGCTCTGTTGTAATAACCTGGATATCATTTTCTGTAAATATAGCTTCTTCTGGAGACAACTGACTTTTTAGGAATGTTGCACGGCACATAGGACAAACGCATGGCCTTTGTTGCAAAAGGCATTGGTCTGCCCACTGATGAATACATGTTAAGCAAAAAGTATGACCGCAAGGAAGTGTTTCAGATGCAGTAAGTGGGCCAAAACATATCGGACATAGCTCGCAGTCGTCGCTTGGTCGAATTGACTGATTAATGTTTGTACTTGGTAAAAATTTTATTGGTCTAAAAGGAGTATAAAATATATAACGACATGGTGCATTATCAGTCGACTCGAGGAAGTCGCCTTTGCAAAAATTAGAGCCTCCTCCAAAAACTACTTCATCTTTATTGTTTAGGTATACACGGTGGATTTTTCTTTTATTTACAAATGTTCCATTTAATGATTCATTATCCTCAATAATCCAGCAATCTTGACCGTTCTCAACCCTACGGTATATGGTCGTATGAAGTTTAGAAATTTCTTGGCCCTTTTCTGTATCAATTCTGATTTCGCTGTGTCTTCCTATCCTATTAACAGCTTGTTTCAAAGCAATATAGATTGGAGCTCTAGAATCTTTTACTGTAGATGTTTTGATCAAAAAAGCAATACCCATTAGAAAATTAAAAAGTACGTTAAAATTTCAGGTCGTAAATGTGACTTAATTGAAAAGAATTTTACATCTAATGCAAATATAATTATTATTAATAAGTTTATAATATGGGTTAAAATTTACGAAAGAGTATTTATGCAACTGCAAAATTTTATATATTGAATTCAAATTTTGAAAAAGCTCTGAAATTCAATATGTGTAATAGAAGTGATTGGAAAACATAGATATTGTCTCATTTTCAACGCGATTTCAGAAAATTTCTTGTTCAGAATATATTCAAAAGTCAATGTTGGTCATTTATAAACATAAAAAATATTATTACATAAATTAAAACTAAATTAACATATTAAATAATCAATTGAAATTCTGAGTTTTCTGAATTGATATATAAAATTTACGTTTTTATCCTTCAATTCAATACCAACGATGCTGAGAATTTCTAGATAAATTAATGGTATAATTGATTACACAATAATACAACAATAAATTGAATTAAAATTTTGTAACTTTTTTATTTTGATACAGATTATTGATCGCAATATCTCAAGTAATCCTCGATTAGAACATTGGTGAAATCAATATTATTTCTTTCTTTTCTGCTAAAATTAATCAAGTTTGATTCGATTTTACCAAAGTAACTGAGCAGAAAGCGATTTTTTATCGATATCGTTTTTTATATGTCTACTAATAATTTCTCAAAAAAACTTGGGCTAAAAAGCTTGTTTTGAACTCAAATGATGACAGTTTGATCATTTACAGTTTGCAACATGTTGTATTACATATTTAGCATATCTATCATTGGTTTATAATTATGTTAGATGTATAAATATCATATGTCTCAAAATCGAGCATCGAAAATCAAATGTTGCAAGTGGAAATTGAACAAACATTCAAAACAAAATATAGTATTTAATTATCTAATTTCCACTATATTCTTCCCAAAAATTCTTATTAATTCCAAAATTCAAATCAATACATTTTTCAATTCAAGCCTTTGTTCTTTGATAGACTTAATTCGACTATTCGATTCAAATACTTAACCTAAGAGCTTTAATGTCATTGAGATTACTCTATGGCGATACCCAAAATATCCGTTTTGTTTCTGATTTTGATGATATGCTCGGTAGTGTTATTAACTCTTTCTGTGTTTTCATATTCCGGGTTTAGAGGGAGAATCCGAATGTAGTCGAAAATGTTTCATCAGAGATCAGGTTAATATGGTTTTAACGTATGAGATTATGTATTAAGAAATATGCCGCAAAGAACATTTTGGCCTAACCAAAGCTATACAAGCCGATTTTATGGACCGAATTTCAAACTGAAAAATAAAAACCGATCAAACTTTACAATAGGAAATTGAATTCGCGTATTAAAAATAATCTTTAAAGCAACTATAAAGCTTTTTGGGGAAATAAAAATTAAGTCTGACATATTTCAAAGTAATTTTGGAAAGTGACTAATTGCTCAATGTCGACTTCTTCCAGGCTTGACGCTCTCTATAAAGGATCATTAAAGCGAATAAATAAGAAGAACAATGATGATATAAGAATGAAAGAAGAAGAAAGATGGGAGAAATCGCTTTGTTTCGAGAATAAACTAGATGATTTACATAATCCCAGACTAAGTCGGACTTCTGCTGCTCATTCTGTAGGTAACATAAGGCTTTATCCATCATCAATATTTTCTTCAATGCCACCGTCAAAAGTTAGAATAGATAGAAATTCCACCGCCAGAAAGAGTAAGACCATTCCAACAGAAGAGCTTACAAGGGAAGTAAACAAGTTCAATATTCAAAGAAGAAAGTCAAAAGATGATTCGATTACAAAATCAATGGACAAGATTCCATTTCCTATTACGAATGAATTACCATCTCTCAAAGCAACATCACCAGTTTCAACTACGATCAATGCCCTCGAACGCTTTTTGATGTAATATTTTATAGAATTTTGTTTTTTCACTTTATTTTATCATGTATTGTTAATTTATAAATTCTTGTTAATAAACTGTAACCATAATCTTTCTAATTTTCATATAATAATTTTTGATAATCCAATAAATAATAATTTTCAGGCTATTCAACTGCATTTGAGTTAACAAAAGAATATTATAATGAACTATAAAAGAATCTTTACTTGAAAAGGAAAATAAAATAAAAATGTTATGTAGGTATTGAAGATGAGATAAATATATCCGATAATGATATTGCAAGACCTTTGGAAATCTCACTGAGACCATTAACGATCAATTCATTCTTCTCATTGGAATCTGAAACGTAAAGTGCTGCAAGGATATTATTCCAGTCAAGGCAAATGGTTGAATTGACATTACATATCATGTTTTGAAGCAGCCAATCCATTACATCATGTCTTCTATACTCAATTGCTGCATCAAAATTTGCCAAAATTTCTCTGGAACAGATTCTAATGATTTCATAGCATCCGCCTGCTATGGCACATTGCATTACGCTTTGTGTTATTTCAGCTCCTAAATTGTAAAAGAGTTTGAAACACTTAATTGCACCAAAAATTGCAGCAAAAGAGATGAATGTGGTTACTCTTGGGATTCTAAATGATTCGAATTTAGATGCTTCAATATAATAATTGAGATTGAAATCATAATTTTGCATAAAAGTAATCAATTTCTCAATGTCATCGCTTTTAACAGTTGCATAAATGGATCCTGGCATCCAACCGATTTCTCGATATTCTTTCAACAGTTCCCAATCATTTGCTCTGAAAACATCGATGTGTTTGAGAATTTTTCGGACCCATCTTGGAGGTCTGAATGATGTAATCTCTAATAATCCGAATTCAGGTGCAAAATAAATGGCAAAGTCGCATCTCTGATAAAGATAGATTTGATCGAGAATCTCGGATTGATCGTAAAGGTTTGCACGATACAACAAAAGTAACAAATAATATGAGCTTTCTATGAATATTCTCTCTAATATACGATTTCTAAGATTCATATAGAAATCAATATCCGAAAACAGCTTTTTACACAGTTTTACAATAATATCAAACCTATTATGTCTTATCTGAGACAGTGTGACAATTTCTTGGGCAAGTTTCGCCATGATTCTTGGATCTTTGTAGTTGTCATTGTTTATAATATTTGAACAAAACTTTTCTATACATTCATCACTTGAAAGTCGAACAAGAGCATTTTGGATGAATACTGTTGGCTGTAATGAATTCGGAACAGGTATGTCTTCCAGACAATGAATGTCTTGAAACATGATTTAGATAAAATAAATGTAAACTATTCGGAATTCAAAATTGAATGATTTAAATTTTCTATCAAACCTCCAGCATCGTTTTCATAAACTGAATACATTAGGAAATAGCACAATAGATATAATTAAATCATTTCAAATCAAAAAAGATAAGAAATCAATCACTTTTTTTCTGACGTTACGCTTTCAATTCTAAAATCAACCTTGATTGCATTCAATGCTGACCATTCTAAATCTCAAAATATAAATCCTTCTAAAACTCTTAATTTAATGATTTTTACAATGATTTTACGAGACAAATATGAACGATTGAAAGGATTAATGCTGAAAATGAAGTTAATAGGTTGCTATATTAGTCCAATACTATTTTTCAGCATGTTAATGCTTGAATTATATAATTAATTTGAAGAATGGTTTAAATAATTTTTGCAATTTCATTGAGTCAATAAAACTCAAATTAAAAATAGTTGATTTTTATAAGTATATAAAACAAAATAGGAATATATTGAAAATATAAATTATATTATAATCAAAGCAGTCACATTCGAGTAGTCATCCATATATAATGTATAGATTGCTATATTCTGTTATACTGCCTCCAGTGATGGCCTACTTGATAAAATTCTTATGGATATGAGAAGTTTTAAAACTCCCTTAAAGTTAAAAATTTCCGATCTATTGTAATAAATTACTTACCAATGAAAAAATCAAGTTTACTGCTACAATTCTTTGATTCAAAAAATCAAATATTTAATACAAATACTTAATGTAACCGCACATACCAAATTAGACCTAGTAAGATGGAAAATTGGACAAATTTTGCTAGTCAACAGAAATAATTTCTATATTTTAGGAAATAATGTAAACTTCAGAATTTATCATTTTTGATGTGTTATACAAAAATTTGTGATCTGATTTTTTTCAAGCTTAAGGATACCCTTAAAAAAAAAAAAAAAAAAAAAGGTAGTGGGGCTTCCAGGCACTTCGTGCCTTCTAGCCCTGATGTTGATGTTTAGTATAAATGAAGTTTTTATTCGGAGGACTCTTCTTCTTCCTCCATTGCTTCTGGGAAGAAGCCTTCTTCTGGGTCGAAAACATTATATAATGTGTCGCTTTTCACAAATTATATATGTTTTCATGTTTTGTCACTTTTCTGTCACTTTTCAGGGAAAAACATTTTTATTATTATATATAAATGAATTTTACAAAACCACCGTTACCGTTCTTTGGAAATAAGAGTAGATGTAAAGATATTATATTGAGAGAACTTAAGAAACTACCGAATGGTCTAACATTTGTAGATTTGTTCGGTGGAAGTTTCTATATATCCCATTTGTGCCATATAATATTCCCAGACTCAAAGATTATATGCAATGACTTCGACAACTATATGGACCGTCTCAAACATATTCCAGACACAAACAATATATTGAAAGAGTTAAAAGAAAAGATACCTATAGGTAAGATGGAACGTATACCATTAGATAAGAAAAATATTGTGAGAGAGGTTTTGAAAAAAGCAGAATATATAGACTGGGATAGTATATCTGCTAGACTATTATATAGTGGTTCTATAAGAGTTCATGACATTGAAACACTTATGTCAAAAGTTTTATATCTTAACTATACAAATGTTTTCAAAGAGGACATAGAAAAATATATTGAGGGTATAGAGTTTGTGAGATGTCATTGGACAGATTTGTATGAAAAATATAAAGACAAGGAAAATGTTTTCTTTATAGTGGACCCGCCGTTCTATAACACATGGGATTTTCAATACCAAGTAGACTGGACTTTGAGAGACTCTTTAGAAACTTTAGACGTTTTACATAACCATCCATGCTTTTACTTTACATCCGATAAAAGTGGTTTGGAAACCGTTATGAGATGGTTAGAGGACATACATGACTATGAGTTTATATATGACAAGATAGAATATGAGAGAGGTCCTATAAACTGGAGAAAGTGTCACAATAAAGAAAATTTTATTAGTAAGTAAATGTGGTTTGAAATAGGACTACTTGTTTTAGGTTTTTTCCATTGTGTCATTTATTTATTTGACGTGGCAGAAAAGTACAGAGAATATGAAGATGAACCAATGCCTGCAATGTTCAGTATATGTACTCGTAAGAGATATTTTTATCTAATATTAAATGGACGCACAGAACTTAGCGAATGCACAGCAACCTGGACAACCAAACCCAGAGAATATTCCAAATGAAGTTAGAATACAAACTGCAATGGCAAACTATGGTCAAGTGCCAACAGATGTACAAATGCAAACTGCCATGTCAAATGACGCTGCGTTAGGTTTGCCACCATGGTATGCAAATATGAGATGGAAAGAGTTTTATACAAACCCTGAAGTCGGATATAAACAACTTTATGCAGATGACGCGAACACAGGAGTTGACCCAGAATATGTTTTCTACCAGAGGAGAAACAGAATGTATGAGCTCCAGTTAAAGAATGCTATGGAACTCAACAGGAAACGTAAGAGACTAGGCGGACATTAGATTTTTACATATAGTAAATGGGTTTCTTCAGTAGTATTGGAAACTTCTTTCGAAATGTTGGAAGAGGTATATGGAATGGAATAAAAACCGTAGGAAGAGGAATTTGGAACGGAGTCAAAAATATTGGTAAAAGAGTAGGTCAGTTTGTTGGTATTATACCTAAAGACCCTGAACCAGAAGAACAAGCTCCTGTTATACAACAGCCTGAACCTGCACCACAGTCTAGTTGGCAACCAAATCCAACACCTCAACCGTATTAAAAAATTATATTTTTACCGTTCGATAGTAGTTGTATATGAAACTAAGTTCTAAGTAAAACGCATGGTATAATGGAATTATTCTTTTTCTTCCATCTGTAGTAAACCATACTTGAAAGTCTGAAATACTTCCACTTGGTGGTTCGTATAACTTTGTAGGTTTTTCGTAAAAGTCATTTGCCAAGCATAAGAAAGAGTTTTGGGCGCCAGAAAATGAAGCATGAACAATAATAGCAGCTGGGTCGAAAACATCTTTAAATAAATATGGTTCATCTCTTGCATATCGACTGTAAATATTTGCTAAAGGAAGTTCGACTTTCTGATTTAACATTCTTTGCAAATAATACCATGACATTGCAGTGAATTCTGTATATATTTGTTCGTCTTTCTTTGGATTGTCTTCGTAGATTTGAAATGACACTTGTGAATTTTGTTTGTCATATACAATTCTCACATAAAGTGTGCTCTCGGTATTTGCATATTCATCAGCATATTTTGCATAACATGAATTTATTTTATCTTCTATATTTTTTAACGCAGTCTGTAGAGAAGATGAAAGGTCAACTTGTATTAGCTCAATTTCTTCCCACATTTTTCGTTTCCCTTCAGATATATAATCTCTATATGAAACCTTACAATAAATGGAAAACTTTTATCTTCTACAGACACAAACTTCATTCTACGAAAGCCAATAGCTTTTGTGACAGATGGGTCTCTTAGCCATCTTAATGGGTAGTCAAAACGATAGCCTTCATGCTTTACGGTCTCTGTCTCAAACTTTTGACCGACATTAGTAAAAAGTTCATCTAATGGTTTAGTTGTAGCAACTCTTGAATTTTCTTTTTCTATTGGAAGCATATTTTATCTAGAATAAAAATGTCAAATGAAACAGCGTCTATGAGAGAAATACAACACAACCGACAACTCATTGTGCAAGCTCTAAATAAGAACACAACAAACTTTTCAAACTATTCTAAGATATCTGAGTCATTGAAAGAAGGAAACTTAAAACTGACATTAAACCCAATGACAGATGAGTTTCTGTTTCAAGACAATAAGAACCATACTGTCTGTATAAATCCAACAAAAGGAACTTTAAACGAGAAACCTATAAATGAACTTCTTTTGAAAGCAGATGTTGACAACAAAGCTGACAAAGAATATGTAGACGATGCAATAGCAAAAGAAGAAGAAAGAGCTAACAATGCTTATGCAACAAAAGAACATACTCATCCTGAACTAGCAGACAAAACATATGTTGACAATAAAATGTCAAGTGAAGTGACAAGAGCTGAAAACGAATATTCTAAAAAGACTCATACACATACCATTGCAAATATTACAAACTTACAAGAAACCTTAAACAGGAAAAGTGCCGTTGGACATACACATACATCTTCTGAAATAACAGACTTAAACGTTAGCCTTGAAAAGAAAGCAGATAAAACATATGTCAATGAAATATACCAAAGTTTGATAGGAACAACAAAAAATATTGAAACTATTGTTGGTGACTTTTCTGTCAATGAAGAAAACAAATATTTTAGATGGGAGTTTGTACAGTCCTTAAAAAATGGTATACGGTATAAACTCATTCCGAAAAATAACAATGAAATGTATGTAAGCTATATAAAGAATAATGGTACACAAGTTAAAGTTCCATTAGACAACAACTGTTACTTAAACTTATATGGAGACGAACAAAAGAAATATTTAAGAGTTTATGAAATGGCAGATATGACATTACCTAACCCAGCTCCAGCACCATATTATTATGACTATGGTGTTGACGCACGTGTAGACCCAAAAAAGCAAACATTATATTTAGAATATTATAGATATAAAAGATATAATGCAATAGAAAAAACGAGAATAGTATATTATTATATAGATGACAAAATAAATATTATAGTCAAGATTTTACCTACCCCGAAAACATAAGATTATATTATAAAAAATATTCTGACACAAACCAGAAGAAACCAGAAATAGTTACACTATATTTTAAGTTCAAAAGAGACAATCCTATATTATCTCATATGTTTGATTTAATGAACCCAGTAGGTTCTATTTATACATCTATGGAAGCAAGAGGTCCTCAAGTAATGTTGGTGTTGGTGCATGGAACAAATAGTTGACAGGTTTTTGTATTGTGGCAAACTCTTCAAAGGAAAACAGGAGGAAGTAAAACGATTTCAGGTTGAAAATTTACCTGCGCACAGTCACTACA